CCAAGTGCCATTTGGTCAAAAAGTGAAAAAAATTAAAAATCATGCCCCGAGGGCCAACTCACGCTTATTATGACTCGCGGGGGCCTCCGTAACTCAGATCCATTCACCTTTCCTTGGAATTTTCATTATTGCGTGAATGGTGAATTTTTTTGGAAATTTCCCAGGTGCCATTTGGTCAAAAAGTGAAAAAAATTCAAAATCACGTCCCGAGGGCTAATTCACGCTTATTATGAATCGCGGGGGCCTCCGTAACTCAGATCCATTCCCTTTTTTTTGGAATTTTCATTACTGCGTGAATAGTGAATTTGTTTTGAAAATTTTTCAAAGGGTAATTTTTCAAAAAATGAAAACATTAAAAGGGAGAATGAACCCTCGTGCAGTGATTTTGACCAAGGCGCTTTTGCCATACGTGTATGGCTTTTGCCATGCGTGTACGGCTTTCGCCATACGTGTATGGCAAGAAAGGACCTAAAAATATGGTAAACGTTACCTTGGGCGTATGGCAATTGCCATACACTGTATCTCTAGACACTGCCTAACACAAAACAAAATAATTTGTGTTTTCTATAGACGAACCCATCCTTATCTCTTGTTTGACGAATATTAAAAAATCCTGGTAATCGGTAATGGATATTTAATTTTTTCAGCTCATTTAATGATTCCGTTTCAATACAATGTTTTTTTCGACTAGGCTTTTTTCTCCAGTGTAATTATATCAATTCTTTCCACGGTAATAATCTTACCACAAATACATTCACCATAGTTTCTCGAGAAGCGGTAATAAATTGTATACCAAAGCCAGTCAGGTCAGTCTGGTCATCATGAGAAATTCAAAAGATTAGTTGCATAATGTAAAATTGTACGCTATCCGTGATGGATTCAAATTAATACAGCTTTAAAAAAAAAACCACTCTACTCGTTATTAAGATAGTGAATGTTAAATTCAACTGTGGTAGACCACTGCGACTTACTTCTCCAAAAGTAATTAATTAGTATATTTTATTGTTCATCAGTTCACGCGATGCGAAAAAAACGATGGCAATGAAAACTTTCCCATTTGACGGCTACTGATTGTTACATTGTTTCGTGAAGAAAACAAAAAGTATAAATTATGGACTGCCATTATAGTACCATTAAATCGTATTCTTGTGCGATTTTGTGATTTTGAAAGACATGTCATTGAGCAACATGTCAAACTACTTAGCAACCAATAATGTTACCGTTTTCAGTGCCTTAGGGTCCAATTCGATTACTTATATTATGTTGATACAACGATATTTCACATTCGTTTTGCATATAAAATAACATTTATTGAATACTACAATAACAAAAAATACAAAAAAAAGATGAAAATAATTTTCAAACTTAATCATCTCGATTGCGATACGTAAAGAGAACAATAATGAAAACAAAAACAATGAAAATAATAATAAAAACAAATTTACTTTTAAAAAATGGTAATTGGTAACCATTCTCCATCAATTTCAATAAAATGATAGCTAATGGCAGCACTACTCAACATCATTTTTTATACAAACTATTTAAGTTTTGGGAGTTTCGATGTAGCTCGCCCATGGTTGCATGCATGGTTATGGATGGTGCAAAGTCCCTCCATAATGTCAAATCAATTTCCGGTAGACTGCTGCATTTTGTGATGGGATTCCTTGGAAATAAAAAAAAAATTGATGAAGGAATTTGCAATCAACTACTAAAGCCTTCATAGCAATAACTGTGAAATGGTTTGAGTATCTCATTTTTCTTTGTGAGAATGAATGAGATATATACCGCATTTTCATCTAACGTATATCGAATATACGATATTGTCGACTGAAATGTAAGTGAATATAATGAAGAATGATCGCCTAGTTGATGCTCCTTTTTAAATATAGACAAAATTTATCACTTATCGGTTTTTTAAATATCTATCTTTGAAATTAATGGTTTTAAGAGTATTTGCTAAATAACATAATCTCAATCTACACACTCGTATCTGAGCAGTTGCCTAACGATAACCAAACAAACAATTTATAAACTTACGTTAATGATGGAATTTCAAATGCTCGTCGCTGCATGTTTAAGACATTATTACTGTTATCGCACAACAACCTGCCTATGCTTGCCTTGCGAATTTCTCTCAATTGTTCTGGTTTTTTGGAAAAAATTGAAGCACTAATTAAATATCATTCAAATGGCTATAAAAATGAAAGAAATGATATATTCATGAATAACAAAAGACGGGAGTCATTACCTCGAGTGAAGGTAACGTCAGGATTCGGAGATTCATACCAGAATCGATCACCAACTCGACTGCGATAAAACTGCTCAATCAGAATGCAAATGAAAGTCGGCCCTGTTAATGCACCTGGTACATTTTCCTCCAAAGAACCTCCAACCGTTAAGTCAACATCATCAGGGATTTCGTATAATTGTGATAGTTTATCAACGTTCTGGAATGCAAAATTATATGGCAATTGAATGAACATTTTATGCATTAGTTATATAATTAAATTAAGTATATATGAAAATAGACGAATAATTTCACGAAAAGAGAAGAGAAATATGTCAATTAAAAGAGCTGTACCAATGGTGAAATGGTATCACTAAAATCATTCCAAGTTTGGGCCCTCTTGAGTCCACAGAAATCTCTGTAATCATTATAACTTGCCAATCCATGATCCCGATTTCTCTGAATATCAGTGGCTCTCAAATCTCCACCTAAACTATTTCTACCTCGGAAGAGGAAGACTGTAATCTGGGGAGAAACATTACAAAACATCAATTCATGAAAATTGTCAATAAATTATAATGATCACTCACCTCTCTGTCATAAAATTCATCTCTAATCTGTTCGGGTTGATCAGCCAGTCCTCTTGTCAATGCATCCATATTATTGGCTTGTTCAATAATGCTAGGCCTCATAAACCAGTCACTGAGTCTCAACAAACTCGGCGATGCAGAACGATCTTCCATAATGAGTCTAAAACCCACAGTGTGTTGCATTAAAATTCATAATCTATTGTAATAATAATATTCTAAATAAAAAATGTATCATTATTTCAATTACTTGAGATATCCAGCGATAAGCGAATGAAATACACGGAAGGCTGCATTAGAATGTTCATTAATAACGCTTGGATTAACACTGGGATCATAATCATCGATATAATCATCAGTATCATAGGCTATTTTATATTTCAAGACATTTTCGGTACCTAAATAGCAGTGAAAATATTGAGTATTTAATTATACGTGTATACGCAATAGTATGCATTAAGTAATCTTACCAATAATAATAGGTAGCCATTCATAATAAGATATATGTTGATGGATGGCTATTGTAATGCGTCTCGTTTCTTGATAAACTGTCTCATCGTTCCAATGTGGATTAATTCGTGAGAGCACTCCAGCAATTCTGTTATGCTCACGAAGTAGAATAATCTGGAGAACTGTTAGTTGAGTATTTTGATTAACTCGATCATCTCCTGTATAATTGAATGAATTAATATAAAAATTAAAATAAATTTACACCATGTTTCTACATTTAAGGTAAACAATTTGATTTATCACAAATAGGTAATTGAATTAGAAAGCAATTTCTCAATTACTTGATAAAATTAGTGCTTTAATATCATTAATTACCAGCCACGTAACAGACGTCACTTGGTGAGCGGATGTCACATGACATGGAAGCATTGGAGTTGGTCGGTGGCCATTCTCTTTGGCCCCTTATCTCGGTTTTAAGACGGCCACCTATTAACGTGCGAAGATTCATAGCTTTTCGATCTGAGGATCCGTATACGAGAGAAAGATCCAGAAACTGAGTGACCATCGTTATCTACAGTATGTAATTGATTATTTATGGATAAAATCTATGTGTAATTTGTGTGATTTTACATTAGTTTACCTGTTCAGCGGCACTCTTCGACTGGGGACAACCGAGGAGGCGATCAGTTATAGCACGCTCGAAAGTTAAACATTGTTGATTTGTATAATCCGGATCTTCGGGACCTACAACGATCGGAAAACACGTTGGATCGTTGAAATTGTTTTGGGCGAGACGATTGTTGTTTGTACAGCATGGGCCACTTGGAGCATCTGAAATTTTTCATAACTAATGACGTATAAGTCATGATATGTCAGTTCATTTAAATGCTCCTCCAATTTTTATTATATAAAATAAAAGAAATAATGCTTCCTTCCAACTGTAAAGTCTAAAAAGCACTCAGTACTTTCTGTTACTATCTCCAATGAACACTTATGCATTCATTTATGGAACTTTTTCTGTTAAAACAAAGATATTTAAAGATATTTAAACGATTTATCTTATTAGTTATGATTTCCTCCTGGAATAAATTCGATGCATCATTCAGTTTTAAAATTCCTATTTCCCATAGGCGAATCATCAATAAAAATATCCAAATAGTGAATTTGTTGCGATATTTATTAGCATTTAACAACTGCCATGCTATGCGCAAAATTGTTTCTCATTAGCTTGCATTAATTGACATTTGCCATATTTCTTGAGTAAGTTTAATTGCATGGAAATTAATAGAGGGAAATATTTACTCACGGAACATGGATAAAGTTCCCAGCTCAGCCATATCGTGAGTAATAATTTGACCCCACTGCATAGTAGCAAGCGTCCATTGTGGATCCTTGATCCTCATTTCGGGGAATAATGTGTGACTGAGAAGTCGAGAACGAGGCAATGGATTTCCACTTTTCGCTAAGGCCGGTGTCCATATACCTACACACATGTATTCCATTCATCACCACCCCTCAAATGCTACACTTACAATCTTGCAAGTAAAAATGTATTTTTTTTCTTTTTTTTTTTTAATTCTTGTGGAATATCATATGATATTTAAACGGATGTGACAAAATAGTTATCAAAACCAGCGCAATGTGGAAATGATTAATGACATTCGTATTCTTCCCACAAAACCACTATAGCATAACGTTGCAATATCTCTCGCGTGACAATTGCACCTCAAATCTCTATCGGAATCATGATCACACACCTGCGAGTAGCAAGTGAATCACGAATTTATTTCCCAACAATTTTTTTTTGAAGACTCGAAGCGGTAAAATGAAGTAACTTATAACTATGTCGTATAAATAACTTCCTGAGGCAGCGAAAAAAAAGCCATAAAAAATGTAGGGTAACTTTGCTAATAGAAATCTCACCATCTGAATATATTGGTGGTAATAGTCGGGCGTAACGCGTTTGCGCCATACCCCACGTGGGATTGTCAAGGTTGTTGCAAGATCCGTCTATAGTACGATAGCTGGTGCGTCGGCATAGCTTGGACGATTCACCTCCACAGCTCTGGTTGGTTCGCCGTGGCGAGACATTTTCAGTGAACCCTTGTCCTGGTCTGTGTGAAATTCAAATTAACAAACACTCATTCTAATTATTATTATTATTATTGTTGCCATTATTATTATTTAACTATTTTTTTTAGGAGAATACTTAATAATAGAGGGCATGGAGGGCCTCAATGAGAACATAACTATTTTCTGTGGTTTTAGAAACATCATAGAGAAGAAAAATCCACCACACAGTCAAACTATATATGAAAAAAAAAAAAAAAAATGGTTTACTTCAATACCATTTCGTCAAATCCAATTGTCCCACTTTTTTTTTCAAATTTCAATATTCTTTCGACGGTTTGTATATAAAAATTCTTATCATGATCGACATCAATAAACAACTTTCCACTTTAGAGGGTGCAGTCACTAAACTAGCAGGTTTCATTCATTATGAGAATATATATTTCAGATAATTATTTTCTTGCAGAGTATTTCTGATTGCTCACGTGATGTAAACAGCCGATACCGGTGGCCGATGTAGGAATTGCACGTTCGGAGTTAGGAAGTCAAAACTTGCGTGTGTAGAAGCATGATCAGAAGAGAGTTGATTCGACGGTTCCGTATTGTAAGTGAAGTAATTACGCAGTGAGCTGAAGAATGAATTGAAACTCCACGTATCACCGGTTGTTATTGGTTGCAGTGATCTAGTATCTCTAGGCACTACGCAGTGAAAGATATGAAAGAAAAAAAAACAGAAAGATACAGATTAAAAATGAAAAATTATTCATGTTTATGTCTTTTACAATAAAAAAAAACTTGCATATTTGGAAATTGCATATAAAGTGGCCGTTTGAATTGATGGTGAAAGGGCCTCTTGTACCTCACATTATTTAGCTTAGCGATTATCTGCGGTTGTCACGATCACTGTTCTCACGATTGCAACCGCCCTATTATGTTCTTTCTGAGACATTAACTTGAACAAGACTTTTAGATCTATTTGGACTTGAGTTTTCTGGTTAGGAGCGTGGATAAATCTCGGCCGTTAAGAACTCTGTGATGGAATAGGTACGCTTAAATATTTTCTTTCGATTGGGGAGAATCATTTGAATCGTTCTTGTATTGCGTGGAAAGTACCATTTCTTTTTTTCTCATAATAGGATTTTTTGTCAAATTCATTACCTATTCGATTATCTGGCTCATCTTTACAGAAACCACTGAATGAGATTATCAATTCAAAACCAAATAGACGAAAAAAGTTTTAGAAAACAAAATAAATCATATGGACTGTATGATTTCATAAGAAAGAATGGCCGAGAATTTTTTGTCTTGGATCTTTGTAACTGGAATTTAATCTGCTAGAACAGTTTTTACAATGGCAATGTTCGTCTATCGTGCAATTTTAACAAACACTAGGAATTAAATTGAAATTTACACCGTTTTATTTTAACTTAACTTTCCATTTTCAATACTTCCATTTTCATTTTTCAAGTGTTATTTCCTAGTCATTTCATGTTTTTCAAAATTTGAAGAATCCATTCACAAATTATAACGCAGGTTTATCTTGTGCAAGTAAGTGATTTCTTCATATTAAATCACGCGTAATTGCTATTTTTGTCTATTAACGATTTCGACGAGTTTCCTTTGTTGGACAAGGCCAGCAAATTAGTAAAGATTGTTTGAGCAATCAGTGCGCCTCTATCCTCCCTTGTTACACTCATTTGTCAACTTATTGGATTGTACCATTATAGCGCCTTTTCCAACATTTATTACAACTTTTTTCCCTTTTCATTCTAAAAATGTAGGTCCACCACTTGTCCATTCTGCCAATCAACGTCGTGATCATAAAATTTACATTACCTTTACTTTTCAGGACAATCGATTCAATTATATTTTCCTTAGTTTTTTTTTTTATTTAAGCATTGTTTAGTAACATATATGATGCAATTTTCCAATGGGAATTAATCACATTGCTTAACTTTGGGCATGAAAAAAATGGGATGGAGAAGGAACTAGAAAGTAATGCAAGTAATGTGATAATAGATCAATCATTGTAGATTTTCATTGGCATACTACAACAGAGATTCATTAATACAAAACTTTACCTGATTTCGTTAACACTGGCAGTTCAACGGTCATCACTGAGTGAAGTAAAAAAAAAGCTCCAATCAGTAGAATTTTCGTATCCATTTTATCGACCTGCAATTTATGTATTATTAATTGGATGCATTGTATTGAATAACCTGCGGTAAATCTTGTTGATGGGTTCATTAAAACACTTCTAAAATTAATGTACAAGATAGTGAAAAATTTATTTAATAACCGAATTAAACTATGAAAATATAAAAAATATCTAACAAGTGAATTCCAGTCGTTAAGTAGGTCCATGACGTTATTTCTCACTAACAATTTATCGCGCTTTCCCCCATAAGGTAAAAAGTATGAAAATTCTTCTGAAGTCAGTTACAACCAACTCCCTGGGACCATGATTCTACGGTATGTACATGAGCCTAAATCATGTACATAAGTGAAAGGAAAACTAGAACAAGGATCTCAATGTTTTTTCGGAGAACCTGCGGAGAAAAATCATTTGACACATACGTTTAAGCCCTATTCGGCAAGCGCTATAAAATTTCATTGTTATTCTTTTTTTTTACCATATGGTTCAGTTTATGAACTATCGATCGAACATGATTTTTAGTTTGAATTCAATGTGGTTACCCTAAAATATATTTTTAAAAATGGGAATAAGTTAGTATTGTGGAAGACCCTGTAGAGTCAACATTTCAATTTGCCCCCCTTCAAAAATTTTCACTCTTTTTTCATCAGCTTTTTATAGCCGCTGGAGTGATTTCCGCAACAAAAATTTTAACCCCAGTTTTAATATATTTTATGGCAACGAGTTTATTATATTTTGGGAGGTATTTCAAATGAATCTTGCAACAACTAAAATGAAATAAATTATTCACAGCGCTTCCGGCTAAATCTATTGAATAATAAAAAAAATACAGTAGTGACACTGCAAGGCTTTTTTTTATACGAATTCATATTGTAATCGATCCCCTTGATTCCGATGATCTTTCAAGAGCAGAGAGAGGGCTAGATGAAGATATGTTTTTTGTAAAAATTTCACTGTTTTCATTGTAATTTTGTTCAACTCTAAAATACTTTCCGAATACTTACCCCAATGGAAATTGACGAATTTCAATTTGTCCTATTTTCTGTTAATGTATAGTTTGAAGAAACTTCGTTCAGTATAAAAAAAAAAAAAACATCAAATAAAAAGAACGAGAATCACTGAACAATTACACAGTAGAAAAATCAAATAGTTTCTGTCCTTCTTATTGCAATAAAAATTATATGAAATCACGTCTCAAACTTTGACGTTTCGATTTAACAGTTCAACTGAAATACTGAACGGTTTGCATGAAGCTTATAAATGACGGGAGAAAGTACCAGGGTACAATCCCCCTATTCTTTTAACCCCCTACTACCCGGTTAAAAATGCAAGCTGATGCCGTTCCAATTTTTCATTCCCCCACTGCACAACTCTCTTATTCTCCCAAATAAATCAAAATAATAGAAATTTGTGGATTAAGCAGGCCATTCAAGCCCAATAAAGTCTCCTTTTTGTTGCCAAGTGTGAGAAAATCATAAAAAATCTTCTACTTTTGGTGATTTTTTTTCTTTGGTATGATAACTCAAAATTTTTAATATGGATTTTATCAATAATTGCTGAATTACTCCGAAAATGTAGTCATTAAAAATCCAAATAAGTACAACTAACAGCAGTCTAAAAGGGTTCGTAGCATGCACCTGGGAGAGGTTGCATCGCGGAAGATATTACGAATAAATTGAATCGTTTTATAATTCAAATATCATTAAAATACATAATTATATATCTATGGATAATGATCATCGAGAAATAATGATGTTTAGTTTTATTCAATTTTTGAATTTCGTTGCTTGCCGGAAGTTTCCCTTTCACTTTTCGACTGATTGGAATTTACTGCAACAAGCGATCTCGCCTCACACATGCGCAGTGCAAATTATTCACTACTATGGCGGATCATGTTAAATTGCTCCGGGAAGTTGATTACTATTCTCAGTTTTCTGTACATTATTCAATGACTCGAATCTCTGATCCGTTGATTTTTGGATAATACCCATTGGAAAACATTGTACTGATATGTTAGATCTTTGGGTTTCGCTATGAAAAGGGTTATATTGTTCGAAAACGGCACAACTGTAAACGGAAAGGTATTTATTTTATTCCATTCATAATTGAATTTCTGCAAGTCAAGCTTTTTTTTCGCCTTGTTCAAAGTTTGGAAATTTTAATTTGAATAGTTTCAAAGTGTCCATACTGGATGTCAATTGAATTGTGCTATGGTGTTATGAATAATCGGGGGATTTTTTGAAGAGTCACATAAAATTGGGATGATGTTCTTAGTAATGGTCATGAACATATGCTGTGAAGTTTTTTTTCCCAGGTTTTTATGGTGACACATTCAGTAGATGAACTTCTGAAAGCAGCAAGTGGAAAATTCGCTATTACAGCAAAACGGATATTTACATCTCAAGGTGGAGAGATCGACGATTTGAAACTCATTAGGTGAGCACCCATTGTCATGGTATAATATTTACAAACAATTTTATCTCAGTAGAATTACTATTTTTCTACTCAAGTTCTTTCACTCGAATTAAAAAAAATAAATACATGAATGTCGTTATGGATCTACCTAATAAATAAAAATTATCAATGTAGGATATCTGATCATTTACATTTCAGTTTTTATATTTTTCGATGTAATATTTAAAGTCCGTATATCTATTTTTCAGTATTGAATTTTGTTATTTTTTATTTTCGAGTGAAGAATCAACTACGTTTCCCTTCATTAATTTACACTTGCAATTTTTCAGAGATGACGATATCCTTTACGTATCTAGTGGTGAGGAGTTCATTTCTAAGGATAAAATTTCAACCCCCAGTTGTCCAGAATGGGTGACACTAAGCGTAGGTGGTAAATTATTTACTACGACTAGGAGCACATTGACACATAAGGAGCCAATGAGTATGCTAGCTAGGTAATGCTTTAAAATATTCAATGTCTTATTAAATAAAATTTTTCATATTCAAAATACCTACACGAAATTTTCGGAATTACTTTCAGAATGTTTTCTGAAAGTGAAGATTGTTCAGAATTCAGAATACCGCCAAGTAAACAGGACACAAATGGGGCCTTTCTGATCGACCGAAGTCCCACATATTTCGAACCACTTTTGAATTACCTCAGACATGGACAACTCATTATCGATAGGAATGTCAATCCTGCAGGTATTTTTACAATAACCTTATTATTGACCTGTCAGTAAAAATAAAAAAATTATCAGAATAATTTTAGTACAGTTATAATTCCTGTAGGAGTACTGGAAGAGGCCAAATTTTATGGTATTGAAGGTATAGTTGGTACCTTGGAGGAAATGGTTATTAATGAGGGAACAAGAACAAAAGGAACTGAAGCTCTGACTCGACGTGATGTTCTGAAAGCAATTATGTCGACCCCAACCACATCTGAACTCCGATTCCAGGGTGTTAACCTGGCTGGTGCCGACTTATCGAGGCTTGATTTGCGAAATATCAATTTTAAGGTTAGTCGTATTGAAACAATATCAAAAATTAAAAGTATTTTATTCAAGTCGAATGAAATCAGTGTAATCATGAAATATGACCGAATTATAAAACCAACAACTAAATGATTACATTGAGAGGTAATGTTGGAATTGAGTGATTATCTCCAGGCGGAGAAGAATTATAAACAACTGTAAATTCATGACACATATAGTATGGGATAATAAATTAAGCACGGTCTCAATATTAGACCATTACTGCAATCCAAAAACTGTACACAGAGATACTTGTTGGTAATTAATTGCTCATTCGTCTCAATACATGATACATTCTCAATACCTCGGAAAATATAGAGGATTGAAAACTTATTAGTACTGGTTTTTATTATTTTTTTATTTATAGGACATAAGTGATTTAGGTTGTTAACCCATTGCCGTTCCAGAGCTGTCTCCATTCAACTGCCACGCCAGCTGTCAAGGGAGTGAGTTTGATCAGGGGCATATGTCGAGTCAACTCTATAATCAGTTTTATGTAATTTTGTGTTTTTACATATTATTTTATAAATACTTTAATCACTCTGATGAATAAAAAAGTAAGTGATGTTTGTCAACAATACCAAAATAGTTACCGGACATAGCTTTATTTTTATCCAACTGCTTTCTCTAGATTTGAGAGCACGGCCCTGTAACTCACCACAATCGGAGCATCACCGTAACTTCACTACATGAAAATTCACAACGTCAGTGTAAAAACGTTCAATCTTTGGCTATTCTTACGACGGAATGGCAATGGGTTAATCAATATATGGCGAGGTATGCGGAGAGATTTCACTTTTCAATTACATAGGTAATAGGTTGAAATAAAAAAAAAACCATTGTCATCAATTGTCATCTATCACTCAGTGTGTTGATAGGGTTGATAAATAATGAATTGTTGAAGAAAGGCTGGAGAGAAAAGTGAAAACAAATGGTGGGGGTGGCAGTGTGATAAACACGTATGAATACGACGACGCAAATTTATATAGATAAAAATCAGTACAGAATTAATAGATTAAAATCATACTCTGAATTTTACACTGTTTAGGTTTTTCACTTGAATTATTTCATATTTTGTTACATTACTAAAAAAAATACATTTCAGTATGCCAATTTACGTGGATGCAATTTATTCGGTGCCAATTTATCCGGCTGCTTCTTGGAACGAGCTGATCTATCATTCGCTAATCTTGGAAACGCTCAATTAGTTTGTGTTAAGATGCTCTGTGCGAACCTTGAATCAGCCAATTTGCATTCTTGCAATTTCGAGGATCCCGGTGGATTATCAGCTAATATGGAGGGGGTCAATCTCAAAGGTGCTAATCTCGAAGGGAGCAATATGTCAGCAGTTAACTTACGTGTTGCAACTTTGAAGAATGCTGTTCTCAAAAATTGTGTCTTGAGATCTGCTGTTTTAGCCGGAGCTGATCTAGAGGTATGGTAATATCACGATAATTAATCAAAGAGGAATTATCTATCATTGTCATGACAACAATCGATAAAAAAAAATTCGAATCTCCTGTTGATCCTGATTCCTATAATTTGATGATTTTTTCGTTCTTTCCAGTGCTGTGATCTATCGGGATCTGACCTTCAGGAGGCAAATTTACGAGGTGCAAATTTGAAAAATGCAGCATTCGAGCTGATGCAGACTCCTCTGCACATGTCTCAAACGGTGCGATGATGATAACTCTGTGATAACTCCAACAATGGCAGAATTATTTTCATTTCAACCAGTAAGGCCGAACATTCCATTCTCAATTATACTGTAGATTTGTCAAATTCTGTTCCAATCATCCTGAAAACCATATATCATTTAGAAGCTTTCGTTACACATACATTTTCCAATGAGGTAAAATACATATTGATAATATATGAGTGTATACAAAGAAAAAAAACAACAAATAATGTTGAATAATTTATACAAACATTAATCATGTTTTTTGCAATAAAATACGTCTTAAAATGACATATTTGTTTTCATATTTTTTTTTATATCCACAGGAATAAAATTTAAATTATGATTAATAGAAGGTTTGAAGTCAATAAGAGTCTGCCAAGGAAAAGGTGCGTTGAAATAAACCAATTTCTTCATTACACATATTTGAAGCGCTGCCGAATATGTTTAAATTGAAACTAATGATTTAGGGGCTATTATAAATATGAAAGATATAGCCAGGCGATTTTTTGAGTTTAGAATGTGCCATTTCTAATCAAAATCTCAGGAAGATATTTTTTCCTTTTACCAACCGTTGAACATTTTTAAGAATGAATCCACATTTGTAATTAATACTTTTGAGTTAGACTAAATTGACAATAATCTGTGAGAAAAAGGATAATAAACTGAGTTGATCATCCTTAATAGAAAGGAATTTCGTAAAAGTTATGAGTATTTGGATAGAAAACACTTGTGTTTGAGAAAAAATCATGCTGAACAAAATGATTCAATCTTTTTTAACTGTTGAAATAAAAAAGTTTCAATTGAATTTAGCCTCTCACCCCTCTCAATAGCTCAGTGGTATTGATGGGAAAAGAGTGGAAGCTGAAGAGAACATCAATTTATCGAGTCATATTTTTTGGGAGAAAAGCACCGAGGAATGAAAAGGAGGAGTAGTAGTAGTAGTAGTATGTGGTACATAGTAGACAGAGTTGTGGATGTAGAATGCACGTCCCCCGGGTGAATCGATGGAGCGCCTCCTCCAAGCCACCCTTAGTCAAATTCGGAAGTATATAACATGCGCGCGTACTGCTCAAATGTCTTATATTTTTCACATTTCGTGTTGGGATAACACGATCTTTTCCAGTGAAGTTATAGAATTTCTAAAATCGACTGAGTATGAGCTCTTACTACAAGCAATTCGCACTTCCTTCAAAAATTAATTATACATTCGATTTATTAATCAATCGATATTTTTTATTATTTCAACGAAATCGGTGAGCAAATCTTGAGAATTCCAATTTTGCCTGGGAGAGAGTTCAGCCATCTAAACGATGCGAACAATCCCCAATCGTTCTGACGAGATACTAGAGTGTTACGGATAAGAATAATGTACTTGATTTTGAATGCCTGATTAATTTGACGGAGCTCAAAGAGAAACGGTTGATACTTGAGCATCCTTTTTTTTTTCTCGTCTTAGCTAATGAGTCGTTAGGTAATTGATTGGCTTAATCGTGACTAGACTCGAAAAGCAGAGAAATCACTGTGATATCTGCTGCTTTATAAGTAAAGACGTGCGATGGGGATCTATATGATTCACACACCAGACGTTCATGCGAAGAAGAGTTCAATTTGAATAGTCCTCATTCGCCACTGTCATGTCTGTTTTATTATTGTTAATTAACAGCTATAATACCTCTACCTGGACAATTTTCAACTGCATTATGAATTATTTATTTGAAAAACAATCGTTGTGATACTAAGAATTATATATATTCTTTTCTTTATTCAAAGATTTTTGCATTAGAAATTATTCCATTTGAAATGCTTTCCATTTAATCGGCGAATATTCATGTACAGTGCACCACATTGGGTTTATATCAAAATCGATCCAGGTATTTTCCAGTCTTTCTAAAAATAAAACTTTTGGAATGTTGATTTTTAACAATTTTTATTATTTCCAAATAATTATTTGTGATTGACACAATCGTGCCACGCGTAATGTGTCAATCACATCCATAATCTCAACTTATGCAAATAAATCGTAAAAGGTAAACTACAAGTTATTCTTATAGGATGACCGTTTTACAGATTGCTCGTATTATTAAAAGATTTCACCTGCAAATTTGTTCGTCTTATTGAACTTTTGTCGAGTGCCGGAAAAAAAAAATGAAACACCCTTTTATATCACCAATTTTCTATCTTCTATGTTTAAAAAAATTTTAACTGATGTGATAAAAAATGTTGTTCATTGGTCGACATACGACTGTAAATACTTTTGTTATTTTATACAATTAAGGCGTACTTCCATCTAATATTATAATATTTACGAGAAAAGCTGTTCACAGACAAGGGTGAAAATTTATATTATTTGATTTTAATCGAACAACCTTGCAACTAAGATCGACTAAGGCCTTAAAATTCAACATAGCTTGTCCTTGTAGCTGTAGATGTACATGAAGTGACTGAGACAAAAACATTAGTAAATGTTGTGGTTTCTTTGAAATAAAATATAATTGGTAGATAGAGGATGGGAAATGAAATGAAATGATATGATATGATATGATGTGTAATTTAGTTTGTATCGAGAGGGATAGAAATAAAAATGAGAAGTGAAGGAAGAGGGTCACGATCGCCGGTGGCAGCCCTCGCATTGGCCTTTTACCCTTCTCCTCCTTCACCCTAAGCACCTGGCGCAGAGCTTGCCGCCTGCCTCCTGCCTCCTACCTCCTACCTCCTACCTCCTGCCTCCTGCCTCCTGCCTCCTGCCTCCTGCCGCCTCCCTCTCTTCGACCTATACCCGGGTAATCGTAAATATTCCCCTCCACTTTCTTCCTCTCCCTCTCACTTGGGCGCGTTCTCTATCCTCTTTTTTGCCACCCCTCGCCGTTGGTCTGTCGAGGCTCATTCAAGCACGGCCGGTCGACTCCGTGGGACTCGGGCATTCGATTCAGTCGCGGCCAACCTACCACATAGCGAGATTTTATATATGCGCCCGCGCAATACAATTCGCTCTCTCTCACTCAGTCGCTTTGTTATTCATAGATGGCTATTGCCATCGAAAAACATTATCATCATTTTCCATTCGACGCCTCAAAACTATACTCATTAACTAACAGTGCTCAAATAAATACATCAAATATTCCAAGTGTTTCTTCCAATATATACCAAAGAAATTCCAAAAGAATAAAACTTCAACGACTCCAGTGAAGTTAGTAATGAGTGATTCACCTTTTTGCCATCGACTAAGATATTTGTGTGAATTTCAATGAATCAGTGTGGAAAAAGGATTCGCAATCAGTGATGCACCAAGTTTGATGGAAAATCAGGTGGAATCATCATTGAAAAATAATAAATTGTTTAATTAAATATGTTGGCTTTTAGTTTCGCGCTCAATGATATCTCCATACAATTAACGTCTGTGTAAAAGGAGCCTGTGACTACAGCACAGTGGAACAGTAGGCTCATTTGTTTGTACGGTAACGCCGAAGACACCACAGTGCAGTGCAGGGCAGTGCAGTGCAGTGCAGTGCAGTGCAGTGCAGTGTTATTTGATGAATTTATACGAGCAGAGTCACTTTTGACTCCATCTTTCTCAACAAATTTTATTTATTCGTTCTTATAATTTTCTTCAGTGCATCGATTCCATCTTTATTAGTGTTTGTTCATTAGTGGAAATGAACCAAATTTTACAAATTGTGGATTAATTAAGAAGAGACGTTAATTAAGAAGAGTTCAGTGTGAGTTTTCCCATCAATTCTTTATGCCGTATATTCTTAATTTTTAATATTTTTCATTAATGCGAAGATTAAGTATATATTGTAACAGGCCATTCTCACATAAATACTAGTATACGTACAATTTCAACTTTTGGTTATTCCAAGTCCTTCAAACCCAAAAATAAAATCATTCTATACGTGAGAAAGAGACAAGACAACTTCGATATTTGCCAAATTTAATATTCTTCAATGGAAGCAGAAGGATATCATATTCGTTTCCAAAGTATTTCAAATTAGCAGCAGTAATATACTAAGTACTTGAAAAATACTCCAGGTTTATTCAATTATTCTATTACACATAGACAAGAGAATGTGTCAAATCTTGCTGTTGGAAAATGTCGACTGCGCAGCATGAGAGATTTTTCAGCAAAATTTGACGCATTCCTGTCATGTGGAAAGGCATAAACCAGATAAATTTTTGATAGGTTGTCTTTGCCCAAGTATTTCATTTACTCGTTTCTGACTAATTGAAGGGAAGAACTTTTAGGAAAAATAGTAAATTATTTATCAACGACTAAACCAGGTTCTGTGTAGATTATAATAAATAACGCGAAGCAGTGCAAATCTATTGGCTCAAATTTGAATAGCGAAATTTCTGCATGTAATATTAATAATAATGACATAATTAATTATTCGCTATAGCATTCAATGGAATACGATATACCAGTGAATTATCTGCTTATAAGTACGATATAGATTTATTAATGGAAATATTAAATTGAGCGTTGAATCAATGATATTCTCATTTTCGCGTAATTAGTTATTCGTTCATTCATTTCACCTATTCATCACTGGCTCTTCAGCTAACCTATACCCATTAATAAGAATTCATAATAATAGATTGAACAAGTGGTAATAATAATTAAATTATTATGTTAAAAAATATTGTTGATTTTGAATGAAACTTCTTGCGAAATAATATGGAAAATATAATATGGGAAAACATTGAGAATTTGGAGTTAAAGCATTCATATTTTAGAGATGATTCAATTTTGTCATAAATAAAATAATGTAATGTTTATGCATAATTTTAACCATATTTGAGTAAGAATAAGATAAATAAAGGCAGAGAAAATCCTATTGAATCAGGTAGTTTCTGCCACATGTATTTGCAAACAGGAGTATATATTATGGCCAGTGATTAATAACAGCTCGATCAATATTTTATCACATGTTCAGGGCTAGTGTCGGGGCCCAGTTAATGCAATGGCCCAAGTCCATAGCGTGCTAACTTCTCCAAACAAATGAGTCTGAACGACCTCCAAGCTTTAATGTGCTGCAGTCTACCTAGTGGGTTGATGCGGCAAGACTGCTTATATTATTCGGTAGTTCTCTCATTTACCTCAATTTCTCTATACTATCCATTGGAGAATTATAGTCGGTATTGATTGAATTTTCGCAAATTTTATTCGTGATCATGATATTGATGATTTATATATATATATATATATAATATCCAATTACCTGTGAAATTGAGATCAATACATAGGCTATGGAACATTCACTTTAAGGTGGGAGTTGCACATCATTGTTTTTCCGTAAAAATATCTTGGCGATGAATTAGTTGGCGTGCGACATTCAATTTTATAAGTAAAAATAGCAATTTTGGCTCCATGCCCCAGAATTTCAACCAAAATATATTAAGAATGTGAAAATTTTGAAGTAATCGAAGTAAACGAAGGATATTTAGAAAATGTGATGATTCATCGAGAATTTTTTTAATCGTGCTAGGTACTGAGAATATATTCACGTGCATGAAATCTGTACTTACGAAAAACATTATTTGAAATTAACAATTATAGTTATGAAATGGCATATCACAACAATATTCAACACTGGCAGAAAGAGTGCTACTTTGACTTGGCTTTCTGCTGCCATCATATCGAAATACATATGATACCTATTCAGTGAGTTGTCTGTAAATTACAATTTAACGCTCTATGGCGCGACATACTAAATGACAGATTGTGATTGCGCGCAAGGGTTTTTCCTATCACTGCCATTCAATGTACCATCATTTTTTTGCTTTTTTTTTTTCAAAATGAGGATGTGTCATGCTGGTGTACAGTACAACTAACGTATACCTCATCAGTGAAAAAAAATTAAATGATGATTCGATCAACAAATGTGTTTCATTCAAATTTTTTGACATTCAATCTCAAAAATTCACAATCATTTTCAATTTCTGACAATATTTCCATTCAATCTAATCCCTTCATTTTTATGACTGACAACATTTGCTTTAATCCTTTTATTATTAGACTTTTTATTCAGGCTTCATGTGGTAACACATGAAGAAATTTCATTCTTAGAAATACAATAAAGTAGTGAATAATGATGCCTAAACAATTGATAAGCCCGCCATCAATGTATTGATTGCAAAGGAAGACATTCACACTCATCTTATTAACTCATGCGTGCAGTCGCATCCTTGCGGTCGCCTACTTGTTTTTTCTTGCATGAGCTTTTAAAATGGCTAGCGGTAGTATTTTCACTAGAGACAGCGACAGCACTTGGTCTGTGTAAGATTACAGCAGCAGGAGCACTAAGCATTTTTCCACAATATGACTAGTGGAATATTTTAACCCAACCAATCCCATCGTCTATCTATACACGAAGTTTAAGTATATAACTCGCCTATGAGCTCTTGAGAAATATTATTAAACATATTCTTTTTTTGTGCATTGGTTAATATGTGATGAAGAAAAACCCAACGTGAAAACGTGAGATGTGAAACTTTCATCATGTACCATGATCTCTTTTACGAGAGATCTCGTCACTAAATTAAACTGAGCCCGTTGCTAAAACCATTAGAAAATTGGCGTAAACGCCTGGGATTTGAATCTGCGGCTCTCCCCGTTGCAGTCTCATGTCTTTAATCACTCCATCCTTTCCCATCAGTATAACTGTCATTCTATTTAGATCAATAATAGAGAAGATACGTGCATGGCAACGGATTGACATTCCCTATCCTGTTAAGTTATGATGGACCAGTACCTATAAAGGCCGTGCACGGCGCTGCGGACCTCAGCGGATTTCCCCTTGCCAGTCTCAACCCCACGAACCCGCGAACCCGCGAACCCGCGAACCCGCGAACCCGCGAACCCGTCAACCTGCGAACCCGTCAACCTGCGAACCCGCGAACCCACCACTCAACAATCTTTCAACAATCAAATGTCAAGCTGTTTATGTCAAGTCTGTTTATGACTTTTCTTCTTCAGATTTCCCGAACGAAAAATACTATTGACTAAAATTCGGAAATGGCAAATTCAGAATAATAGAAATAAATGGAGTAGTGGATTATAAACAACTATTAATACTGTTTTTGAAATTGAATTTCGCAAGCATTTCAAGACAATACTATACAGCTTGCTCCATGCAAAGTCAAGAAATTATCGTTTAATTTTGAAAAGTTGAATTAATTAGCACATCAACTCACGGTAACTACCTAGGTGAACTCGTGTCTAATAGACTGGATTCAATAATTTGGAATAATTCTCAAATTCCATTCAAACTGATACAAAAATATTTTTGTGCATGTAAAATTCAAAGACTGAAGATTTACTATTCGATTAAGAAGTGTTTATGCGATATTTTGGCTCAGAGGAGAAGTAAAGAGGCAGCTTAATTCGAATGCATAATAAAATTAATTTTTTTTTTTAATGTCAAATATCGAAAAATTTCAACATGCCCAAGTGGAGTTTGATCCTACAATAGTCTATCTACACAGTCAGTTAGATAGTCTGGCAATTGAAGCGACTATTAATTTTCTCATTGCCAATGAAATTTCCATCCATTTCAACTCATTACACTCCACCTTATCTGTTGGATCATGAAAATGCAATTGTTTCAGCTGGTGGAACTATGCTCCGTATTTATCCAATGTTTTTTCGACGTCTTGAAAGAGATGCAGCGCAGTTTCGGCTGAGGCCCAGACTGGAGAATCTGCAGGTGGACAAGACTCAGCCAGAGGCTGAACGAGAAGGTCGTATAAATGTTTACGCAAGAAATGTTAAATCTTCATATTTCCGATAATTTTTTATTATCCAAGTCTCATATTTTCAGACAAAATTTAAGGACAGTTTGAAAGAATATTAATAAATGCAAAATTTTTGCCAAAGTATGGTATAAGTCTTTCATTTGGGAATTGGAAATCATTGTGGTTTATATCACACAATTTATACAACGTTACCACGTATTTTTTTAAATTTAAAAATGGATAAAATTAAACTGAAAAATCGTAAAAACATTTCTTGATTAAATAGTCAATCCTTCAATTTTTTAATAATTTAGATTCATATATTTTTATAAACTCATTATTTATATTTCCAGAGGATGCAGAACGGCTAAGACGAAGACTGGGGAGCGTTTTGGTCGACATGGCGCAGAAGTCTCCTGACTTTGCTGTATTTTGGGACGTATCAAATGCTACACAACAGCGACCCTTCGGACGGCAGCAAAGGCAGCAGGAAGAGTGAATACATAATGACTAAGGATGAGAATGGTGGGAACCTGCGACATAGAGTGGGTAAGTCATTAGAATTATGTGATTTGCAATGGAATTGTTCAATCAGGCCGTTAAAAAGTCAAATATTTCATAATACCTGCCAGAAAAACATGTTTTTTTTTTGGCATATTTTCAGTAATCTCCAGCTTCAGTATGATTGCGCCGTAGAATAACTGTTGAATAAGATAAAAAAAAAAAAAACAAAAATAAAATGCTGTTGATAATTGGTAAACTAATTTGTGTTAAAATAATTCACGGAAAATTTTTGAAAGCGACAATTAAGCAATTTATGACAATAGCACGTGGTTGTTTCAGTGGCGGTAGATCGTCGAATTCCATGTGCGATCAAAAGTATTGAGCAGCAGTTATTGCATCCATTTTTGACGTGTTTAATGTCTTTTATCAACATATCAACGTAAGAGGAGTTCAATAAAAATTACCTCACAAGTTCAATAATTGTGGATTAACAAATGGCAATTAAAAAAAAATGATAAAACGAATTTGAATTTTTACATAATACATATATACATTATTTTTAAACAACAGATTGTAATTTTTTTCTAACATCATGCATGAGGCACACTAAATAATTCGTTTCAGAGTTACTAAACTTTTCCACACACCTACAGGCAGAGTTTTTATACTTTTTTTTTTTTATACCGATGAGCGGTAGAAAATTGACTTTCTCCCGCCCTTGATGTATAAAATATTATTAAATTGGTCAAGTGTTTGTCAGATTATTTTCTATCTTTTGATATTGACATTTTTATATATTTATATTGACATGTTAAACGTTTGAATTTCAATGCAGCCTTTTGCTAAATCATTATTCCTAGATAGCTTCTCAGTGGATAATGTAAGGATATTTATAATATTATAAATGATCACGGGTGCAATGCATTACATTCAGTAAGCCGGACCGACGGGCAATACGGAAAACCTTGAGACGTGTAATTGAATGATGTCGTTGCGTAATGAACGACCGGAACTGGCGGTCGTTGTCAAGGATGCATGCGATACTAAAGTGCTTTTGCCTTTTCACGTTTTTTTTTTTTTTTATTGTTTTCTTGGAAATATTCAATATACTCGTGAACATAACAACTAGTCTTTAATCTATGAAAGGAAGATCACCTGCGAGAATTAATATTGGAGAAAAAAATCTTATACTTTTTTAGTTAATTGAGAAACATTTCACTGATCAAATTGAATTGATTGAAGAGAATTTGAATACAAGGATGTAATTGTTGGTTTGCCTCCTGAATTAGCGATTCAAGATTCGTTCTAGTTCGTTCTACTATCCATGTGTTTCAATAAATAAATTTCATGGTGCCCATATATTGAGCTTAATAGTATACAAACAAAAATTAAGAACCAATCATAAAATACAATACAAAACATCGCAATTTCTAGCACACTACCTTCTATTATTAAATTGTACAATGCTATTTTTAAATTACCTGAAAGCGAACGTGCTACGCGTGCGCCTAATTGGATAGCGATTTAGGCATACCATTTTACGTAATTAATATTTTTGTTTTCTTCCTGAAAATTGATAAGATTGGACAAAATGTTGTTTACATTTTTAGTTTTTAGATCGAAAGTGTATATTTAAAATTTTCTTTGTCAAGATAAAGAAGCAAATAGCGATCAGTGGTTGATTTTCGCCGCCAAGTTGCCCGTTGCATCTGCGACTGCTTTTGATCAGAGTGTTACTTCCATCAAGTTGGCAGGCAAAATCTTTCCACTAAGTGTCACCTACTACACCGAGCATACAAAAAAAGCATACAAAAAAAGCACACGTTCTGGAAGTAGGATGCAGTATCATATAGAATATTTCTCAAATTATTTGACAACATTTGGCTATATTAATTACAGGACTGGATAATTATTTTAATAAATAGTTAATGTATGGCGTGCTGGAATACCTGAGTGACGAGAAAAAAAAATGTAAATAGGCCCTGTACTCGATGAAAGTCAAGCGGATACATTCATTTATTTCATTTTTTTTCCAGAATATTTCAAACAAAATTTGGTTGCAACATTTATGCTTTTCAAATGGATTTATGGACTGGATACTATTCGTCAATCGTGTGAGCTGTAAAACTTTGAAATCAGGATGTCTAATTAAATAATGATTAGACAGCAAGAGACAAGTGGATACTTCAGCAACTTCATTTTTTGGATAATAGAGAACGTGAAAAATTTTTTTTATATATTATGTATTGTTGCAACACTAGAGCGATATTCTTCTATATATATCAATACATTACGGTCTCGGCTTACATTCCAAAATTCATCTCATCTAATTACAATGCATCAAAATAAAAAAAAATCAATCAATCAATTGCCAATATCGCGACACGTTTATTCGTATAGCTGTAGCTTTCCATTTAGAAATGAGCATACAGAAATCAGAATGAGTGAATTCCATAAATGCTGGCTCTTTTATTTGCAAAAATTTTTATACATCTTAAACAAGATTTCAGGCAATTAAGTAGTTATTTTTATCTTAAGGACGTAATGCACTACATTCGAGGCCAATTCGATGTATTACGTCCGCGTGACGAATATCTTTTTTTATCACAATTCTGTTGAAAACCGTCCACACTCTCCTCTTGACATTTCATTAAGAAGGGGGAGAGATGGAAGCCACTAGTTAGATAGCTAGAGAATCGAATGATAGAATAACTCATGAAAAAAAATTACAATTTTGTGAGAAATTTAAGAAACAGAAATCTAAATGGTTCCGAAATGAATAGGTATTTATTTTGGTTGTCTACAGTTGACACGAACAATGATATGAATACACTGTCTATTGCACAATGCTCATTTAGCTCGCCAACTGCTTTTACTTACATGGTTAGGTGTTATGTGATTTGAAAATATTAGTTTTCCTACAATGAAATATAAGTAAAATTTTGAGCCACCATTGCCTATAGGCTGCAAATATATGCATTGAAAAATTTTGGATACATACCACGCAGGATTACAGATTTTTGCCATTTTGAAAACCCGTGAAGTAATGATTGTCAGGAGAATATGCTAAAAATATTACAATCATACCTATAAATAATTTACATAATCATTTTCATTTCCATTATTTCGGTGAATATGACTTATGATGATCCATTAAAATAAACTTTAATGGAAAAAAGTGCATCGAATGAGTACAGGAAGAAAAAAAAAATTGTAATTAAAAATTTGTTTCTCACTGTGTCTCTTGTCTTTGATTAACTTTTGAATTTCCAATTTTCCAATTTTAATTTTCAATATTTCGTTTATTATTGAATATTCAATTAGTCAATAATGATGATAATGATAGAAAAAAAAGAGAGGTAATCGATATGCTAGAAGTTGTATCCTAGTTTTAATAAAAAATGGAAAAAATATAATTTACCAGTGCTTACATGAGCGTGAGTGTGAGTGTGAGTAGGAGCGGGAGCGGAAGCGGGAGCGGGAGCGTACCCCGGTAACTCATATCTGAGAGTGATGACTTTTTGGACAACCCCGTCGTGGCACTCGGTAATGAAACAATTGATAGCACATAGTCAACTTTCTGGGCTGACGAGGAGACGGAAGCAATAGGATCATCATCAAGAAATATTAGGGTCGTCACAAGTGATGCTAAGATTCAGTTGTTGATTGAATTCCAATGAGAGGAATATTATCGGGCATTTGTACAGCCCTATGCTAATTTTATTATTTTTTATTCTTGTTGGAATAATTTGAAGGAGTTAGGCAATGAGGTTAGCGGTTAAGAAAAGTATATATGCTTTGTCTATTTTAAATTAACAACATGAAAAACTAAAAATGAATAATTTTCCTCAATTTTTGTTCCAGATGTTGGTGAATTTCAACTTGACGGAAGAATAAGCCCCGTTGAATCTGGCAAGTGTTTTTGACTGGGTCGGCCATCCGGTCGTCGAGCAATGGCTCGTCGAGAAAGATGAGATCCATTTTAGTACAACATCTTGTCAGTACATCAATAACTTAATCAATTCTAAATACGCAATCCTAAAGATATTGACGGAGATAATCCGAATAATACTGATAATCGCGGTCGCCGTCGTCGTCGTCTCCGTTGAGCCGAGGATGGCGACGACGCCGGATTCGTCGCATCCTATGGACACGACGACTCCGTTGGCGAAGTTAATTAACACATTCGAGAATACAGTCAACAAAACAACAACAACAACAACAGCAACAACAAGTACTACTACTACTGCTACTACTACTACTACTACTACTAATGGGACGTTATTGTGGCCTGAGATGCCTGTTGCCCTCTCAAAGGGATGTTTTCTCGGTTTCATCATAATTGCCGCTGTATTTGGTAATTTATTGGTGATAGTGTCAGTGATGAGACACCGAAAATTACGTATCATAACAAATTACTTTGTTGTATCACTAGCATTTGCTGATATGCTAGTAGCAATGTTCGCAATGACATTCAATCTGAGTGTACAAGTGACTGGGCGTTGGTTGTTCGGTTTGTTTATGTGTGATGTATGGAACTCTTTAGACGTTTATTTCAGTACAAGTTCTATACTACATCTCATGTGTATATCAGTCGATCGGTATGTGGCCATTGTGAAGCCATTAAAGTACAGGACATATATGACTAAGAGAGTCGTCGCTTATATGCTGATGGCTTGCTGGCTTGCCCCTGCAGTGATATCCTTTTTACCCATTTTCAACGGTTGGTATACAACATCAGACAACAACAAACATCGTCAAAATCATCCCGATATTTGTGAATTCAAAGTTAATGAACCCTATGCTATATTATCATCGAGTATATCATTTTGGATACCATGTTCAATTATGGCATTAACTTATTATGCGATATTCAAAGAGGCCAATAGGCAGGAGAAACAAATGCACAGTAGAATGGGCAATGCTATGTTGTTAAGTCACAGGCCAAGTAGAGATTTGAATAATTTGAATGGTGAATTAAATAGCGGCGGTTCATCCAAAACACTAACATTAAACGAAGTCAACATAGATCATCTGCATACACCAACAAAGGACAAAAATCTTATCAAGATGAAGAGAGAGCACAAAGCAGCTAGAACACTGGGTATTATAATGGGCACTTTTATTGTGTGCTGGCTACCATTTTTCCTTTGGTATGTTACCACAAGTCTCTGTGGTCAATACTGTAATTGTCCAGATATCGTGGTTCACATTGTATTTTGGATTGGCTATACGAATTCCGCCCTAAATCCCCTAATCTACGCCTACTTCAATCGCGACTTCCGGGAGGCCTTCAAGAATACACTTCAGTGTGCTTTTTGTTCACTCTGCAGAAGAGAGCCATTAGATCTCGAGGCATTGGACATACGTCGACCATCACTGAGGTATGGTATAAGTACCTTTCATCTTAGTAGTTGTATGAGGCAATGTTGACACATTTTCCCACAAACAATTAATTCGATCAAATACACATTTTATTTTTCTTTTCTTTTTTTTTCTTCCATTATCACTTGACACGACGTCTAATTAGAAGCGGCTATGCTGTCACCATTAACACAATTATGGTCGTTGTAGCAAGGAAATTATTAGTGAATTCATTTCCGAGTCCATATCAAATATTCACTCAAGCGTATATACTACGTACTTTGATCGGAATTAATGATAATTGGATGTGGTCAAGTCTGTTAAACGGTCTATGTCTGTGTGGTGAAAAAATTTACAAACAAACACGCTAGAAACATTCCGTTGTGCATTTTCTAGCTTACCAGGCTATTTGTGATTCACCTTATAATGAGCTGCCGATATACTGCCATGGAAAAAAACAATATAGAGCGTTGTGGCAGCAACGAGATGGAAACCTAGCGATGGATCAGTTCATTATCAACGGACCGCGTTAAATATTAATAAATTATTGGCTCTTCAAACTTAATTAGAGATAATTCAGGACACAGTGAATTTTATTTTTAAAAAATTCCGTCAGAAGCTATTAACTTTTTCCATTTTTTCCGCAAAGTGGCTACAGACAATTTCAATGGGAAAAATTCATAGAGGTGTATTAATTGACGTAAGATATGACATATCATTCGAATTGAAAAGTACTTCGAAAGCACTTGAGCTGCTCGGCGATTTTTTTCCAGTTGTAAAAAATTCGCTATCGTATACTTTGTCCTGAGAATATCGAGATTGGATAATAAATGTCATAGTCTGCAAATCTCGGAGGAATCAACTAAAACTTCATTGAAAATTAACACGAAATTAACACGTTTGGCTGAAAAAGATGAAGAATTATATTATATTAAGAATACAATTATGTCTAGTCTATTGAAGGTCTCCACTCTTTAATGCTGCTTTCAATAATTTCTGGAAATCATTTAAAAAAACTATGTGCATTGATCGCTCATAATACTCTATTTTACCTTACTCATTTGATTTCAGCCGAAATTTATAATTCGTTGATTTAAAATTTCAGGAATACTTTTATGCTCACCGACTCCTTCTCTATATTGAAAAAAACATTTTTTTTTTTTATATTTCCGAAAAGAAGAGGGTATAAAAGATTTTCTGGAAATTACTGGAAATTATCGGAGAATCTAATAACCATAGAATAACTCTTTCTTGCAAAAAAAAGTCATACTTATAGTGTACCAAATCGAAAATTATTAATGACAAAGATTTGATTTTGTTACAGAGTTTTGTTAATTATTTTAAAGAGCTATGTATCTGACATGTAAGAGAAAATGCCAATGCTGATCAATCTCGGTTAATATGTTATTGACAGAGAATAAACAAGAATGAGAAATGATACTGTTATTGTCTAAATGAAATGAGGTGAAAAAATACCGTATAAGAGAAACTTGAAAAATCTATTAATAAAATGATTATTATTATTTTTTTTTTTTGAGAGTAGTGAGTCAAATAGGATATGATACTATCATTTTATTATACGATTTTTGATGCTTGTTAGTAATTCCAGTGCCTGGATATGAAAAATAAAAAAAAGAATTAAAATAATGGATTTTTAACTAATTGTAACCCATTGTAACCCGATTATCTGCGTTGAAATGTACGTATATTGCCGTGCCACGCGTATTTAACTATTATTAGTTCCACTCAATTTTGATAAAAAAAAAAAAAAAATAGATATACACATGACCATTAGGAGAATACCGTTCCTAGATATGAATAAATTTGAAATCAGATTTCTCGTCTAAGTCAAAATAAACGAATAAGTCCATTAAAACAAGTTAACAACTAAAGAGAGATGAAGATGCAGTTAATAAAGAGTATTGAAAATTTCAGGTACGACGATCGAACGAAGAGCATGTACTCGGAGACCTACATCAAGCACAACGATCGAAGAGGATCGAGCGAATACGGCAGTAGTCTTTGAGACGAACTCAAATTTAGATTTTAAGACAGTTAACTACAAAATTATAATTTTAATGGACAACATTAAGCAACTCTCAATTTGTTCCACTCACTATTCTCGTTAATATTTATTATGAGGAAGAAACATAATGAGAATTGATTAATTATAATGCAAATATTATAATGCATATTTATTTCTGAAGAAAAAAAGGCCTGAGGGAAGTTATATCCTTTTTATATCACTTCTCGAATATATGGTTTTCTGATGGTTATTCTTATCGATGTTTGAATTTGTACCTACGAATCCTATAAGATGCATTGTAGAAAATATGACGTCGGAAATTAATACATCTGGTGCGAATAACCTCTACCATATGAATGATAGCATGGTCTAATGGTAGTTTAAAATTTGCTTTTTATTAGTTCAATTTTCATAAATTTCTCTGGAAATATCAATCTCAGGCCAAAGAAAAAAAAATGTACATACTCCCCATACTTTCCATGAAGTTCTCCACAAAAAATGTCTTGGTCAGTTTTTCGATTGAAATCCCTAGTTGAGAAATAATCCATTGAATGAAGTATGTCTGGTTCATGCAGATTACATTTTCAAAGTGAAAAAATCATCACTAGAATTCCCAATTTTATGGAAATGAAAATGAAAATCTTCTCCTCCCTCTTTCCAATAGCTGGAAAAATGATTCACAGGCAATTTCGGAACAGAAAATTTTCCTAAATTAAGAGAATTTATATAAAATATATCTGAGTATATTTCACGCTTCAACGACGAATGAAATTCTCAATAAGGATATATATAAAGCTCCGAAAAAAATTGAGTTTGCTAGAAAAAAAAAAAAATCGCCAAGACCGGGCTGTAATTTATTTTTTGAAAACTTGGGAAATTATGAAAAGTTGTAACGCACGCACGATTACACATAGATAAATATTCAAGAAAAATTACGGAACATTTCATGTAATCTGCAAGCAAAGAAATCATCATCACATAAATAACCATCACGGTAGAGTCAAGAAAAACCGTGAGGAGAGGATTTTTGCAGAACGTTTCGCAAAAATTCTTCAGCATCCAAGGAGTTAAAGTTTCGTTCGATTCCAAAACTTGCAGAAAAATTGCGTGACTTTTTCGAATTTTTTCGGTGATAGAACCCGAAAATTTATTGGAAGTTACACATTTTTCATTTCACTGAAAACGATTCTCGATGGCGGATTACGTGAAATACTGCGCAATTTTTGTTGAATATTTATCTCCGCGGGCGTATACAAAATATGGAAAGATTCAAGAAAAATTGAGTTAATAGATTTATAATTTTTCATGTGATTTGGAAAAAATCACCAAATCCGAGTCACATTAAAAAGTGCTAGTCAACAGTACCAATAGGTATTTAGTGGAGTCCATCAATTTAAATGTCGAAAAATACTTGTCTTCAGTACTGTTTGCATCTTTGAATGATGTATGGAGTTTATCTCCTTCAAAATTCTCTTTTTTTTTTGCGGAGAATTTCGTATATTTTTTATAAAAACATTAAAATTCTGAATATTAAGTTGATAAAAATTTCAAGTTAACCAAGGTGATGCATTCGTTGGCCACTTGAAGGAATGTTTTCAACTTTTTTCGAGACGAAGAACGGGAGACTCAGCAGGAGAGATATAATCCATTTTGGTCAATGTTTTCTTTTGCTACATTAGAATTTATGTGCAATGTATTTTCTTTTAGCGAGTTGAAATGCCATTCGCAATAGATATTTGAAATAGAATTGTCTCTGAAATAATTTCTAAAAAATTAATTACTTGTTTGGAGACTAGATTTTTTTTTTTTGGAATTTAGTCAGTAACGACGATTATTAAAGTAAATTCGAACTAGAGAATTGTACTAGAAGTATTTATGAAGTTTGCAACATTATTATTTTTTCCTTTTCCTGTAAAAATATCTTTGATATAATTTCTTTTTATGTAATGAAAATGATTTAGCGTAACCGAAACGGTGATTTATAAATTCACTATGAATATTGTAGTGGAAAGATTTTAAACAAAGTTCCACAACACGCATCGCGATATATGAATTTCGAATGTACGAATGTATGATACGAAATGAAAAAACCAAATTTATTCCGTTTTATGATATCGACGACAGTTGTACCGATCAATATCGAAAGATACAAATAATTGGAAAACACAATCTTTTGATTTTTAATGTTCATCAAGGTGGAACAAATAATAATCGTTATAGAAAAAATAAATGATGAAAAAAAAGGGCAAAAATATTTTGCTAGTAAACGGATATGTTGATTTGTATGCAGTTTCGCCGTAGTGATGACGCACTGCTTGACGAGAGGATGCAGCTGTGCGTCTACATGTTAAATGAGAGAAATGGCAACTTTCTTTTTCTATGCAAAAAGTTTATTTGATGGTAAGAGTCAAGTGATTATAATAATGAGATATAAGGGACTAGCAGAATAATCAGGATGGTTAGGCAGAAATAACGAATGAAGCTATTGGAAAATTGATAATGATTGAATTGGATTGGATGGGTATTATTCCACGGTGGTTACATGATATCATTGTAATAACTCCACTCTGATTGAAAAAATGGTTTTCAAATTTCTTGAATGTAGATAATGGAATGCTATAAGAGAATAACAATAGCCAAATCATTGACATCATTCCTCTTTGTATGTTTTTTTGCAAGTACAGTGGAGACTCTCTAAGATTTCAGGCAGAGATGTAGTCAGTCACTAAAATCAATTGTTTCGGAGACACTCACTTTATTGTTAGAAATGAAAATTATCAAGGAAAGAACCGACAAGAAATCTACATGTTTTATTAATTTTATCCTGATATCCTTGCCAGTAAATACGATCTTTCGTATTTCATAACAGTTTATGGTTTCTTCATGGAGAGAGCAGTCGAATTCTTCTACTGAAAATATAAACAATTGTAATCTTAGTAAGTATCCACTGTACAGTCAGTGTCTGGTTAAGCGCATTCAATAATAACATCCAAATCGTATTGGTACTTCACTATGAACCCAATGCCCGGTGTGATTATGCATTATTATTATGAGGGCTCCACCTCCCCACCTCCATCATAAATATTGAAATTGAGAGCAATATCAAGAAAAGTTGCATTTTCCGTAAATTAAGGAAAATCAATGATAACCCAAATAAATTTTCCAGTCTACGGGATGAGCTATGGTAAATATCTTCATTTACCAATCTCCATAGTTGCGAAATATTATGCCATAAGGGTAAGTTGCATATTTCTAAAAATTACATTTTCTATTCCAGCCAATGCTCATCTACATCATGATGGACATTCCATCTTTAAATTTATGCTTTTCATATAGGGTATGTGTGGGCAAATATTGAGCAAATATTGAGATAATACAGCAATAGTGGAATAGTAGCTGACCAAATAAAAAAGACTTTTTGAGTATGGTGGCTGCCTAAAACAAAATCAAAGATGCCTCATTATATATGTGGTATTTTAGGAGGGCAATTAAAGAAAGATTCTGAATGATCCTTGAGGAGCTACAGGGCATTACAGTTGGTAAGTATAATTTTTTCATTTTGATTTTTCGAAATATTATAAAAATAATAACAAATACATAGATCAATCAACAAATATATAATAAATATATGTAAAATGAGCCAATTTGTTATACTTTTTGGAGGATGCTTTGATAATGATAAAATTGTCTGCTTGGATATGACTCTGACTATGCATATTGCTGCATATTTATAATTAAATTCATTCATATACTCTTGGTTCTTCTCCAAACCTTCATCAATTCTGGATGCTACTGATCTGATGCATTTGATGAATACCGAGTATTGATCTCTTAAAAACTACTGTTAGAGCATTGATGACTCTATCTTCAGTAATAATCAACTTCTATTTTTAGACTCGGAATCCAAAAGTTAATAAATAAGCATGCGATGATTTTCACGATTGGAACAGCCTATTTTCAAGATATGTATTAATTTTCCTATAAATAAATATAAAAATGATAAGTTGAAATGTATTTTTTGCTTTCGTACACGATATCTTTCTGGTAGATATAGAAGTAAAGAGAGCAAGATCAAGATGTTTGTACGACGAACAAAAATAGCTACTAATGAAGAGATCCATCGTCAACAATTGATTGAAGGTATACTACTTGGTGAAACACCAGTTAATTTATTAGAGAAAAAAGTTGCGGCAATCACAAAACATCTAAGCATCGATTGCATACTACATGCAAAAATTCACAGTAGCCTCGATATTATCAAAAAAATGTATAATAGTGAAATGGAGTTGCATGCGATGAGCCTTGTTGATCATATAAACTCGTATTTGCAGGAGGTGTATTTTAAGTCCGGTGATATTATTCCATTACCAATTAAAAAAGCAATTGTTGTGTACAAAGCGGCAACACCACCATTACCACCACTGAATTATCAACTCGAACAAGCATCATATATCCCAGCCAATCTTCGTGAGTTTGAACATTTATGTTTTGAAAATCAAATGATATGTCAGTTCGATGGGAGAATGCCATTTGCCACGTATCTTTATAAAAATTTCCTGTACTATTTGAATGCATCGTGTGTTGAACAATTAGATGGGAATCAGTGTTGGCAAGCAAGGTTTGCCGTTCTACTTGCTGAGACAGAGCAAAATGATTATATGGCATACAGCGCATTTTACAGTAATAGTGTAGAGTACAGAGGACGTTCGTATGACTGTGCATTTGTCCCCAAATACCATGTACGAAATTTACGTCCAATTAAATATAATGTTCAATTAGTTGATGATAGAGAATTCGTAGAGTATTTTGAATCCTTGAATGTAACAAGTGTACGACGTATTCCCATGCAATATATTGGTATATTCTTGGTGTTTCCTTTTAAAGAGGGACATTATATTCAACCGAATGGGGAGATTATATCTCCAAATCTATTACCACCAAAGAAACAATATATCAATATGAATTTACTTGCGGCAAATATTTGTAATGTTAGCCAGTTGGAGGGAGCACTTGATTGGACTGGACGCGTGGCACAACTCGATCATATAATTTCATGTGTTGTTCATGCTCGTACATTAAGAGAGGAGGGTATGGCTCTAATGATTCTACGACGAATGCTGGGTAACTACTTAAAATTGGGTATTTATAATATTTCACTTCCAAATGAAACAGAAATTCTTACTTGGATGCAGTTGGTTTGCTCAACAAAATTACCTATACTTCCTCCTATTCATTACCCTCAATCACGAGGCACAGGGATGTGGGTTGGATTGATTCAAGATATTGCTCAGTCATGTAGCACAAATTATGGTGCTAGTATACTTTCATCAGCTTACGCTATTCCCGAACTCGAAATAGTCAACGTATTTGAGGCATTAAAATATGATGCCGAAAAATATGTCTTCTACACAATCATCATGCAACGTTACGCCTGTCCAATCTTCTTTAAAGCTAGAAATTATTTGAAGCCTAAATTTGGAACAAGTCAAATTAACTTGACTCAATATCAAGTATGTAAACGCAATTATTATAATACTACACTCGATGAACGTCTACTACAAGCCATAACTCAGCCCATTGTTCGTTCAACAGACATTAATCAAAATGTCCCATGGTGTCCGCCATTTAAATGCTCAGATCTTTATGAATTTTCTGATGTTCAGCTCAAAGAGCTCGTGAAAGGTAAAAACATCCAACTGACAGATGAACAATTGGCAGCTTTAATCGCTCTCGCCATAACACAAGTCTAGTGTAGATATTTTGATTTTTCAATCATCAATTATGGAAACCATTACAAAGCAATCAAGATTTACGAAGCGAGGTGTAATAATTAAATAATCAAGTTCCATAGTCATATAGTAAAGCTTTGTTTTTTAAAAACCCACTAGTATTTGACAATGATACTTGCATTTTATATTATTCTTGTTACGCTGACACTTATATTACATCATTTGAATGGAGCGTTCAATAATTTTCCTTCAAAAGCATTCATTGAAAGGCATAAATAATAATTAAATAAGATGTTGTTTAGTGATGCAATTGCCAGCCCAATCCCGAACTCAAATATGCTCGACACCAATGCAGGGAGAATATCACTCTTCTCGAATATCTACCTGATATAATACACATAATATTTTCCTGAACAGAGATAGTCGGATGGCAATCGTGCTTTTTCAACAAATGTCTTGAGATTTTAACAGCAACTTTTTAACAGCAAATTTCCCCATCTCAATGATTTGTAAAAAAAATTATCTACAGTCTTTATAACTTTTACAACTTCAACATCACAGTAGTTGTTTGCTTGTTTGTTTTTTTTTTTTTTTTTTTTTAATAATTAAATCATTTTTACGGAGCACTCAAGTGATGTGAGCGTGCAGAATAAGGTGTATTGTCAAGATCAGGTGGTGATCATGGATTTAACTTTAGTTGTAAAAGTAATGTTAATTCATGGTGACAAAAAATGGTGACAATCAATTCAGCGGTCGTATACTTGAAGTATGAATTAGAAATATTGTCATCAAATTGTATGTACAATTGCACATAAACTTGAATCAATTTTATTAATCCAAATGAAGAGCTCCTTTCTTCATTGGTATAATAGAAACATGTACTTTATTTCATTTACTATGAGTAGGGGTGGGGGAGAAGACAACTACGGGTTTGTAATCGTATAAAGAGAAGCACAAAAAATGTAGAGCCACTGATGAAGCCCCATTATCCCCCTTATGTGCACGTCACAGTCATGATTGAAGGGTGACTGCAAAGTGAAGAACTTCCAAGTAGACATAGTTACATTGGTTAGTTGGACGCGCTTGTACGTGGAGGACATCTGCCTTAACTGCCATCATGGTGAGTTGAATGACAAATAGATAAACAATGATTGTTAGAAAAAAAATATGATGATTGTAAAAATAATGGTACAATTGAGAATATGAAAAATCTAATGAAAAACAATGCTATTAATTCAGAATCTTTTGGCGTTCGTTAAACTTGGCTATGCCATGACGATTGGTACTCTTCTTCTGATGTTCTGGGCTTCGATGGTCAGAATGCACGAGTTGCCAGTGCAATATCCTCCGTGCTTCTTCAACCCGCTCTGTACTTGTTCAAAAGCAATTCCAGATCTTGGAATCGTTAATTGCGAAAATGTACCGATGCCCAGAATTCCACAACAAATCAATTCATCTAAAGTTTTTATTCTAAAATTGGGTAACAACGGATTGCGTCATATTCAGCCTCAATTTCTCGTTACTACAGGTACTGTTTCATGAGTGATCAATTAAATAAGTTGAGTGAGTTTGTGAGGTGTTGGATTGACATATTTTTATGTATTGTCCTTCAGGGCTGTACAATCTTCAAATAAGAAATAATCCCCTATCCGATATACCAGATGAGGCGTTTCTAGGGCTTGAACGATCGTTATGGGAGCTAGAGTTACCGTATAATCAGCTTGTCGCAGTACCCAGCAAATCATTTAGGCATCTTCAAAAATTAAAAATTCTCGACTTGACAGGTAATTTAAAGGCATTTTACCTTTCTCATCAACACAATGATATGTTGTATAGTAATGAAGCAAATTAAATAAATACGCCCTGCACTCTTTCAAGAGGATAAATTTTAGATGGATTTGAAATAAATGGCATTATTAAATTGATGACATCTTCTCAACTTCATATTATAGGTAATCAGATATCATCAATTGCGGCAGACAATTGGCGAGGACTCGAAAACTCTTTACAAACATTGCGACTTGGAAAGAACACGATTGATAAACTCCCTGCCGATGCTTTCTCTGGTCTAAAATTTCTCGAAACATTAGACTTGAGAGAGAATAATTTGCTGGAGATTGACTCATCTGTCTTTAGAGATGGAATGGCACATTTGTCTTATCTCTATTTGAGTGGAAATCAGTTGACGATGATACCATACAGTCAGATATCGCCTTTGAAACATATGAAAATACTAGATTTAAGTTATAATCAGATTCAAATGATGATTCAACCGCAAACTGAACCAGAAATTAAAGGATTACAAATCTCGTTGGATACACTGAGACTCGATTGGAATCAGATTGAGACTCTACCAGTTGCTTCTTTCCAGCATTTCTTCAAGATCAATAAAACCTATTTGAATGGAAATCCTATTGCACATGTGGAGGTCCGTATCGACTTTTATCAATGAAAAAACTAATTTACTAAAATACTATCAAAAATCACCGAGTTGAATATGAAAGGATAAATAAAAAAAATTAATATATTAGGTATAGTGATTGACTGATACATACTGATTGTATTTGTAGGAGGGTGCATTCCAAAATTCCAAAATCCGAGAGCTCTATTTTACGGATTGTGATATCAGGGAAATCGATTCATCATCATTGAGGGGTTTGGAATCATCGCTAGAACATCTGGACTTATCTGGCAATAATATAACAGATTTTCCAAACCATGTTTTTCAAGAATTTGATTTTTTGAGAACTCTAATTTTTAAAGAGAACAAGATTACAACGTTCTCTCCACGTAAGGCTTTTTTTTTTGTAATATAATTTTAAACTTTTCATACACAAACTATAAAAAATCATTGAAGAATGGAGCGTGAACGCCATGATGGTACGATATGTGTGACAATTTGAGTGAGTGAACCTATAACATTGCTTTATTTATTCGTAATTAACGAGTGGAATTTCAAAAAATAAAAAAATAAATAAATAAAAAAAAAATTTTCAATCTTTATATAATGTCAATAATCAATAATAATTACAGAAGAGGTATTCACCGGTTTTCAATACTCACTCTATAACTTGGAACTAAGTGGAAAACAAAATGCTGCAGTATCCCTCCAAGATCTTCGTCAGATGCGAAATTTGCGATTCCTATCAATATCTAAAATGCCCCAAACCACTCTATCTCCCGATGACTTTCTAGAATTCGGAATTGATGTCAAGGAATTGCACATAATTCAGAGCAATCTCAACACCATCAAGGGTCACACCTTTACCCACGTGCGGGGAATAAAATACTTGGACTTCTCTGAAAATGAGATTTCCTCAATTGAAGAGACTGCCTTCTCTGAGGTGGGGCATTCACTAATTACTCTCAAGCTTGCTCATGCATTGTCCATGACCGAAGTGCCAGCGAAAGCATTTTCAGCACTTACAAATCTTCAGTACCTCGATTTGAGTAATAATCAGCTTCGCTCCATGCCTGAAAACTCATTCCATTTTTTGAAGAGAATCAAACGAATAGAAATCCAAGATAATGAAATTTCGGAAATTAAGAAAGGAACATTCCAGGTGAGGCACGAATCAGTAATTCAATGTTGCGATATTCTTGATAAATTGCCTTTGAATCGAGTGGAGTATATTATAATATAAAATTATGGAAGATTGAAATAATTATTCGATAATGTTTATAGGGGGACATTCACTCCACACTGGAAGAAATAAATTTTGGTTACAATCAAATTTCAAACCTCCAAACCCATACATTCGTCGATCTAGCAGCGATGACAATTCTCAATCTCCAGGATAACAAAATAGAAAAGATCGAGAGACGTACATTTATGAACATGAATCGTCTCAAGTATCTGAATCTCAGAGGGAACAAAATGAAAATTATCAACGACGAAGCCTTTCAGAATCTTCCAGACTTGGAATTCCTCGACATGGCTTACAATCAACTCGCTGAATTTCATTTTGAATGGTTCGATCAAGTTGGAACTCTTGCAGCACTCAAAGTAAATGCCAGTCACAATGTGATGACACGATTAAAAATTAATTCCTCGAGTTATCTTCCGGCAACTAACAGTAAGCAGCAAAGTTTATAACAGGAGACAAGAAAATTTCAAAATTCACTTTGGCATTGGACATTGGCAAAGAAAATTTTATTTGAAAAAAATATATATGGAAATTTCTTCTTCCAGCTTATTTCTCTGCTGGCGGAACTCTGCAATCGAATATTAAGGTTTTAGAGCTCAGTTGGAACAACATCAGTGACATTATGAAATTCTACTTCCGTCCCGTTGAGTATTCATTAACTCATTTGTATATGTCACACAACGAGCTGATGAACATGACTCAAGCTGTTTTCGGATCCCTTCCGCATCTCCAATGGTTGGATCTTCGTTACAATGAAATCATGGAAATTGAGTTTGATTGTTTCAGAAATACCAAGAACATTCAAGTGCTTCTACTGGCCCATAACGACATCATCGATATCCCTGCAGATGTCCTAAGGACGCTCAAGAAACTTCGGATTTTAGACCTCTCTCATAACAGACTGAGAACACTTCCAGATAATGTTTTCACTGAACCTAATCTTGAAAGTCTCGATTTGTCGCATAATCAGTTCATGAGGCTGCCAATAAAATCACTTTCTGGGCCTGCTGCAGGGTCGCTCTCAGTTTTTGATATGGGATGGAATTTACTCTCGGGAATCCATACGACTGATTCAATCTCTAGGCTTCGGGTGAGTTAGAGAGTGGTAGAAAGAGTGATTATTCATTGGTAAATGCATCAATTTTTCCTTTAGGGACTTAACCGTTTGGACATCTCGTATAATCGCCTAGTGCGTTTGGATGACGGTGTTTTCTCTGAACTCCCCCATTTGACTGATTTGGATTTGAGCCATAACAAGCAACTTCTCCTGGACAGCCGAGGTCGTACTTTCTATGGATTAGAAGATTCCCTCCTGAGCCTTGGTCTCAGTAACATTTCCTTACTGAGTGTTCCCGAGCTGCCCTTCCACCGGCTTCGAATACTGCACCTAGCCAACAATGAGCTCGCTTCAATTCCTGCCGAGCTCGCTTCCAACCTCTCTTCCCTTCATCACCTCGACCTAAGCCACAACGATCTCACGGTCGTTCCTCTAATCACCCATACACTCTCAGAGCTACGCACTTTTAATCTCGGCTATAATCCAATTACTGCCGTCACCAACACGAGCTTTCTCGGTCCAGCAGACAGTCTCATTGAGCTTGATATCCGAAGACTTCCTCTTTGGAGTTTCGAGAGTGGCGCCCTTTGTAAAGCATCCAAACTTCGTTTCCTCCATCTCACTGCCTACACTGCTATAAAAAACTTCAATTTTCCTAATTTATTGGAACATAATCATGGCCTCCGACATCTCCACATAGACATAAATAATGAAACAAATCTTGAAAAAGAGATGAAGGGAAATTTTCCAGCAAAGCTTTATAACCTTACTTTCAGTGGAAGAAATTTCAAGTCCATTGATAAAAATATCTTAAAAGGAATCAAATCGCCTCATCTTCATTTTGCTCTCTATAACACCTCAATCACTAAGGTACCCAAAGAAATGTTTGAGAATGCCGGATCTGTTCGAAATGTTACTATTAATCTCTGGAATAATGATATAAAAACATTGGAGAACCCTTCGAATGGACATAAACCTGGGGCTGCTAACAAAAAATTCTTAATGAGGCTGAGAATGGCAGGGAGTCACTTGAATTGTGATTGCGATATTGGCTGGATTGAAGGCTGGCAGAGAAAGCAGAGACAATATCAGGAGGACAGGTGTTCCTATTTACCTCTGCGACAGTATAATTTTGAAAGAGATGAGAATAATGAGTACAGCTGCTGGGATAATGGCTGGGATGATGATTTGAGGGAGAGTTATTGTTCGAACAAAAATAACAAGTCTGTCCAAAAAACTCTAAAGGATGATATAGAGTGTGGATGGTCGTTGGCCATCAGGAGTTTTCAGGTCCCTTGGCTTCTCACCATTATTGTCCCCATTTTTGTACTTAATACTTACTGAAATCTTCACACACACTAATGGAAAATTTTCATTGTCTGTGGGTGAATGGGGTAAAGAATACATGAATAATAAGCTTCACAAAGCCTCTCATGTTAATTATTTTGTCAATTTGAATCTTTGAACAATTATTCGGTCTATTTCTCTATCTGGCAATTTATCGAGTAAAACTATCTTCTGAAATTTTCAGCTCTTCAGATTATTTGTTAAAATCTTGAAGAATATTTGAAGAAATACTTGGGTAACATGCGTGCAGCAAGAATTATGTACTGATTAAGAACTAATGTAAGTTTCAGATGAATTAAGAATAAATGAATTGTGTAGACGATAGATTTATTGTTGTTATTAATTATTGGAAAAACAATATTTGAGAAATGATGCCAAAAATCATTTGCAGAAATGGGAGCCAAATGAACCCGAAGATAAACAAGAGGCAGATGTAGATTGAGATCAGTTGAAGTCCAAAAATAGCAGATCTAGTGGCTTTTTGCTTGGTATCTTGTAGGAAAACAATATCTACAGTTTTGTCGAGAATAAATCTCGAAATGAAGAGAATAATCTGCAAGTAAAATTACATTATCGATAGTAGCATTGTAATAGTGAATAAATCGAGAAGTTATTGTACATTATGATAGATTAGAAAACTGATCTCAGGAGAGTTTAATAGTTTTCTTTCATATTCATTGAACCAGTACTTGCATCAATTAGCTCATTATTCAATTATGAAGATGATCTGTGCTCATTAAAAAGAAAACAAAAAATTATCACTGCCTTGTGCAACGGTTTTTTTTTTTTTTTATAATGAATATACTATGTCTCTATCAATTTTCGATATTGTAATCATTTATGATAGAAATTTTCTGTCTATTTACTTTTGTCATAGGAGCAATGTTGACAAGCATAAAGAATAATGTTAAGAGGGATTTTCCTGTAGCTTGGCCCAAAATCTTCAGCAGTGAAGTAAAGCAATACTCATCTCTGGAAATTCCTTGACTCTCTTGATAATTCACGAGAAAATTTCGCATGCTAATCAAAAAATTGTGCTTTTTCTCTTCATTCTCAGGCCCTGGGTTTTTCTCGTTCAACGGAATTGAGAATTTAGTTGTTTGTAAGGGAACGGGATTCGATATTCTGTAAACATTCTTAGATTTTCCCTCGGGAATCGTGAATATTGAGGACAGATTCAACATTTCTCGGGTAAAAATTCGAGAGTTGATGTGCCTGGAGTTGGAAGCGTCGGCCCAATCACCTGAAGTAACAGACTCACTGAAAACAGGCTCGTTGGATGGTGAAGATTCTGGAAGATTCAAGTTTTTCACTTGTCCAAGCAATTTCTCCATGATTTCCAAAGTGTCCAATTTCTTCAGGTGACTCTTTAAAGTAAATCATTTGTTTGCACAATAGATTATGTAGAGGAATGATGAGTGTTGTAAATATTGCTAGGACTAATGCACTAATGAAAAAATGATTTTTCTCCACCTAAATACACTTGATACAATTTGGGCAATTATTAATATTGTCCACTTTTTTTTTTCTATAAGTTGGTTTAATTTAATTGGCAGGACTAATGCAATTTTTTCAATGTAGATTTAGGTACGTTAACTAACTTACCGTTACTGCTTCATCAAGCTCCTCATCTGACATTTGATTAGTATTGCTATTCGTTGTTTCAAAAAACATGGTAAAAAATATTAAGTACTTTATTCAATTATAATGAAAAATTTTGACGGAATATTCCATTTACATTTTCCCTGCAAATCAGTAAATAATTGAATAGCAGATTTTTCTTCTTTCTTCTCTTCACTTCACTCGGAACATTAAAAATCATCTTATTCAATCCAATCTCTAGTGGGAACAAAAAACAATAATCGAACGACCTGTTTAAGATAATGGAAACATGCATTTATTGATAGACTAAATATATAATATATTGCAAATATTTCATTTACACATTTCTACAAACAACTAATAGGTTTAAATCGGAGCTGACAGAATATAAAAGCAATATTTGATAATAAAAACTATTATACCAGAGAGAAGCATAAAGATTCACGCATATTTGTGTAAAAACTGGTTTAGTTGAATTCATCTGAAGAACAATTGTAACTATTTGATGTGGAAAATTAGTTACTATTATTCTTCTCCAAACCGAGAGATATACATGAAATAACCTAGAAATAATTCTAGCAGCAATTTGCATTTTCAATATTTTTATAAACTTTTCACTTTTCCTCAAGCAATAACCGTTAAAATTCATAACATTGGAATTAATGGATTCTATTTCCCCCACAAATCATCCTTTATATGCCTATAAAAAATATTTCTGCTCTTGACTATACTTTTCCTTATATCAAATTAGTTGTGTCAATTTGAGAAAAAAAAAAAGAAAGTAAGCAAAATACAATTTCTTCAGTTTGATGAGGACTATTCATAATAAAGCTCATTTAGAAATCATAATATTTGTTTATGATACGTTGAATTGGAATTTATTTCTTTAGAGCTGATCTCAATATTGCAGCTCGCAACGACGTAACCATTTTCTCCAATTCCTCCACCTTCATCTTCAAGAGTCTATTGTCCTTCTCCAATTGTCCTGCTTTTGCCATCATCTCCCTCTCCTTTACCTTCTTGTTCATTCTTGATTTTCTCGATGCTTCGTTATTTTTCTCTCTACTCTCTCGATAACTACATTCGGACATCCGGTCATCTGAATCACTCTCGATGGATCGTTTTTTTCCCCGATTTGTCGTTCTGATGTGTATCGATTCAATCATTGGCTCCGGTTTGAATCTTTTCGGGATGAATCTTGCTCTTGTCGTTCGTAATGACGATGTCGTTGAGGTTTCCAAATGTGTGATCGAACTTGATATACTTGACGACGTTACTGTTTCCGGTTTGTTATCTATTTTTATTGGTTTCCTATTACTGAAAGCTGAATGATGTGTCATTTTTTGGCTGGATAGTTTGATTGAATCTGGCGAGACACTACCGTCTGGTGATTGGAGGTTATCCTATATAAAAGAGGATTATTGTAGAGGAGATTTGAAAGCTGAGAGAATATTATTTATAATTGCTGGATTGAAAAAAAAAAAAAATAGTAAATAAATACGTAGATTGGGAAGGTTTGCACTTTGAATTTGGACTTACATCGCACAAGTAAGACAGTAGATCAAACGAATTCTGCTCAGTATTGTCGAATGTATTAATAACATCCCAGTTATCCCTCTGAAGAGGCTCATTCACCCTTTCATTATCCACCAATTGAATCCACTCATCGGTCCTCATTGCAATTGATGATTTAGGTGAATCCAACCATACGTCTGGCATACCTATAACCTCGTCAATTTTCTCCTCCTTGGGTTTGTATTTATGGATCATTTGTGTGTTAATAACGTCCTTCCCACCCTCCATTATTTGTTTGTTCTTCTCCAATGTTTTACTCCCGTAAATTACCCCCTGACCCACTGCAACTGTCCCCAAAGTCGTCGAAACGCTTTTATCGTCCATTTTCTCACCTGGAAAATTGAAACAATTAATGAGCAGAGTAGAAAAAAAATCGCTTAAAATTTGGTAACGATATATTTACCTAAATGCTCTGCTGTCTCAGATTCACCTATAAGAAAAGGGCATTGTCCCTGGAACGCGCCCATACAAAAGTTGCTCAGGTCCTGATAATTCTCTTCCCAAATTGAAAAAACTGTATTTTCCTCCTCGTTGCTTGAGGAAGTCTTGGTACTCAGTGAGCCCCAGGGTTCCTTCATTTCCATCACCGGTGTCTCCAACAAGTCGGTAACAATTGCTTTCGCCATAACCGTCGACGCAGTCTGCGCGTTCACGCCATGAGAAGCAAATGACGGATTCTCCTTTCCGTTGCATGGTGCTGTTACCTGGAATAGATTCGTTCCTGTTCTTAGTGGCAGCTAAAAGAATAAATGGCATCAAGCGATACCCTCATTTTAAAATGGTTAATGCCAAATTTGAGCGTCACTCACTGTAAACTCGCCCCCTCGCGCTAATGAAATGTTGCTGGCCGTTGAACGCTCGTAAATGGGAGGGATTGTGTAGGCCTAAAACAATATCACATGCATGATGATAAGGGGAGGAGACAAACGATAAGATTACCGTACAAGTCCTGATTAATTAGCCAAAATGACTTAACCAAGTTCCACCGTTTCTGTTGAATCACGTTAATCAGCAATTGTTACACTCATCGCTATTTTTAAGAAACTTTATCTTACTGTATTCCCAATGCTAAACAAATGATTAGTATAGTATATTGTGTACCTAGGTAGATAACGCTATAATTTCGCCTAGAGCGGTAAAAAAAAATAAAAAAACATTTGTATTGACTAAGTGATTTTGCATAATGTATAAATAATAATAAAGAAATGTTTACGATTAAAAGAAGAAATCTTGAAAAAATGCAATTAGACATGGGTTTTTTTAGCTTTATATTGATGTAGGCGTAATCAAAACACCTCATGAAATTCGATGATCAATGTTTACTGTCTTTTTTCAACTATTTTTTTTTTATTTCCGTTATAATCCGTCGACTCACAATGATGAATCACTGACGACTCTTTACTCCTATTATTCTTAGCAAAGGGATTCACAATATTTCCAGATTAATATCTCCACATAACTTCACTTCCACCTCGTTATCCTATTATGACTTATCTAACTCACCGATAAAGATTACAAGCCGCCCCCAGCCGTATTAGAAACTTATGTAATATTTATCTGTTACCAGTCAGTTTAATTTCAAATAATTTTTCCTCATTAGCCGAATACCTCTCATTTTTTTTTCCTGTCAATAATGACAATGGAAAACTTCACTCATTAAAAAAACAACAAAGTTAATAGAATAAGGGGCTCTGTTAGTAGAGTAAGCAATGAATACAGCTGCTGAATGAGATAGCAAAATTTTCATCAAGAATTAGCATTTAATTGATAGATATAAGCATCACCGATTATATACAATAAGTACTGAAAAAATTTAATGAAAAATTATAACATCATTTGTAAATGTCTGACGAAACTGTTACATCAACCGAGTCTGAACCTAAACAATTCGAGGCGTTTCAGCTTTTTTCATTAATTTCAATAGCTAAAAATACCGAATTATAAATTTAAAACTCACTGGAAAATCCCATGGTGTTACGTAAACCCCTGAAAGTATATATGCAACAAACATCGTACATACCCTCCCTAAATCGATAGGTTTGATGTTCTCCTTCCACTTGGAACGGTTTTTTCTTTAGTTAACTTACTTGAAGGACCTCAATTGAATGGACCTTCCTTGTAATAATTCACTTTATTTTTGGGTATTTTTATAATATTTGTTTATTGGTGAGATGATTGCCAAGAGAACCAAGAGGAGAAGAGGAGTGAGCGATGATGAATCGACTGCTGCTTACTACTGTTGCGTTGGGCTCTGACGAGTGCGACCAGCGACCAGCGACCAGCGATGTCGGGTTGGAGATCAGCGCAAACGTCACTAAACCACCTCAAGTCCCGAACACGTCATATTTCACCAATCAGTAGATAGATAACGTCATGTGCAGCCAATAGCAAGTCCGATTTGTAGGAGAGTGGGATGAGAGCTCGGCAAACACGTCATTCGAGATGCTCGAGATGGTTTGGACAGCAACCCGCGACAAAAGATTATAGTGGAGATCGGCAGGCGCTTATGGCAAAGGTTCAACATGGATATTTCCTTGCGGCGACTGCGGAACTAAAACAGAGTCCATACCCGTGAATAAGGCAGGGCACGAGGCCGAGAGTGTCGATAACGGCGGGGGGGAAAGAAGGAGAATGGGAGGCGAAAGTGGGAATCTTCACGGGCGAAAAATAAGTGGGGAACATGAGAGCGCTGAGTGATCTCCGACTAATCCGTCCGTTAATTAAAAATTAATCTCTTCTCTCCTAATTATTATTAAGGGCTGAAACAAGCGATACTCGATGAAAAATAAAATGGTCCATCCATCGACTCCCATTGTATCCCTTAATTTTGCCATAAGCGCTGCTGATCTCCCCTATTATCTCTGCTGGGGTCACTCAAACCCCCAAAACTGACCCTCTACTTTAGTCAATCCTCTTTGATTGGGACAGAGATTATATATTACTCGCGGAAAATAAGTGGGCAAAATTGAAACGTTCGGTGATCTACAAGTAATTCACTCGGCTTAAAAAATTCACCTCTTTTTTCATAATTAATATTAACGGATGAAACGATGTAAAATGTATTCGATGGGAAATTACATCCTCCATCCAAGTTATCCCGACAATTTTCACTATGAAAAATTTCCATTTTTAAGTATTGGAAAAAAATAATTTTTGACAACATGTGAGAAATAACGTTTGTTTTTTTAATTCTCCTTGTATCCTGATTGTGAAATTGATCATAAAATAGAAAAATTAATAATGTACATTGTGAGTAATGTTGCTTGTGATATGAAAAAAAAAATGACTTGACTCAGCAGAAATAGCGCCATGTTGCGGGCTTGCGGTCATGGATAATGTACCTTATGATAACGATAAATCGTCGGGTGATTAGATAACAGCTCTCAGGCCGATGATTGGTTGTGAAAAATAATTCCCTACTATTTTCCTTCAATTCTGCATAATACCTCATTCGCGCAAGTGTATTCGACTTGAAAGTTACACATTGAATAGCCAGTGTCTGTCAAGCATGAAGAACTACTTGATAATGACCATGCCTGTAGACTTTGAATTTACCAAGCTCCTTCTTATAATAGTAGTGCTTCTTCTCCTCTTGTATCAATACCTGATATACAACTATAATTTCTGGAGGTCGAGGGGAGTTTGTGGGCCCCAGCCTGTTGCACTTTTTGGCACTATCAAGGACATCCTTTTGGGTAAGGATGGCCTTGGAAGTTACTCGACAAGAATTTACAAAGAATATCCCAACGAATCTCTGGTTGGCATCTACTCCCGTCGAGAACCTGTTCTTATAATACGCAATCCTCACTTGATAAAATCCGTTCTCATCAAGGATTTCTCCAACTTCATGAACAGAAGTTTGGAAATATCAGATAAGCATGATCCCCTCATGCAGAACCTCTTCTTCCTCGATGCTAAAATATGGCGGCGATTACGGACCAAGTTGACTCCTGTTTTCACTTCAGGTAAAATTCGTGACATGTTCTATCTCATCAATGAATGCGGACACCAATTAATCAATTATCTGTTAAAGTTCGATGGAACAGTAGTGGAAATGCGTGCAATAACTTCCAAATTCAGTACTGAGGTAATTGGCATGTGCGCATTCGGACTGCAGGCTGATTCTTTCGGAGATGAAGAAAGTGTCTTCTTGAAAATGGCAAAGAGGATTTTTCAGGTAGACTTGAAGTACTTTTTCAAGTTTATTTTGCGGCAGTTTGCTCCGCTTTTGTATACCATTTTTGGTGGATGGCTGAAGGATACCGTTTTGGAGGAGTTTTTTATTAATCTCGCCAAGGATACAATTGAGTACAGAGAGCGGAATAATGTAATAAGACATGATTTCATTGATTTATTGAGGAGTTTGATGAAAGGGGTCAGTGAGGTGGGGGATATTGAACTTACTGATGAGCTGGTGGCTGCACAGCTCACTGTTTTCTTTGTTGGAGGCTCTGAAACATCTACTACAACCATTAGCAACTGTCTCTATGAAATGGCGATGAATCCGGTGATTCAAAAGAAGCTCAGAGCCGAAATCCGAGAGTACTTGGAAAAGAGTAATGGGGAGATCACTTACGAAGGGCTTAATCAAATGAAATATCTGGATAAATGTCTTAATGAAACACTGAGGAAATATCCACCGGTTACCATTATAACAAGAAAGTCGTTAAAGGAGTATATCTTCCCTGGAACGGGGTTTAAGCTTCCAGGGGGAGTCAAAGTTTGGATCCCAGTTTTTGCAATTCATAGGGATGAGAAATACTATCCGGAACCGAAAGTCTTTAATCCTGAGAGATTTGGGGAGGAGGAATTGAAAAAACGCCAGAGCATGACATTTTTACCGTTTGGAGAAGGACCGAGGAACTGTATTGGTGAGTTGATGGATCAATTCTCATCCAAATCCGCATCATTTGTGAATTATTTTTTCCACAAACCATAACTCTTTTTTTTCCAGAATGAAATTTTTTTTTCATTCACTTTTCTGTTAATAATTTCTCGACCTAAATTTTGCATTAATTTTTCTCATAAGTGTTTCACTCGATCGAATGGCTTAAATATAATCGTCTTCTCCATTTTCTTTTTAGGTGCTCGCTTCGGAAAAATCCAATCAAAATACGGAATTGTTAAGATCCTCCAGCATTTTACTGTTGAAGTTTGTGATAAGACAGATAAAGAATATCGAGTCAATGCTAGAGCTATGTTCCTCACGCCGCTCAATGGAATTTATTTGAAAATCAATAAATGTCCAATATAGTATATTTTACGCCTAGGTGATAGTGACGAGGATTATAATGCGCATGAGTCATAATCACTATTTTCGCCGTGGCTATGATGCTATTTTATGTCATTGTGGCCGAAAATGCTTTTTTATCCGAGCGAAGCGAGGTTAGAAACGCGTTTTACCGGCCGCAATGACATAAATGTAATGTATACTCATCTGAAACAGGAAAGCGAATGTCCAAGAGTGTGTGTTCAAGAAATCATTTTTTTTTTTTTTTTACAAATATTAAAATTAACATTTATTCCAGTATGTTGTTTCTTTTTTTCGTTATTCATCCCTAGATGAATAATATTACCTATTATTAATCAAGTATATTACAAAACAAATACATATGTATAGTAACAATTATATAGCAAAAATTATATATATATATATATATAAAATTTTCTTAAGATAAATTGAAAGAATCATTACGTACAGCGCTTATGTGGCTTGCGCGCCGTCAAAAATTGAGAGTTAAATTTCATCTAATGATGTGATGATTGGCGCTTTAAATGATATGCATAATCTGTAGAAGTGTAAAATGATTTTGAGAGATAATGGCATGGGATAAAATTTGAAAAAAAAAATTTTGTCTCAGTTGATATGTTATTTGCCGCACCCACTTCTAGCAATTACTGTACGTGTTATTTAAATACAAAAATAACAAACACACAAGGGGAAAATATTCATATACATACACAATATCATTCAGACATACTGTCAATGGATTTGCACTTGAGAAGAAAAATCACACTGATAATTTTTTTCTTCTTCATAAAATGCATTGTCGACTAGTGCCGAAGTAAAAATCGGTTTATTTACCGATCGTTACTCCAGGACGTCAGAGTCGTTCTTCGCTATTGAAATTTGATTAATATAAAACAAGGGATTGTTGAGGGATTTATTAAATCTCAAATATCCTGTCTCACGCTGTCTCTCTTGTATCTCAGAAATGTGAACATCTCTGGAGGTCACTGGCCCTCGCTGTCACTGTCGCTCTTGTCTATCAACAAATTTACAAATTTTGTTCTTTTTATTTTTCGTTAATTTTGTTATTTCGAGACTGTTGTGATCTAGTGTATTTTAATACCTTTCTTTCCTGGGTAAGCGTGACGTTTCAGTCTGTCGTAAAGATCATCCTTGGTACCGTAAATGCTAGCGTTTGAGCGGGCTAAACTGTTCATCTTGCCGCCATTATGTAGACTCTCTGAAAAAAATGACAAATTATGGTAAAAAAAAAATCTGGTTATTCACGGATAAATGATGTAGAATCATCAAATAACTGACCCTTCATATAAGTTTCATTATAGAAATTAGGCATTTCCCAGCCATCCTCTTCATCATCGTAATAATGAGCATAAGTGCTATGATGAGATGGAGCAATGGATTCGGCATAAGGAGTAGGTGCTCCATAATAGAAATTGACTTGTGATCCATTTTGATCAGTAGCAGGCGATAGCATCTTTTTCGGCTCCCTCTTCTTAGATGACCTCACACAAATCATCCAAACCAATAAAACAATGAAAATAATCAAAATAACTCCAGCAGCTATTCCCCCAGTAATATAGAAGAATTCGGATTTTTCAGTGCAGTGCTTTCCGGTAAAACTTCCACTACACCTACAAGAAGGTTGTCCTCTAGAGTCTTTCAAACAGACTCCTTCATTGTCACAGTAATTGTTGCAGACATCAGTGCAGACCATTCCAGTTCCATTGTAGCCAGGTTTACATTCACACTTGAAATCACTGGTCTCAGGTATGAGGAGACAGTAAGCATTAGCATCGCAGTGTAAATCCTCTCCACTCATTTCACATGGATTGGTACATTGAGTTTTGGTGGTGGCAGCTGGCCCCTTGGTACTTGTGTTGGGAGGACAGGGGATGCAGAATGTCTGCTGTGGCTCTGATTGGTAAGTTCCTTTTTTACATGAGACACACTCATTTAATGTTCCATTGAGATAGCTGCCTGGTTCGCAAACTGGAAGAGAACACTCCTCAATCGCTGCTGAACCCATAATAGGTGTTGTTCGGCCTAGCGGACATACTTGGCAGGCTGCTTGAACGCCCTGAGTTCTGTAGGTGCCCCGCGGGCACGGCTCACACTTGCCTTCAACAGCGAGTTGCTGTCCAGATCCGCATTCATCACGACACTCTTCGTGCGAGACTGCTTCAGCAGTTCTTGTTGTTTTGCCAAGACCACAGAGAAGACAAGCGAAACTGCCCTCGTTTGGTTGATAAAAACCGTGTCCACAACTGCGACAGAGGCCTGCTGTATCATCATAAAATTTACCGGCTGGACAGCGTTCCTTGCAGTCGGCTGCACTTCGCGCACCTGGACCGATTGTTACACTTGAACGACCTGCGATCACTGGACAACTGCTGCATTTTAACTGTCCGGATTCACTCTGATAGGTGCCAATCGGACACATCTCGCATTTTCCCAGTGCCTCGTTATAGAAGCTCCCAACTGCACATGGCACTATTCAACAATCACATATTCAAGCTATTTAAATTCATGCTCATTATATTTATATTTAACAATTTGGTATAGCAATAAAAAACATTAAATTCGCTTCTACATTTTATGGCAAAAATTTTTTCTTACCACAATCAGGTGCCATAACTACTTGTCCAATCGGACAGGCATAATCAGATTCCAAAATCAGTGATGCAGGGTCTGGGACTGTATTCGGTAGAATATCATGGACATCAAATTGATCCTCCTCCAGAATAAGTTTTTCCAAAAGACTCTGAACGGTCGCACGCTCGTTGGAATTTGTATTCTGAATAGGATCACTGCGAAAGAATAGTCATTATGAGAATCATCGTTCTCATCCATGAAAATATTTAACATGTAGGTGATGATGTTGGCGATTGTGGAGGCAATTTTATTTACAGCATCGTAAGTTATTCTTGATATCATTGTTAAAAGCCAGCTTTCTATACTTCTCATGATCATGTGATTAATCTATATTAACTTGATATTTCTTAACGCATGGAAAATTCTTTCTGCTTCAACTAATGTTAATCAATAATAAGATAAAAAATATACATCTTTCCGTATGTTGGCTCTGCTTGTTTGGAAAGTTAAAAAAAAGGGGGGGGGGGGGGGGATCGTGCACACTCATTCTGGGCTCATCTTGCAAAGGAATGTTAATTACATGATTTTTTTTTCCTTTAATTAACCATATATTATGAGCATGAGCATGGAGGGGACAAAATCTTACTTTATCGCTGGGAATGATATCTCCACCTTGTAGGTGTCACTTCCTTGGCGAGCTTGTCTCGTTCTAATTCGTATAGAAAAATCAATATATTTGAATTTTGTGTTTTGTGTTTTTTGCAAGAAGAATTATACAGTAAACTGGCAAAACAGAGAGTTTTAACATGTTAAAATCGCTTGTATTTGTGACAAATGAAAAACTCCAATTTCACGTTTAGCCATTAAACTGTACAATTGGTCATTGAAGTTGATAAATTATTAGATTGCAAAATTGGTTGGAAATAATAATAAATAAATAAAAAAAAAAAAAAAATGTTAATGCTTACGGTTCTGATGGAACAGCAGCTGATATTACGTAGGTTCCACTATCTTCAGTATTGGTCTCTCGTACAGTTCTGGATCTATGATCACACTGGACGTCAATAGACAGGTCTTTACATTCTCTTGTGCCTGCAGAAGTTTAAGCGAAAGAATAATATCATCTGTTAGAGAATCACATTAGAAATTTCAAATAAAAAAACATAAATAGTTACACCCACCTTCAAATGAATAGGAACAGAAATTCCAGTCCCGATTCAGGGAATTGACTGCATTTCTGACCTTTTGCTTGAGAACTCCTTGACCGGCCTCATTACATAACACACTCGTTGGGAAATTCATTTTAATTTTAAAGACTCTCTGTGCTGCGGAAGCTGCTGTACAAGCAGGATAAATAATTGGAAGACTGGGATCCATTGTAGGCCTCCAAAATCCTTCAGCTCCGCAGGTATAGAATTTTGGTACTTGCTGGGAGAATTTCAGGCCCAAATTACAAGATATTTCACAGACCTTGAATTGTCCTCCAGAGCCCCAATCTTTACACTGTTGAGAACCTCCAACAGGATCAGCCAACTCTGGACAAAAGTCTGAGAGCACATACACCTTGAAGTTACAGCTGGCAGAGTTTCCAGCCTGATCATAACCAACATAACTTATATCATATGTTCCCCACAAAAGCGTTTGACCAGATCGGTGTCCACTCTTCTCCTGAATCCTCACCACACCCACATTATCAGAAAAATGAGGCTCATCCCAGGTGACAATAGATGATCCGTTCTTCGCAATAACCCAAAGATCCCCAGGACAATGCTCAATCTTAGGAGGAATTTTATCAGTTTCAAGCTGCTGACATTTATTTCCTCCATACCCAGGTGGACAAATCCTCTGGCCGCAATGTGAAGGTACTACCCGCTCAACTCCACCACCAATTTCATCATAGCCAGCCCATGTGAGTACCAATCCTGGATACAATACGGGCTCTGTTCTGCAGTCCCTCACTTGCTTTTGTATTTCATTTGTAACATGAAGGGCTCTGGACCACACTTGTACTTTCGTCAAATGTCCCTGAAATCCAGATTCAGTGTATCCTTTGGGGGATTCACTTCTGGGTTTACCGAGAACAGTCCATCCGTATGACGGAAGATTTCTGCCACTACCGTAGCCCTCAGTTTTGCTAGCAATTAGTCCTTCAGTTATGAGGGTCAATTCTCCACTATTCTCACCATTCCAAACAATTGCTACATGATGCCATTGTCCATCATTGATAGTTGCGTACTCCCGGAAAGGCAAATAAACGTCTTGAAGATCGTGAAATAGAGATACTTGAACACCATTGCTGTGTGCCTGAATCATTGGTCTACGATTTGTGGGAACGTGAGGTGAGTTGACACTGTAGAGAGTGAAGAATATTCCAGCTTCGTCCTTCTGGGTAAATTGGACCCACATGGCAATGGTTAGGCTCTTTTGAGCTCCCGTGAAGAAGGGAATTACCTGAGCGGCACTACTGCGCGATGGATCAGTGAAGTACAGATCGTAATCCACTTGGATGGATTTCCTGCAATCGTCTCCTGTGAGATTAAATGGACACTGACAGAAGAACTTTCCAGTCAAGTCAATGCAGGTGGCAGAAGGAGGACAAGAGTTCTCTTTACAATCCACAATATCCTCTTCACATGTCTTTCCGGTATAGCCAGATGGACAAGTACAGGTGAAACCCGCTCCATTATCGATGCAAGTAGCTCCATTTTTGCAGGCACCAGCTTGACAAGCGTCATACTCATATTGACAGCCGATTCCTGTGTAATCATCGGGACAAGTGCAGTTGAGACCGGATCCAAAATCTTGGCAACGTCCGTTATGCATGCAGGGATTGCCAATGCATCTCTCAGGTGCAGTTTCACATTGTTTACCATCGGTGCCTGATGGACAGACGCAGAAGAAGTCCTGAAAGAGGTCAACGCAAGCAGCGTCATTCTGACAAGGATGATTCATGCACATTCCTACATCGGTCTCACATTTGGCACCAGTCCATCCTTCACTGCAGAGACATTTGAATCCTCCCACTTCATCTCTGCACGTTGCCCCATTGAAACACGGATCCGAGGCACAGTCATCAATATTAATCTCGCACCCGGTTCCCGTATAACCTTCTCGGCAGTGACACAAATAGCTGTTGTGTACATCTACACAGCGATCAGTACCAACGGGATTACACGGATCGCTGAGGCATTCGTCAAGTTCAGCCTCACATTGAAGCCCGACGAAACCGGGCCTACACTTGCACACAAATCCTTCAAGTTGATCAATGCAAGTCGCACCATTCTGACACGGTTCACCTGCACAATCATCGATCGTATGCTGACACTGTTGGCCGGTGTATCCGGGCTCGCAAGTGCACGTATAACCACCAATCTGATCTAAACACTGGCCATTATTCTTGCATGGTTTAGCAATGCATTCGTTGATATTGGTTTCACAAGCTGGTCCTGTCCATCCGGCCAAGCAGATGCACTCGTAATCAAACAGATTATCAACACAAATACCATTCAAACAAGGATTTCCAGAGCAAAGATCAATCTTCTCGTGACAGCGTTTTCCGGTGAAGCCCGGTGGACAATCGCAGGTGAAATCGGCAATGAGATCTGTGCAGTTGGCTCCAAGGAGACATGGCCTCTCAGCGCAATCATTAGTATTGATCTCACAACTCTGTCCTTCCCATCCAGGAAGGCAATCGCACTTGAATCGACCCTGTTGGAGGGCAATGCAATTAGCACCATTATGGCAGGGATTTCCAGTGGCAGTACATGGATTAATTGTAATATCACAGTCAACACCAGTATATCCAGATCTACAAAGACACGTATAATTGCCAAATCCTGGTTCATCTTTACACATTGCTCGTTCAGGACAGGTGTCTTTACCGCAGTCTGACTTTTCATCTTGGCAATTTATTCCAGAGTATCCATTAGCACATTGGCATCTGTAACCTTGGGGTAAATCAATACAAGTGGCACCATTGTAGCAAGGCTGTGAAGCACACTCGTCAATATCAACTTCACAACGACGCCCAGAGAAGCCAGCAGGACAGAAGCATTGTACTCCATGACCCATTGGAATACAAAGACCTCCATGCTGACAGACATTATCTGTACATGCAATTATCTTGCAAGTTTCTCTTCCCACTGATCCAGCAGCATCAGTATACATATTTGTTGGACACTCCATGCAAGTTGTTGCCCCATGCTGGGCTTGGTAAAAGTTCTTGGGACATTGGGCACAAGGAGCTAATCCAGTATCTGAATAAGTACCAGGTGCACATTTAGCCCTACAATTATCCAATCCTGGCGCTGCTGGTTGATAAGTAAAGGTACCTGCCGGGCAGGTTTGACAATCCTTGTAGCCTCCAGTTGGTGGTTCCCCTGTATAGGAATTTCTTGGACATTCAAGACAAGGTACAAGACCCGTTGGTGAGTACGTTCCATATCCACAAACAGGAATGCAGTCATCGATGCTTTTGGATCCTTGCTCCTTGGTGTATGTACCAAATGGACAACGAAGACAAGCACCTTGACGATCACTATTCTGATAAAATCCTTTTAGACATGCTGTACATTGTTTCTGCTTTTCTCCAGCAAATGTTCCAGCTGGACAATGCAAACATCTTGGAACATCATTGGTATCCATATTGAGAACTTCACCTATACTGCAAGTGAATCCACGGTTGATAGAAGATTTTAGAGCACGGAGTGGTGGACATTGATTGCCAATTGCCGATACATTCAATAAGGGCTCAATAACGGCGCTTGCATGAGGTACCGAGAGATCAAAGATAAGACTTAGAGTGGAACCACATAGATCGTAAAGCTGGGTGGAACGAACTGCTGGTACGATGACAAGGATAAAATCCATTTTAAGAACATTCTCTTCAACGAGAATTGGTATTGATCGGATAAACGAGACATTCATATTGACATTGACAGCAGAACACCTCTGAGTGAGAATATTATTAAGTCCCATATAGTATTGAGCCATCAGATCCTGATACTGCGGGAGGCAACCCCTGGAAACTGCCCCATTGGCCCTATAAGTGACCGAAGCAATGACATGATAATCAGCCTGCTGAGTATTCTCAGAAACACAGTCAGGTACGAGTGACATAGGGGACCATCGTCTCACTGGATCGCAAGTGAATGATTTGGTTGGTGCACCATCAGTAAATCTGTAACCAGACCGACAGGTAGCAATACACTGGAGAGATTTGGCCTTATCTCCTGGTACACATTTTAATCCGCCATTAGCAGGGGGTTTAAGCTCCCAATCGACGCAGGGAGTTGCTTGAACAGATACTTGGAAGTGACAGGAAGCTCGATTACCACTTGAATCGGTAGCATAAACAGTGACATTTTCAAATCCTCCAATGGTGATTATTGCACGTTCTGGAACGTAAGTTATTTTTACTGGACCAGATGCATCTGTTGTATTAATGTCTCTCCTTGTCTGATTGAAGTTGACAGTGTAACTTTCTTGACGATCTACGAGTTCAATAACATAGCTCTGCGGGCAACTGAGTTTTGGAGGAGTCACATCGGGAACTGTGATATTGATCTCACAAATAGCGACATTTCCATCATAATCAAAAGCCACGTATTTTACAACGGTATCTTCGAAAATTCTTATTGGAGTTTTAAAGCTCTGGGGCTTGACTTCCAATCGTGCTATACTGCCGCTATTGTCCACAGCCGTTGGTTCAGTGAAGTTTACTGGTAAAAGTCCACCGTCTGGCCCCTTTTGAACCATAATTGGTTGTTGGGGGCAATTTTGAAAGAGTGGCGGTTCATTATCTACACATGGGGAGTAGCCATAATCATAGCCCAACAATGGCTCAACAGCGGGATCCTCGCATCCCATTAATTCGAATTTGAGACAGGCATTGTCCATGTAGCTCACAATACCGATAATAACAAATCTCGCCTGGACCGATTCTGGTAGAGTAATCATGGCTAATTCTCCATAATTCCCTGGATCCCTCATAGTCAAATTGAAATTAGGAAAGTAAACGATATAATTTTCATTCTCCGACTGCTTGTAGAAAAATCTAATTTCAGTAGGACGTCCAACAATATCATTCGTCACAACTCCCTTCACAAGAATTCCTTTGATTCGAAAAACTTGACCCAAATCAACGCTTACGTAAGTGAAAGCTTCTTGTTTACCACACCATCCAGTGACGGAGTTCAATCTTACATTTTTAGCTTCGTAATTGGGTCGTTCTGATGTTGCATTAATGGCAGAATCGGGAATTTTACCAGAGGTAAGACCAAGAGGTTTTACCACTTTGCACTCAGGTTCCCTGCGGCAAACAATGGGTTTTGGATTGATAAGGATGTAACCGGGTCTGCTACACCCAAATTGTACTTCTGATCCCTGTTCGTAGGATCTTGCCATTTGAAAGCCATCACTGGGTCTACCAGGATCTTCACAGACTGGCCCCTCACACCGCAAATTTCCAAAGTCCCAGACACCATTTGCCTGGCAACGAACAACATTGTCGTGATTATTGGTCTGTCCAGCGAGTTTGAATGTGTCCTGGCAGCCGAAGAAGAATTGAGAGTGGTACTTAGTGTCAGCGTATTGTCCATATTCTGCACCAGGAGTTGGTAGAGGCAGTCCACAATCAGCCCTAGGACAAGCCGGTTGAAAGCCCGATAACCAGTAATCAGGTAAACCTGGTTTAGGATCATAGACACATTGTCGGAAGCCGGAAGTAGCTGTATTTCTCAACGATCTCCCAGTATTTCCACATTTTAATGTGACATTCTGGCCGAAGGGCACTAGAACGCTACTTTCGTCACTTCTGATAACAGCTAGGCCTTCATTTTTATCATCAGGAAGGGAAACACATTTGGCATATTGACATTCTGGTGTGGTTCCATTCCATACACCACTAGAAGTACATATAACAGTGGAAGATCCAACGAGAACGTAGCCAAAGTTACACTGGAATTTTATAACATCTCCAAAGTGGAATTGTTCCTTTGTAGAGAGAATCTTGCCATTATCTGGGGCTGGAAGGGTTGGGCACATAGCTGGAACACAAGTCTTATTTCTCTGATAAATATCTCCATCGCGTTCTCCGGTTTCAGATTTTGCGATGCTGAATCCAGCAGTGCCATTTCCCTTGTAGAGCTCATATCCAGTATTGCATATGCAAGAGTAACTACCAGGGTTGTTGACGCACTTTTGATGACAACCTCCATTATTATTGGCACATTCGTTAATGTCTGTGCACTCTAGCCTGGTGCAACCAACAATTTCAAGTTTAGTGCAGGGGGCGCTGACGTAGTCCTGTATTCTGAATTTGATATACCTCGCTTCGATTGGAACCGGCAAATTGAGAATTGAGAGAGCTGGTTCAACAGCTCTGAATTCCACAGGAGTTCCATCAGGATTAGTGTAATCCCTGAAAATATCCCCTAGATCGTCAGTGTACTGTAATCTAATGGCAGATGCAAATGCAATATTGCCGTCGGTTCTGGCAACTACCTGAGTTCGAAATCCTCGAATAATCATTGGAGCTTTCATGTCAATCATCACCCAGTTCGCTCCTGGCTCAATACTATTGCCACACCATCCGTCTCCACTGCTCAATCTTACTCCACTTTTCTTATAGCCAATCTCCGAGCTTGAAACTGTAATGGATTCATCTGGAATTCCCCCATTTATAAGACCAATATCTCCTATGGGTCTGCAATCCAATGTAGTTGCAAAACCACCTTTACATTTACAGAAGAAAGCTCCAGGCATGTTAATGCATTCTGTAGAAGCTAGATCACATTGACTGGAGGAGCATTCATTGATGTCTTCGCACGAAGGAACATTCTCAAATCTTTGATCAGCCCCACACGAAATAATATTATTTCCCATAAGTTTATAACCCCGATTACACTGCACTCTCGCCTCATCCCCAAACAAGTAATCTCTACTATTGTCAACAACAAATCCATTTTTTATTGTTGGTAGAACTGGACATCTAGCTCTAGAACAAGTGGGTACCATATCAGACCAGGTTCCATTGCTCATGCAAAGGATAACTGGATGTCCTGTTCTGACATATCCCGGTTGGCACTCAAATCTAACAATCGTACCGTAGCTTCTTCCACCTCCATTCAATATTGTGATATTGGCATTTGGTGCTTCAGGAAGGGGAGCACACTGAGAAGCTAGACATGAGGGTTTCTTCTCCCACCGACCGTCTCCCATACATGAAATCTTTTCCGTTGGCTTGCCCGAAGGGAAAGCAAAACCCGCGTAACATTGATAAGTGGCTAGTCCCCTAAATGTGACGTTTGAAGAGCCAATGGAGAATCCATTGTCGATTTGAGGAACAGGTCCACAATAAACTTCCTGACATTTTGGTATATACGTTACCGACCAATTTCCACCCTGCAGACACTCACTTGTAATTTTTAGCTTTCCTGTGGCAAATTCTTGACCGATGGGACATGAGAATGTTACAACTGTGCCAAAAGCTGTATCCCTGTTACTAGCGAGTGCTCCATCTCCTGGGAGAAGAATCGGGCAGTCTGCTGAGAATGTTGCTTGCCATCCTGATGAGCTCCTCAGTGCGTCTGAAACGAATCTTACCAGCATCTCTCCACTCTCTGCTGTCAGAGTGATTTTTGGAATGGTATTGGAAGTGAAACCATCTCCAGAGTGGAGTCTAAGGCCATTCGTAGTGCTTCCATCGTATACCTGTACGTAATCAGTGTTGTGGACATTGAAGTTGATGAATTTGAGGGATAGTGGAGAATTGTTTGGATTTTTTATGGTATAGAGACACTCTTGATTGTTGGGGTAGTCATTGAGAGCGTAGGAGGGAGATTGAACAGTGCCATTTAGGGCAATTATGGTGGCTCTACAGCCTTGAGTATATCTAATGCTGAATCCCCTTCGAGAGTCTCCTAGAGATGTTTTCAGATACAGATAAAGATTGTTACTTGTGGACATGAGCACCGTTGGATTATCCCCTGATTTTCCAGTCAATTTGGCGATTGGACGACTCATTGGGGAGTCGCCATCGCGGACTAGGATGTAATCTCGGTACATCTCCAAGTCCATATCCTGAATCTCGAGAGATATTATTTTTCCGGGCTGTGCTTGAAGGATGTAGAGACATTCAAGGCCCCCTGGATAATTATAAGGGTATCCAGGAGAGGTGAGAACTTGTCCCTGGGGAGTGGCTCGTAGAATGCCCCCGCAGTTTTGCGGTTCAGTTTTCCAGGATGCTCGGAAGCCTTTTCGCTCAACTGAGCCGTCAGTACTGAATTTGATTATCATGAAATTGGAGGCTGATACAAAGAGCTTGTTGGCAAGCTCTTCCTTGCCAGAGAGAGTGGCTAAATTTACGGATTTCTCCTCCGTTCTACCACCCACAAGGATCTGAACAATATCAAAACTCTTTTCAGTTTCGAACTCTTGGAATTGAAGAAGTATATTGTGGCCTTGGGGCCCCTCCAAGGTCCATTTGCAGTTACTCAAGGGAGTGTATTTGTGGGGATAGTTGGGAGATTCAACAACGTCACCGCTGCTTGCCATGTAGAATTGGCAGTTGTTTGAACAATCGATTTCGTCAGAAAAATCACCACAGTCGTCCTGCTTATCGCACTTAAAGGCGGAGTTGATGCATTTGCCATTGGAACAATGGAATGATCCTGCATGGAAGAAATTGATTGTAAATTGAGGTAAGCAATCACCATGATGGTGGGTTGATTCACTTATGGGGATTCAAAGGGATTACCTGAGGGACAAGCTGAGGCCCGACACATGAATGGAAGGAGTGATTCACAGGTTGTTAGCTCCCACGACTGTTGCTGGTCATCGGTCACAGCGACGTCTACACACTCGCCCGACGTTGGGTTCGGTTGCTTTGATGCCCAAAAACCTTGAGATTTATATTTTTCTTAGATTAGATCATTATCATCAATACAAAGTAAGTCACAGTCCTTGGAAAATGGTTGGTATGGCCAATGGAGTAAATAACCGCCGGTAATATTGAATTGTCTAAATTGGCTAAAATGAGAATTACATCAATGCTTGCGTGAAACTCACAAGTGTGATGTGGGAAAAGTGTGTCTTGGTGCCGACGAGTCTTGGAGTTCCGCATTTCCGCGACCTCGATACAATCAGCGAGCCCCTTTCGTGTGTACAATTGTGGTATTTTGATGTTTGAATCGAGACCGTAAACGTTAGATTCGAGTCAAAGATTTATTAATTACTCCATTATGTCTCGTCAAGTGGCCATGACGCCTCGGCGGATAGACCAGATAAAAATTATTCTTACCAATTAACTTGCGCGAAATTAACAAATAATGGATGGGTATTGCGTTTTAATGAGTGCATAACTGTTTTTTCATTGTCAGAGTATGATAATGCTTAATGTGTTACTTACCAGCGTACTGGGACACAAGCATTCCCGCCGCCGATTCCAGGGTATTTGTGCGGAGATCATCTAGAGATGCTAAACCCAGCCAATAACGATCCAAGTGTTTTCCAATCATGCCCGAGGTCAAATTGTTCTCCATGTAGGATTCCACAACCATGAGATCGCTGCCGTACCTAATTAATCCTCCATTATTTTTTTCATCTCAATTCATCATTTTATTAATCGAAGAACTTCAATATCTACCTTCTGCATAATTCAGCGGCTTTTTCCCATGAGTGCCTGATATTGAAGAATTTGTAACAGTAAATTCCCTTGAGCTCCCATCCTAAAGAAAAAATATTTACTATGAACTATCCAAAAACAAGCTAAAGGTTATTGGTTTGTTGGAAAGGCGGTTAATCGGTGACCTACAGGGGAGTATGACGACGTTGGAGTGCCAACGAGTCGACCTCGATCGTTTTTAGTGCACCAACGATATATACATTATACCCTGATGCTGACCAACGCTTGCCGACATTGGCTCTTTCATGTATGTATATAGACATAGATACTCGAGAGTCAAGATTTGAGACTTGAGACTTAAGAATTGGCAATGGAGGGAGATCCAAGAATAGGTGTGTGGCAAAGAAATTGAGGAACGTCGGAGAAACACTCGATTTCGACTTTGGCTTCCGCTCCGTCCACGCAAACGGGTTATCGGTACGGTGACCCAATAAATAACAGGCTCTCATTCTTTTATATTTCCCATTGTACAACGCTCAGAGAAATTCTATTCATAATGCATTCTTTCTGCGTTGCGTTGCATTGCAATGCTGATTGCACTGTGCACTGGAACTTTTTGTTGAAATTTTTCAATTTTTCATTTTTTTTTTAAATTATTTTCAATCATTACAAAGATTGTGCCAAACTTTTGTCTGGTCCATTAATTTCATGCAATCATATAAAATAATAATGGAATATTACGTATAATATTAAATTGTAAGCGTGAAATTTTTACAGCTGATATGATGATGTCATTTAATTTTCTAGCTTTCAAATTATTAAATGCCTTATGCTGAACATTCTCTCCTTCATTGGGTGACTCTCGGGGACTTTTACTTCATCTGCAAAGGTCAACGGGTCACGAGACGCATTCAGCAACACCTTGGTGATGCTTTATTCATTATATGTATATGTAAGTGAATATTCAAGGCTAATGATTGCATATGTGATATATCTCGATACGTCAAGATCAGTAAGGAGATTTTCCTTTCAAGCGTACTACTCCATTTACTCATTTTTTATTTGCCTCTTGAATGCAGCAGGATTTTTTTTCGGCTCGGGGTCTTTGAGAACTTTGAGAATTTTCATTCAGTGATGATGATCCACAGAACTGAAATATCGAGAAGTGTACGGGGCGATATCCATTATAGTGGAATGAAACCAGACTCACCACTAAGGAATGCCGTTTTTCTTCTTTCTTCATTTAGCACAGCCCCCTAAACCATTATTCCCTCAATTTTTTGCTACCATTGTTTTTCCTTATCTTTCCTAGTATATTTTTCAATAATCTCGCTTCTGGTTCAGAGTGATTTTTCAAATTTAATGGAGATGGATGAATTTGGGAATGCCCCCAGTTCTGCCCGTTTATTTATCCATAAACTATCACTTATACTAAGCCTTAATGGCATAAGTACACGCACAGTTTGATGCACATTTTCAAACTCCGTTCCACATTTCTCCTTTTACATTCAACGTGTGTACACACACTTTGTCTTGATAATTATGTAGGTTCTCCAATTTTTTTTTTTTCCTTTATGAATTTTTTTTTAGAATCCGTTAGGCAGAGACGTTAGGATCTAGTGGAGTATGTCCATTTGGTTGGTGCACATTGGTACTTGGTGTTTCGTTGTTCCACTCCGTTTCCTACCTTTTCCCAACGTCCATAGTAGGCTACATTCTTCACTCATTTATCTATATTTACCGGATTTTTAATTTAAAAACATTGAATTTATTTTTCATTTCTCCACTTTGAGTGAGGATATGATTTTTCCTCTCATTTATATGAAAAAACAAAATTTTTCAAAGTAACCACCATAGCCATATTTTAACGAAAACATTTTTGCTTTCACTTCTATGGTCATTCCTTTTAAAATTTACCGACTCCTTCTCCGAAAATCCCATAGCGCACCTGCTGCTCTTAGCTAAATGAGGGGAACCTAATCTACCTGGGAACGAGGATGCACCCCTCAAATACCTGCCCACTATGCGGGAGATCAACCTAGAATGTCAAATGTGAATAATAGCTTACCGTTTGGACATGTGAAGACATTGGAGACCTGAAAATAATAAAAAAAATTATTGCTCTCTATTTTTTTTCTATAAAACAATAAATAATAATGACAATAGCGTGAAAATTCAGAGAAAATCGCTGTATATGGAAAAATAACGGTGAATGAATTCCGACGAGATCGAGTGCATTCACATTGGAGAGTATCCTCAATGTCTGCACTGAGTATTTCTATATATTTTTATTTAAAAAAAAAAAGTATGGACTGGAAAGTGTAATGGCGGAGAGCATGTAAAAATTTTAGCTTTAGCGGCCGGGGCGGCGCTAGTGAAATAAAAAGTATTATGGTACGACCTGGTGTTTCTGAAGGAGAGGCCTGCGGGAAAACTTGAGTCTCGCTTTCACCGTTGGGGCTTTACCTATTCAATGCACATATACTAGAATTATATGAGAATATGTTACTCATATGTATATGGAATGAGTGTGTGTTTCGGGGTACTAGGTATACCAATTATTTGACTGATTAGGCCCGCGGCTTGTCAGGTCTTTCTCAATCAGTAAAATATCTGTGTGGAGTCTGTAAGTATTCACCGTTTTCCTTTCAACCGAGCATCATGGGAATTTTCAAGTGGACACGAGTTTGCCGTTTGATCAATCTTCAAATTGCGTAAGTGAAATTCTCAGAGGGATTAAAATGACAGAATTATGGAATCTTACCTGAGCATTCGTTAGTTGGAGATGGCACAGGAGAACGGCGACCCAACCGGCCGCTACTGCTCTTATCAACATTTTTCTGCAACCGAAGGAATAACAATCATTACAGATAATGCCGGTATAAAGTTTTGCGGAGGATTATTAAATATTTGTTATATCATTTCCAGCAATTCTCCATCGCACTAATTTTTTTTATAATTCTACAAATAATTATTTTTAAATCAAATCTATGATTTCAGTCTCCCACGTTACAACGCAATATTTAATTTTGTGTTGGAATAAGAATAAGACGACAATGAAGAAATGGTTTTCATTTCCACAGAAAATTGATAAATGAGATTGCCACCAATCATTTTTCCCCATCGACGTGTCCTGGTAAAAACATATACCATAGAAAAAATTGCCTTCGTAGCATCTTAGTTGCATGATACGCTGAAAAATGGCCTCAAAATAATTTATGTCGATAAGCCTGAACAAATGATAATGCTTCATCTAAATGGTAAAAAAAAAAAATAAAAAACAAAAAACAAAATTGAAAGGAAATCCTAGGATGAGAGGTGATTCTCAAAAATGCGTTGATACTCCGAATGTGAAGAAAAAAGAAAAAAAAGAAACAGTTCAGTGGGAAATATTTTTTGGTTGATCTACCCATCTCACCGCTCCAATCCAGTCATCCCTCTCCAATAATAACCGGTCTTTGTCGATCCGTGGATTCTTTTGTAGCCCTCCTTACTCTTGGGATAATTTGTGGAGAACCTTCCCTCATCCTTCATCTCCACTACTATAAACCACGCTCCAGGTATTATTGTCTAAGCCCTAAGGAATATGAGCATCGACCGGACTCGACCGTGAAGACTTGTTCTTTTTATTTTCTATATGAGATAATATCCACGGGAAGAATTTTATGATCACAAAAGATAGCATAAACGTCAATTATATTAAGGAGGAAATAAAAATTGACATGTCCTTCGAATAGCTTTACTTATGGAATATTGTCATTCAATTAACAATTTATAATCCGGTTTGCATAATTTGCTAACGGTTCATCTCACTACTCATCCAATCAGTTTCTTGACGAAAAAAGAAAGGGATGTTAAGATATAAGGTTTGACGTGGAAAGTGGTTTTTTTTTTTTTTTTTTCATTGGATTAGAAGAAATACGTGACGTTGCCACGTTAATGTAAAAATATTTGAAATACCGGGTAAGAATACACGAATGACGAAAAAATGAGAAAAATCATTAATGAAAAAAATGTAAGGGTATTATATGGAGGTTATTTTATAATAGTCCATATGCGGTAACTATTGTTGCAGTACGCAACAATAGTGGCGCAAGTGTGCATAGTCATTGAGTTTAATGTTTTGTTGTTGTGCATACCCATTGGACTAAATTCCCATGGGAAGCTTGAGCTAGCATGTGAATTGTCGCCGATCGTGAAAGTTGCCCATCCGCGGCCATTACTCGGTCGCTCACAATTTCAAATTACACTTGTTTTCGCAATATCTCTGTACATTGTTTGCTTCTTTTCCTCTTATTTTATCACCTAGATACATATTTCAGAGGCAAATATTGCAAGTGAATACCGCTGGAGTGAATTGCGTGAGAGCTGCAATTAGAAGCCTAGAATAGACCTAATGAACTATAGTCAAGGGAAAAATGGAGGAGCTTCGGAGATGAAAACTCTAGGAATCTTTAAAAAATAATACTAAAGTACCTTTAGTATATACATATATAGAAATTGCCTAACATATAATTGGTTTTAAAATAAAATGTCGAGTTCCAATCTAGGATAAACCGGTAAGCAGTATGACTTACATCCTCATACACCAAGTTATTAGCCTTCAAAATACTTGACTAGCTTCGTCACAAGCCAATATTAATAATAATTTTTTAGAATGGCAATTATTTACTTAATTATTTACTACTGATTGATGTAGAGCCACCTGATAAGGCAAATGCGGGAACACCTGTGCATTAAAAAAAAAAAGGATGCTATTGTTCTCACCGTCCCCCCGCTGGTCACAAGCTGCAGTTTGCAAACCGGCAAAATAAAATGAAAAAAAGTTAAAAGGAGGAAAAGCCATCGATGGCACTCCAAGCTAGAAAGTGGATTCGAATAAGTCCGTTAACCCGTGCTCGCACACCTCAAACCACGCTAACGGATCATATAAAAAAGGAACAACTTAACAATGACTATCTTTCCAACGCCAGCCTGATGCGCCTCAAGGAGGAATACAAGTTGTACTCGGTTAATAGTACCAAGTCTTGTAGATACAGTAAACGAAGCGCGAGAGCCCGTACAATATATACCTTTCAGTGCCAAAGAGAAAAATACACTTCTTTTTATACATATACATACACATTATACAGATAAATACATAAAAAAAAACATTGAAACTCTCAGGCAGTAGGCCAACCAACGGTGATTATGTAGTCATGATAAACTCTACCAACTTCCGGATTCGTCACTTGATGTTTTTCAACTTCAACAACAAAATCAAGTGGACTATATAATATTCTTCTTCTCATGGTGAAAAAGAAAAAAAAAATACTATATGCCAATAATTTGAGTAAATTTTGAGTAAATTTATGGAGACATAGTTACGGCTGTGCAAGACACAGTATGTGGAAGGAGGGAAAAAAATTGAAGGATTTAAATCAGATAGATCAGATATAAATGTACGCTGAGATTTTATTACTGAGATTTTAACTTGTGTATAATACGCATTTCATCGACACACAATTATGTATACTGCAGCGTTGCATATTTGTCTTATATACCTATATCCCGCGTGATTAATGGTTCACCTCTGCCTTTTCGTTTTCGTCATTTTCCTCGTTTTATCAGTGGAAAGTACGTATTAGGGGTATACCGCAAGGGGTATACTTGCTTATTACGCAAGTAGGCACATTTGCCAAAATTGGGAAAATTCTTAAAAATTCATCATCTGTATGTGATATATGAGAAATGGTTAATTTTTAATAATATGAGTGTGGGATATATATTTTTCATAGATATCATACATTTATCATAAAGCCCCAAGTGGAAAGGTGTTTATATCATGGAGAATTCGATGAACCGGTGAATTGATAGTCCCGAAGCATTCAAGTACCGCTTTACACATTGTCTAATCGTGACGACACTTCCGAGAGGCCCTATTTGGATACGGATTATGGTGCCTGACACCATCACTTCCTCTTCTTGTGCGAGTCCATGTACATTAAATTTCATGAAAAATTTATGTGTCCCTTTTGAAATACTTAATTTAATTGGAAAAGCACAACGACTCTCGATCACTCACACTTGAGAGGATAATGTCACCTGACGAGTTGTCGAGATCGATGACCGCACCAGAATACACAGGTTCTTTACTATTCCACAAATATCCGAAGGAATGCTAATGATGATCAGCGCATCTCGTACAATTAAAATCTAGGTGATTCGTTAAGAGCCATTGAAATTCATGTATAGATAATGCTGATATTCGTCTGAAATCAAAGTGACACCTGTCTTTAACAATATTCCCCCATTTGGTAATAGCGTACTTAGAGCCAAGTGGACTGAGAGACACGGCATTTCAACCGAACCGGACGTTTTACTGCCACGGAGAAAGCTACCCGAGTGAAATCCTTCGATACTGGCGAGACGGATATGATATTTATTCTAGCTACGATGCTCCTCAACACATCCAATTTGAAATTCATTATTACTCACTTTTAACTCGTCAAAATGACGAAAAAAAATCATATCAGTGAAAGGTGAGTAATGCTAAACCGCTATTTTTCATTCACCTCAAACACAACTTGTTCATCAAAATTTCCATTTAATTGAAATCATTCTGTAGTAATATGTAGAAAGTTTCTTGTTATAATTATCCACTATTCCATACGCGTTTATAAGGAATTTCATGACACTGTGATATTTATATTCATTGACGTAGGAAGACATTTGCCTGTCTCCCATACTCAAGGAGTTTTCTCACATCTTGTGAATATCAAGTGCGATGTTGGGCATGAAAAAGAATTTTAATTAACAAAATTGAACTTTATTTATCTTCCAAAATTTATGGTGGAGAGACAAGAGGATCAAATTTACGAAAAATCATAAAGTGGCATTTCCCAAAATTTTATTTCTATTAAAATCATTTTTTATTTGCAGCGAAGTTGAAGGAATTTGTGCCACACTCGGAATATTGGAAAAATATTTCGTTATTTCAATGTGTCTAGATTTTTTTTCAATTTTTTCTCTTCAGTTACTGCAGTGAGCTCAACTTTCCGCGTATATTACGCTTTTACTCTGCTCGTACTCGAGAGTTCGTCGACCGAGATAGACGATGAAATACTCCAACCACGTGGATTCTGCCCACTAACTCATTAACATATACCTCCTATTTTTTTTTGCTTAATCATTGAAAAAGATTTCCAATATGATGATGACATCATCATATGGACTGTCAATGATTTTGTAAAATCTCCATGATTATTTCTGCAGCACAGTGAAACTTTCAACTCAAAATGATTTTTTTTTCTTTCCTAGCCATACTCATTCAATATGAAAAATTCTCGTACTTTTCTCTCTCTCATTCGAATCTCCCCAGTAAAGATTGAAACAGAAGTTGAATTGATGCTAGATGGTACTTGGTAAGGACTGGTATGTAATAGGAGTGGATTATGCCAAGGGTGTGGCCAACTGCCGATGTCTTAGACAAGAGCTAAACAATGAGTTCAACTATAATGTGCAATCACCACCATAAAAAAAAAAACAAACTTTCACATTTCTACGACTGATCAATAAAAATATTATATTCCGTAAAAAAGAATATTTATTGAACCGATTATATTTATACCCTTATCTCAGCTCTGATTTTTATTGCTTGATATAATTTTCCTCCTTATCCTATCCAGTTTTATAATTTCCCATTTAAGTTATTAGAGAGTGTGGATGGTGTATTCCTGCGACAGCCCGTGGTGGTGCATGTGGTGTCCGTTTTATATTTTTTCCTCCTACGACGATGGTCCCTATTAAATACCACATCTAACAGCTTTACAAAAAAGTGTCCCCAACCATTTTAATTCTTCTACACAGCATTCACCATATTGCACCATATTTATTCTTTTATCATTTATTCACTTTATCACTTTATCACACATTATAAAAAATTAAAATTCAATCTTCATCTTTCAACCTTTAATTTTTCAACCTTTCGCTTATTCGATATCTATTTATTCAACAAGAGAGCTTGGATTAATTTGTCATTTGTTATAAGATAACTGAAAATGGAACAACGGGGCAAATGACCTCGATCGATCTGAATATTCCTGTTTTTTTCGTATTTGTCATTTTTAAAATGATTATTATGTTGTGAAAAGTGAAATATGCTGTTTCCAATTTTGAAACGCTTGGTAAGCGTTACATGCATACATATATGCATTGGCCAAGCGCGACTATATGGACTATTTGTTCGAGAGTAATTCTTGCAAATAGCAAATCGTATGAAAAACAGTCCACTGTTGTGGTATTCCCCCAATATCCATATCCCCAAATCCATGAAATTAATGGTTATCATCTCGAGGAAATAATTAGCACTTATACTCACATTTGCTGGTGCGTTCACCTCCTGGTTAAGAATTACTCCTTGCGGGGCACATGAACACACTAAAAAGGCGTTTCACTCTTCACTTTATAAAATCGATAAAATTGATGAAAAAGTGGAGGAAATGTGAAATATAATTGAGGGTCACGGAGCTGTCTACCTCCGGCCCGACGACACGAAACTGAAGACTGAATTCTGGATTCTGAATGCTGAATGCTGAATGCTGAAAGGGGCCGGAGCAATGGCGCGACTTGCGTGGCTCGCATCGGTGATTTTACCTGAGCTCACCAAGTCAAGTCCACCATCACCCACCACCATGCCCGGATAAAAGAGCCAAAGACAGCCAAAGAGAGGCAAAGAGAGGCGAGAGGTGAGAGCTGAGAGCTGCTGGCTACCTGGTGGAGAATCGGGGATAATCGGCAGTCTTCGGCCTCGGCCCTCGACGGCATCGTCTTATAGTAGAAGGAAAACGACCGGTAACCCGAGGGTTGGTATGCTATGCGTTTAAAGTTTAAACATCAAGAAATAACATACGATTTACTGGCTCTCAACGCATCTATCTACTAACTACTCCCCACTTCTATAGGCTTTTCATTTTTTTTTTTTTTTTCGTACGCATTCCTCAACTTTTCACCTAGTAAATATTTTACTATAATTATTTGATTCATCATAAGATGATATATATTATTAGGTAATGTAAAATGAAGGCCAAAGTGCAGGCCGAAGTGCAGGCCGAAGTGCAGGCCGGGAGTATATCAGAGACATCGATGCCCGATTAGAAAGCCATTGCTTCCTGTCATTCTCACACCATTCTAGAAAAAAATCCAAACAACTAGCAAGCGCAAAAAATTTTTTCGCCGTGAAGTAAATTTTTTTCATGCTCCCTTAACTCACCGTTATTATGCAATCATTTGTAAATAGTTGTTAGCCAGATCAATTTGCCTTCACTCAACATCCGAGTAAGTGGCTGCAACTCATTTCTTTTCTCTTCAAGGCAATTTTTCAAGATTTATTTTTATTTATTCTCATATCTTTGCAACATGAAAATATAGAAGATGTAACAAGGCGCATTCCGTTAGTAGTTATCGGGTCTGTTGCACTTTGAGGCGTTCAACCCGTCGACTCGTTGGTTACCTGTATCACGCAAGATGCTTTTATGAAATTTAATATGCCAGCACATTCAAAGTCTCAATGAGTCCCAAGAAAATTGAGCATTCTTTCATATCATATTATCCAACAATTTATTTAAGAAAAAAAAAACATTTTTTTTTCTACCAATTCAGTTATTTACTTAATTTGTAGTTAGATCAGAAATGAATGAGATATTGATAAGGATGTTGGGATTCAAATTCTAATTCGTGAAATTCTGACGGAATCCCTATCGGATTAGAGATAAATCCAGATAACCGGTATATTTGTGATCGATAATTGAACATTTTGTTGATGCTGATCGGCGCTCATTTGAATTTCCACTTGGAAAATTTTTTTAAAAACCTAGGAGAAATAATTTGTAAAACCTTATACATTATTGATATGTATATGGGCATAGTGGTAGCGAGGCTGAAATGGAAATTTAAAAAAATGGTAATGTCTAAAGCTTGACCTTCACCATGCCTCTATACACATGAATTGATTAAGGGCATATATTTGGTGAGTCATTGACCGTTGGTCCATTGACGACAAAAACCGTTGCTTTGGATTTTGTAGATGATTCTACAGTGGACTGTAGGACGGGAATCGAGTGCCAGCAGGTAGACACTTGACAAATAAATGACATAATTTATATATGCTTATTTGTTGTAATCGATATACTCTAAGGTGAGAACGAATGAGTAACTGATGTGAAATTATTAGCTGATAATAATAATAATAGTAATAATAAGAGTGTGGTTGGAAATAATTTGATGGTGATGATAGAGTCGATGGTGGATCATCATTGATGGACTTTAAAGGCGCTGGATTCGTGTGATGAATTGTAGTGGCGGTAAAATTCCTTGGCGAATTTACAGTAAGACTAAGAGTGGTGGTGGCAGAGGTTGAGGTGGAGGGAAGGAAAAAAGATTTAGTATAATAAGTATGCAAGAAGACTGACCACCATCGGGGGTGACGGGTGTATCGTCGGCAGGATGTTGCCAAGCGTAACGGTACAGACTTACTGGCAAAACGTGTGGAATATAGTCGACAACTTTTCGCTTCGTTTGAACAATTTCTCGTCTTATTCATTCGCCCATTCAATTGATTTTCCTTCCAGCCTAATGATACTCTATACTCTGTACTTTGAATTCATTTGAAAATGTCTTTTGGCTGAATTGCCTGGTTTTATGGATAGAAAATAATGCTGTTGGATGAATTTACCAGGAATTGAGGAGTGAAAAATCTCCATTTCAGGGTGAATCATTGCACATTCCTGAGCCTATCCCAGGTGGACGTGCAGAGTTGGATTTGGAGTTAGTAGTATTTTCACTGTGTTAAAAAGATTTCTCTTAGCGATGTAGGAGTGCGCGGTGAGCCCCACGCCCCACGCCCCACGCCCCACGCCCCACGCCCCACACCCCACACCCCACACTGCCGCTCCGATAGCCACTCAAGCACGCACCCAGGATCAGTACAACGGTACTTTGTGGAATGAAATTATACCGTCAGCCTCCACCTCCACCTCCTTCTCTTCTCTTTTCACTCATCAATAACAATTGCATAATAGATCGATCAATGACCGTTAACAAAAATACTCCTCACGAAAAACAAATGGAATGGAATGCAAACTTGAGTTTTTATTATTTTATACAAAAATTGGAGTATTCCAGTTACGAGAACAATTCTCCGGTGAGATATTAGTTAGCTTGTTATCATTAACTAAATGATAAAATTGATTCAGCAGTCAAGGCTTTGAGCGTAAAGTCTTACTTACTTTACGTAATATATATTCAATATACTCAAAATGTGGTGAGCTACAGAAGAAGCTGCTATTGTTTCTCTCCAACTTTGCGCTTTTCGTGGCCCAAGTTAATTGTAGAATTATAGAATAGTTTTATCATTTACCAATAAAAATTTGTGAAAATTTTTTCAAAGCGGATTTTCTCATTTTAAAATAATTCAAATGCCTAGAATATCGACGAATTTTTGATAATTAATGAAAGAGTGCGCCAAACAATAAATCATTCTTCTTTCGAGACATAATTGGTAATGGTAAAAGAATGATAAAAGATTTTGGAGGTATGAAAGAAAATTTTGGTGAAATAACAGCGGAACGAAAGGAGATGGATGGAGAGAATGAGGGGCTGTAGGTGTTTGCAAGGATGAGAGGAATGCAGGCGAATGGGGCCGCTACCGTTGAAGGTAAACCTGTACACCTTTTTTCATTGAAGCTGTTATGTGTGGGTAATGAAAATTTTTATCCCCAATACCGATGCAAACCACCGTTCACATCTCTGAGGTGACTAATTCGTGATTATGCTATACCATGTTGATCTCCACATGGAGGTAAATTCTCTAGGTAGGGCCATTTGCACAGTTGCCGATTCATCCGTGACTATCATCATGATACTAGTTAAATTCCTAGTATCTTATTCAATATGAGATTCAGTGGAGTTTTAACGTCTTTACAGTTAATCAGAACTAACGCGGCTTGGAGTAATTACCCAATTCAATTTTTCTTTTTCCTCATCAATGAGTCTGTTTTTCACAAATAAATTTATATAATGTTTAAATAATCCTTTAGTTGTGTATTTTTGTTTCGATCAGTAATGATTTTTTTTTCGACTGAATTCATGGATAAGAATAAACATTGATTCGATCAAATGCCATCATATGATATCCCGTTCCCACTGATATACGTAATTTCCCAATAGTGATTGAAAGAATTTTTCCTCGTATTCTAACGGTTCTTCAAACTCATCTAATTGACTATTCCAATCCAATGGTCATTCCAATCCGACATTCTTCGAATATTCAACAATTATTCGTCAATGGCTTGAAAAAAATTTCTATTTATTTTAAAGAAAGTTGTAATAAATAGCTAGTTGGCTGTCACAATTTAGGCCTTCAGGGACGGATGAATGAATAAATAGACGAATGGGAAGACAAATGTTGTGCGAAATTAGTGAAAAAATTGGATAGCTCATGGAGAAATGAGCTATTCAGAGGAGCATTTGACGAAGGCGCGATGACAGACGTTTGTTGCAGGTCCAAGACTAACAAGTGGCTTATTCTTCCTCATGTGCAGCGATTTATTGTTGTTTAGACTGACCATAAAGAAAGGATCGTAATCTGGGACTAATGGATCGCCATAGGTGGTTCTTTCACTTCGTGATAAAATAGCACCATTGATGTAATTCATAGTGCGACAAATTTTCACAGCTTCCTCGGTAGATTCGATTGGAGATGGGAAACATTCAGAGTGCCAGACACCCGAGGAACGTCTCAGTACTTGTCCCATGCCTATTGGGTCATTACGGTGTCCTTTGACTATTCTGCAGTTCTTCTCGTCTGAACCATTCTCACAATCATTGAAGCCATCGCAAACAAAATCGTGTGGTACACAAGGTCCATTTTGCGTTTTGGTATTCCAACATTGAAAACTCGAGTCCTTACACAGACATTCCTTATCAGTCTCATCTGTTTTGTCCCAGCAATGTCGAATATTGTCGCAGACGAGGTTCGGCATGGTCAACTTCAAATACTCCCCACAATTGCACTTCTCTGGCTCATCACTTCCATCTCGACAATCAGCGATACCATCACAGAATTTATCCTTTCCCACACACTGTCCATTCCTGCACCTCAATTCCGTGTTTCCGCAAGGGCACCCAATGCCCCCTGACTTTTCACAGTTTCGCCTCTTCTCCTCGCACCTCTCTCGCTCCTCGTCCTCACCATCTCTGCAGTCCTCAACTCCATCACAAGTCTTTTCCCAAGGTACACAATTTCCAATCTTACATCTCAGGCCCTCACATTCTGGTTCCTTCACCAACTCGATATTTTCCTCCATCGCCTGACTGATGTATGCATTGAAATAATCAATGCAGCTCAAGGTCTGAGGCATTTTGAACCCACACATCATATCTTTGTCCTGGAAGACAGCAGTAGGAAACCATCCCCCTTTGCCCCTGCAAACAACAAGTCCATCCCAACTGTGAGTTTCATTTCTTCTGCAAATCTCATTGGTGCCATTAACATAGCATCGATGACATTTCGGACAATTTTCAACGACCGGTTTGAAAAATGTCTTCTTACTATTGAACTTCTCATCTGTCCCTAAAGCAACACACTCATCCTCCACACTCGGAGGCAAGACTAATTTGTCATAAAAGATAGGTTTGACGCTCCTAGTCATATTGACAGGACTCTTCAAATGGAGCAACGAGGCCTCCAATCGCTTTGGATCCACAGATGTTACAGAGTCTACTCCCACCACCTGCTGATGAGGTCCGTCAGCATACTGAAACGTTGGAGAGAGTCCCACAACAGCAGTCGTGTAATTATTGGTCAAATCGATATTCTGTGCACATCTGTAGCTTGTCAATACCCAGTCGGGCTCCAATAAAACCCCTGGACAATAATAACGGCCATTAATGAATACAGCGGCTTCCCAAGGGAACAAATAACTCGTGTTTACAGGATTGTTGCGAACATGCTCAAGCCTGTGAGATTCCACTGTACTCGACAGCACTGTCTGACACTTGACCCAAAGTCCTTGACATGTATTTGAGTCGTTGTTTGATACTATCAATTCTTGGGTATATTTGTAAGGTAGTAGACGGCCCGGAGTTGAGTGGACAGGCATCAAAGAATGATTTTCAACTGTGACATTCCTCACAGTATGGTGGCCTTTGAGACCCAAATAGAAGCAAATCTGGTTTGCTAGTAGCGATGAAGCTTGCGCATCATAGGTCGAGCAAATTGGTTTCCAAACTCCATCACTAATTCTCGTTATAACACCCTCTTGGTTGAGGTACGTGCGGTTCTCAAGATCGAAGACGATATTACGATTGTTGGTCAGGGTAAAGCAATCGACTTCGTCTTCCTTTAAGGGACATTGAGCTATTGTGTCACAGATCTGAATCTTTGGAATACAGACACCACTTCGGCTACACGTGAACTGATCATCTCTGCATAAATCACACTTCTCCTCGTCTGTTCCGTCGTAACAATCGAGGTGACCATCGCAGACAGCTGAAGGCATGTTGTTGTTGAGAATATCTTTGCAGGTGCAATTTTGCTCGTCAGTTCCGTCCTCGCAATCGATGCTTTTGTCACAACGTTTGTACATTGGAACTGTCTGAGTCATTCTGGTACATTTAAAGACTGGTGAGCTATCGTCTAGATGGGAGATGGGTGGAGGAATTGTGCTAGGTGAAGGTAAAGGTTCGGTTGAAAGTTCTGTCGCAAGTTCTGTCGCAAGTTCTGTCGCAAGTTCTGTCGCCGTTTCAGTTAGTGTGATTTTGGGGGTGGTTACTGGTAGCACAGCAAACAGGGGTGGTTGGGGTGGAATTGTTATCGGAGTAACTGGGGCAGACGTGGTGAATACTTCAATTACTGCAATTCTAGGGGATGGATCAGAATTAATAGTGTTAGAAGTTATAACATTGGAGTCATGTTGATTTTGGAGTGACGTTGGTGATTTGTTGTGAAGGAAAACAGATGGATTGGGACAGTTCATCTCATCTTCTGCGTCAAGACAATCAACAATACCATTGCATCGACGATTACCAGGCAGACATTTACCGAGGCCTCCATTACAAACGAAGCCTGGACATTTTGTTTGTTGTACATCAGCTGTTAGGAGATTGGCACCTGTGAAAGAATAGAGCGATTAATTGTCAGATATACCAAAATTGCTTGCGACTTGACTCTGAACTCACCTCTAACGAGGTCAATCCAATCTTTGTGTTTACTGACTCTCGTATACACTCCAGGTTCATTTGGACGTGCGCATCCTTCTCCGTGGCTCACAATACCAGCAGTGTACCATTGACTGGGACCTGATGTCGGATGTTGGCACATGAGAGGTCCACCACTATCACCTTGACAGGCATCCTTACCCCCCTCAGATACTCCCGCGCAAATATGATCATTGTTTCTGTCCACCAAGTGTTTACATGTCGTAAGAATAGGCACTTGGACTTCTCTTAAATCATCGGCTATAAAACATGGTATTGAAAGAATGTTGTACGACTCAATGACAAAATATTATTGCCCCAATTATGCGTTTACTTACGATCAGGTCCATGCTCCATTGTAGAACCCCATCCGATGGTAATACAATTAGTCTGAGGCGCGGGATCAAGATTCGACGTATTTTGTGGCAGACAAGTCGGTCTGATCCAGCGATTGAAGTGTAGAGGTTCGTCCAATTTTATAAGTGCGATATCGTTGTGCATCGTAGCTCGATTGTAAGCCGGATGAGGAATGATGTGGCGAGCCCGACGAGATTGTGCCATTGGAGAGTAAGAATAGCGACGCAGTAAGCCCGCTTGGATTTCATAATAGTGCGTCTTGTGTCTTCGAAGATACAAAAAAAAAAAAAAAAAAGAAAATGATCAATCAAATCAATTATGATAACCAACGTGGTGGATGGTTGGTATGATTATACAAACCCATTGACGCAGTGCGCAGCCGTCATGATCCACAGTTGATCGAGAATAACGGCGCCACAGTGGAAATATCCATCTCTATATACAGCGACCAGAAAGGGCCAGGCCTGAGGCTGACTTGTTCTCCCTCCAACGATCCTAAAGTCTGGTGGTAATCCCTCCGACATAATATTATCTCCTTGAATCTTAGAATTTTCCCCGTTCATCATATGAACACTGTCATGATAATCCTTCATTAATTTGTCAAGCGGACTCTGTGTAGTCACTATAGGTGCTGCCTTCTGCTTCTCGATCAAGTTATTCAGAGTCTCCTTCATCTCCTCTATAAATTGTGTTCTATATTGAGCCAGTTTGTCAGGATGAAGAAAGGATTCTGTTGGTTCGGAAATTGTTCTGAGATTTTCCAGTATATCTCGAATCTCTCTGTAATTTTTCTCATTGGTATATTTCTCCATTGCTTCTTTCCATTTCTGTAATATTGTGATGGCGGGCTCTTGAGAATTTAGTGCAGTATCATTGAGTTTGGAGGCGACTAGTGAATCCTCGTATACACCGTAAGGTCTGTAACGATCTTGAGACATAATTCGAGTACCACATGGAATTGGTGGACACTCGACGAAGAGTGCTTGATTGTTGCAGTTGGGTATGAGTTCGACTTGATTTGATGGCATCATTGCGAGGTAGGGGCTGTTGTTCATGCCTTGGGGAACTACCTTGGCCTCGATCCTCGGGAGTTCTCTGAAGCGGAGACAAATTGTCAATTATGATCACCTTTTCGACGAATTCTTAGGATAGCCTAAGAATTATTTGTCTGTTATTTTTCTACCTGATTTGAATTCCAGTTTCAGCAGCGCAAGCGTCAATTGCCCATTTTTGAGTTGCCGTGCAGACGGGATACCATTTCCCTTTGTAATTTTTGTGAAGGTAGCCAGTTAAATACCCAGTCGGGATCATCTGTAATTTCAATTTTTAAGAGATTGTACAAGACACAATTGTTGTCAATTATTTGATTTGCGTCTTCCTTGCGTTGACATTTTGACCGATTGTGTGTGACAGTGGCTAATTCCACTGATTACATTTAATCTTTTAAAATAATTTTTTTTTTATCTAGATTTTTATGAATTTCGATAGAGATTGATTGATTGTTACATCTTGATCGTGACTCATTGTTTGCGTAAGCATGGTACACTCTTCTTCATCTCTTCCATTTGAACATTGGGAGATTCCATCGCATCTATATGGCATGGGAACGCAATTCTCTCGTTTATACCGTCTGTCCCAATCCTGGCAGCTGAATGAGTCTGGTTGGCATCCTGGAATTACACTTCATTGAAATTAACAGTCGGTAAGTAAATTCCAAGTGGAGCCTCTCTAAGCCAGCAGTCGACAATTATAATTCCGGTATTCCCCGATCTTTATGGTGTCTTGTGCCATCTGGTGAAATTTTTCCGAAGATTTTTATTTAAAATTCTATCGGGGAAAATAACTTGTTGAATTTGCTTTGCCAGCTCTCGTGCAAATAATCAACCCTCATTTTCGAATTAATAAAGAAAGATAATGGGATAATATGCTAGCATGAGTGAGATGAATAAGTGCACAAATAAGTGCAATAAATTGCTCACCGAAGCAACCAAGTTCATCTTCACCGCGAGGGCAGTCGAAGTAGCCATCGCAAAGTTTATCTTTATTCATCCTATCTCGACAAGAACATCCAATCTCGTCACTGGAATCCGGACAATTGATACGTCCGTCGCACCATTTTAATTTTTCGATGCATATACTGCCGTCCATGCAAAGCTGCTCATCTTGTTTACATGGCAAATCTTGTTGCCTGGCAAATCCTATAATATGACAAATTATAACAATTGCACATGATAACTCTCTACAATATCAAGTTTAAGGGGTGAAAAATTAAACCTGAATAAACGTCATTGTTGTACTCCTCGTTCCAACTGCGGCTCGCTCCAACCAATGGATTCTCCAAATTGGCCCTGCTATGATGATCTTCGTTTTTAGCGGCATTGGACTCTCTTTGAAATCCAGATGTGCCGGGAAATTGATGGATGGGGACTGGCATATAAATACAGCCATAAGGTTGCGGCCGAGGGTAGGCCTGCCCAGGTCCAGTCGGCGGCATCCAACCTCCCGGAAATCCTCCACCGGAATTCATTTGAAAAGTTCCATAGGGTCCAGTTTGTACAGCTGCCGGTTGGAAATTGGAAAACCCGTGTCCAGGTGAGGAGACAACCCGGTGAGGATATTGTAGCGATGCTTGATATTGTCCCGGGGCTGATGGATATGGGGGTTGGGGAAAACCCGGAAAACCCGGAAAACTTTGCTTTCCTGTAGGCCCTTGACCTGGTGGATAACCGAAATAACAAACTGGAACACCATTGAATGACACTTGGGGATTTATGTGCACCTGCTGACCAGTTTTCATTGTCTCAGCTGTTGGAATCACTGGAGGATTTGTCTCAATTAATGAATTCGGCTGGAACTGTCTCGGCACCATTCTTGCGTGGGAATTAGCCGAGAATGACGGCCCCTGGGTTATTAACATCTCCGGATTGTCTTCAGGAGGAAGTTCACTCGAAGACGTGGGTGGAAATTCATGGCTTCTAACGTTCTGCAGAATAGGAAAGTGATATTTGACTGGTCCATCTGACAAAAAAAAAATGCAAGTTAACTTTTTATTATATTGCTCTTTCCAAATCCAGTCCACCTTGAGCTTGATTGATTACCTTGTTGCTGAACTATTGGGTTTTCGGCAATTGTTGTATTTTTTATGGGTTCACTAAAAGTTGAATTCATAACAACAGTGAATTTTTCGACTTGGTTTGAACCGCGGCCCGGTTCAGACGATCTTTGAATCAATAACGCTGGTTGGGATGACCATCGATCTGTTACAGCCCCTGGTACGGTGAGATTTTGGATTATGAGTGTTGCAGAATTTTGTGACGGCTCGAGCGTGCTGGGGGGCTTATTAGTAGAGACCTTTATTTTATCAATATTTTGGCATTCAACACACTGGAGAAGTGCTGAGAGAGCACCTTTGGGTTTATCCATAGAAGACAAAAGACCCTTCAAAGAATTCATACTTTCACTGGCCGTTGATGTGAGTGCTTGCATGTCATTGAGAATTGATTGACAAGCTTCGAAGCGAGCCTTACAGATTGATTCCTGATTGATGTATTCTATCTGGCGTTTCTCAGTCTCCCTATCCCCCCATTGAATTTCGTTTTGCTCGACATTCTCAGCTGAGCGACGACGGCGATTTTTCCCCTCGTTTGCAATCATATCATACAGTAGATTCGTATCAACTTTTTCGGAGAGGACATCAGAAAACAATTTCGAAAGCTCCGACAGATCAGATTCAGAATCACTATTAGTCAATACCGGATCTGATGATGGCTGGCTTACATCTTGAAATAATTTAATAAAGATATTCAAATTATTTTAAAAAGTCCAAATATTTCGATTCTTCTATAACTGATAAAACGTTGCGTAAATTCCATAAGAAACATAAGATCGTAACGACGATCAGTAAATTGGCACTAACTCGAAGGCGGCAATTCTCTCCCAAACTTTCACCGCATTAATCACGACAAAATTCGGAGAAATAATTTTTTGGTCAATGAAATCTCCAAAAATATCAAACTATATAAGATTTCTAATCGATCGAGTGTTGAGGAAATATATATAAGAAAAAAAAATCAATAAAATTATGGATATTGAATTATTGCATTACCTGTGTGGATTGAAGAATAGATAATTGATCCGATAAAAATCAAAGCCAGAATGACTGAAGTGAATCCGATCATCATAGTAAATCTGTATCTCACAACGGCTTGAGGATTACCAGACATCAGAGAATATTTTATATCCTCCAATCTACGCTTAGTACAATTGCTCAAATTTTCCATTCTACTTGATTTTCTGCTGCTATCACAATTCTGAATAGTGGTCGCACCTGTTCTTGGTGAAGATGAATTTTCTGGATCCTCCATCCAAGTCAATGAAATATTTAATTAGTATTGAAAAAAATGACAATGAGCGGAAAGGCGAATTCGAGTAATAAATGACCGGGCACAGTGAACAGTGACTGAGGAATGAAACAGTGTTTTTCCAAGCCGACGGTAACCCACGTAAGATCCGTTGCCTTTTTCGCTATTGTCAGCTTTTTCATACCTCAAAATACGTTATCGAGCCTGTTCTACTTTCCACCACATATGTCGAAATATTATTTTCTGCACCAGTTGAATGACTTGCTCACACGCACAATGCAACTATGTCTTTTTGCATTAAAAAATTTAATTTTGCGTTTCAATCAAATTCCTTCAAGCTTTCGATTACACTGCAATCCTGAATGAACGAAAAAATTCTTTCGAAAATATCATTCCACACGTATAAAAAGAATGGAATGGCATGCCAATAAAAAATACAAGAGTAATGAAAAATTGTACTACTTTGTCATTGGATGAACTTTTGCACGCTATTTTAATGACAATCTAATATTCCAACAATTTTCTATGGAACTCAATGAATCGATAGTTTCTTCAAACATAAAGAGTTTTCACTCTATAAAGTCACCGTCAATTCAGACGGCTCCATAACCGTGTATTCTACATGCGTCAGCTACATGCAGCAAACAAAGTTGAAATATATGAAATCACAAAGAATAATGTATTATCTTTATATATTCATCATTAATTTATTAAATAAATGCGATGAAATAAAGTGGTCCTTCCATGCCCACGTCATACCTATGGTACAGGAACATTTTTTATTTCGAATTTCGGAAAGATGGAGAATTAAATAGAGAGCAATATAAATGATTTTTCAATAAATTCTTTACTGTTAGCTGGCTGTTGATATATTGATGATGGATTGTTATAACAGTGACTATTCAAAGACTCGTCCCTCAGAGGGGGACGATCTCAGATAGGGACGATCCTTATTTTCTATAAAGGTCTGATCCATAACCGTCAATTTTATTGATTATTATTTATTTTTTCTACACTTATATTTAATAAAAAATAGAGTGTACTACAAAGTATGGTGACTATCCGATTCTATAATCATTGGATTCCGTGTAACCACGACGAATGGATTGGGAGGCAATTGTGTAAGATGTTTCTTCCTTTTACTTTCTCCAACTGGTGAACACCAAGTCCACTGAGACGGGTTTACTGGCTTCATCGAAACCAACAGTACTCGCAACTCACTCTGTGTATTTTCTAGTCAAGAAAAAATCGCCGTTTATCATTAATATTGTTTGCATGTGATGTGATGATGTCAATGTAAGAACATAGGAAATGACTATCGATTCAAGTGATGTGGAAAAGTGTTTTTTTCTTGCCATGATTGATCTTTAATAATGATGGATGTACTTAGAAGTGAATTGTTCAACTCTGAGGAAGAGGACGAGGAAAATGGTGGGCAATGAGAATAAACAAATGAGTGCCATGAATTTCATTTAACATCTAGCACGTATTTTAATTTCAAATAGAGCTATTTAACGGTATTGTTCTTTTTTTTTTCTCATCTTTGTAGTGGCACATATGGAATATGAGCTAAGTTAGATGAATAATTCGTGCCGAATACGAACAATAATAACAGCCAATCATTAATATAGTGTTGCCAAAAAAAGTATTAACTTAGCATATCTCTCGAGTCTGGATGCATATCCGCTCGCTTGTTCCTGTTTTTCAACTTTGAAACGGAAATGTTGATTACAACTTCATTTATCGTTTATTAACTCTCCAAAAACTCTAAATACAATATATTCCGCCCGATGTGAAAAAAAATTGCGAAACGAAGGCGTTTTTGCATTTGAGCTCAAGGAAATCTTCAATCTTTTATTCTTTATCATTGATCAAGATGCAGTTTCCCCTCAACAAAATACAATAATAATAACAATGTGATATAATGATATCCTATACTGCTTGTGAACAAGCGGAAGAACCATGACGACATTATTCGAAGGGCGTACGTGATCTTCAATCCATGAAACTCCGATACTTGTCGAATACATTTAAAGGCATTATAAAGAATCAGCTAAACCAGAAAAAAAAAATATGGGGAACTGCAATAAATCCAGAGATGGCCAAGCAGAAGAGGGAATATAGATATATTCATAAGACAAATCATCTAGTTTCCTATTAGTTCCACGCCCCGCATCTCTCGTCCTACATTCTCTGAGGCCCATCAAAGTGTTTCATTAGGAGAAAAAAGAAAAATAGAGAGAAATCGAGTAAGTCACTGAGAAGATTAAATGACGGTCGAGCTCTGCCTCACTCTACCCACAGTCGCTGTTGTATTATTTTTTTTTCTTTTGTGTTTTAAAGTGATTTCATCAATGACACACCACCACCAACTAGCGGAAATTATTATTTTTCTTCTTTTTTGTTGAGCGAGAGTCAATGAATGGAAAGTGAATTAGAAATAGAAGAGAGTATAGAGTGAAATGAAGAAATGAAAGAATATTATTGTGGTCTGATGAATTGTAAGGTATTGGGGGGTCAAGTGTGAACGGGGCTAAGATAAGCCAAGCCGGACACTGTCGTTAACTCACCAGTCATAACGAAAGCCGGTATATGGTGAGACGACAGTCAGTTGTGCTGAGGTAGCCGCTACATTAACAAGGACCATTCATTGTGCACTTGAGATACGGAGTTGAGTTGTGTTGAATTGTCACTCGGGATTTTGAAAACCAGTGAGTCTTCAACTGCGTCTTCTAATTTCACTCATTCATTCAGCCACTCGGTTGCACGTAATTGTCACCATTTATTGACAACCTCATTTATTATTAAAGAGATGAAAAAGTGAAAGGATTGCAGAAAATGGGTAACATCAGTGCAAACTTCAAGTGGAAGTTCTTGTCATACCATGCAACTTTCAGAATTGATCGTGATCTTTACAGGTTTTCAAGGATTCGAGAGTCGCTGTTGTAATCGTATCGTCTCTTTGAATTGCAGGTCAGGCAAAAACAGATGGATTTAAGATGCATAATCAGGCCCCTGGGCCTTCTATTTGTCCTTGCGATGACATATCCTGGAATCACAGCATCTTATAGTATCGGTGTGGGCACGGCAGATTCAACAGGACCTATTGCTGAAATTGTTTTTGTGAGTTTTTTTTTTTCCTGATACCTTTAAGGACCATTCCCAAAATAAGCACTCGTCGAATGAAAAATCATTGTCATTCGTTTACCCTTTTTTTTTTCATTTTATTCTATAAATGTTTCTGTTATAAGATTCATCACAGTGATAAAATGATTATCAAGAACATTGTGATGGCATTTATCGATTGAAGTGAGATTGTTATTCTCAATTTTTATCAGCCAATTATCTCCATTTATTTTCCCATTATTATTATTATTGGAAATATCGTGTTAATTAGATAAATAAATGAAATTGAATGATTAACGTTGAATATACTTTAATGAGAAATGTAAAAAATTGTGGGGAGACGTGACGATTAGAAATTAATCTTTGGATTTTTTCTTTTTGCAGATGGGATATGCCAAAATGGATCAAAAAGGTACAGGCCTCCACCTGCGCACATTCGCAAGAAGTTTCATAATCGACGATGGAGATCAAAGAATTGTATTTGTAAGCGTTGAAAGTGCAATGATTGGCCACGACGTCCGCGCTGCTGTAAGGCTCCTATATACGTTAATTTATTTCAATTTACTCATATAATGATTTCCACTAATATCCCCTTATATTGGAAGAGCAATGGCTTATTCATTCGTGCCTTAGCGATCAAGTTATTGGAAACAAACGAGCGTATCGGGTTACGAAGATTAAAAATTTAATTGGTCATTGTCCGAGAAATTATTTGGCAAATATTCCACTTAATTTTGATACTTAAGAGGTGTTCCATTATTTACTATAATGTTGAATTGAATTGAATAGAATAACGAGAAACTATGGTATACTAAAATAAAAATTATAAATGGCATAAATTTATTGATTAATATTTGAGTTGGTGAATCAATGAATCCTATTATGGCTACGTAATTATAATGAATGATGGGATAAATATTGAATCTCTTAAAAAAACTGAAAGACCATTATATTGATACATTTTTAGGTGATACGGGAGTTAAAGAAAAAATACGACGATTTGTACACAGAAGAAAATGTTATGATAAGTGCAACACACACACATTCAAGTCCAGGAGGGTGCAATTTGTACATGTTGTTTGATCTCACGACATTTGGATTCATAAAACAAAGCTTTTCGGCTCTAGTCAATGCAATTACGAAGGTAAAGGAATTAAAGAAACACTTCTTTGCCGTAATTGTCTTTTTATAGTCCTGATTCATATGTGACGTCATGCTTATTTGTCAATTTTCAGAGTATTGAACGGGCTCACAATGCTGTTGTGCCAGGAAAAATCTTTGTGGACCAGACAGAAGTTTTCGATGCAAATATCAACAGGAGCCCTCAGGCCTATTTAAATAATCCAAAGACTGAGAGAGAAAAGTGAGCGCCATTTTACAAGAACTGAAGAATTTATGGGAAACGTGATAAAATCAAAATTTTATCACGAAGGATAATATACTGAAGATTATTAAAAAAATCAATTGACGATAAGTCCGGCGTGCAAAAAAAAATACCACCAATTGTTTTTATTTTCCTTCTAGGTACAAAGATAATGTAGATAAGACGATGACCCAACTACAATTCGTCGCAGCTGACGGGCATCCTTTGGGAGTCATTAACTGGTTCGCTGTGCATCCAACCAGCATGAACAATACAAATCGCCTCGTCTCCAGTGACAACGTCGGCTATGCTGCTCTTTTATTTGAGCAGAAAATGAATAAAAATTCGATGCCCGGAAAGGTAAAAACTCCCATTTCCACCAGCGCCAATTCAAACAATACCGATTACTCATTATTATAGTAGTCAATCACTCTCATTACTCAAAATATTGACAAATTGAGAGATTGATATCATTGATATTTCGGTATCAATCTTCACTTTCGAATGGAGCATCGTTGATAAAATTTTGTTGTGATGTTTAGGGTAAATTTGTTGCGGCATTTGCGTCGAGTAACTTGGGTGATGTGTCACCTAATACTCGAGGACCAAAGTGCGAATTTTCTGGTAAAGATTGTACGGAGCAGTACACGTGTACGGGAAAGAAAGAATTATGCTTTGCATCAGGACCAGGAAAGGACATGTTTGAAAGTACAAGTATAATAGCTAGGAAACTCTTCACGGCGGCAATCGTAAGTCATTGAACAATTCAATATTCAATATTTCATTTTATTTTCGGAAGGCAGTATTGACTGATCATGAGCTCATTTATAAAAAAAAAAATAAAGTTAAGAGTAAAGGTTGTTACGGGATTATCATTGCTAGTATCCATAATCTTGAGTGAGATGTAGATGTGCCGGGTAGTGAGGCACGATGTGCTTGACAATGGGTGTTGGATGAACGGCATGTCCAATTTTCTTAACAACGGCATTGAATCCATTGTGTGGATCAGCTGTGTAGTCAACAACGCGAATTGTGCCGTCAGGCTCGTTTAGGCTGTACGATCCTTTCACAACATCTCCATCACGCTCCTCGTGTTGGCTCTTTACATCACCAGTGTGGGGATCATTTACTCCGTAATTGAAGGAATACTTGGCAGGTGCCTGAAATTAATCATGACAGCGGATTCACATTATTTCATTTAGATAAGGACAGAGGATTTTGCATTCAATTTCTTTAATTGATTTGAATATTTGAGTCAATTACGTTCACTGAGTTGAAATATTAAAAAAATATGAAATATCCAAATCTTATATTTTTTATCAAAACTCACATGATGATCATCTTGATCATGCTGGTCATGATGGTGGATGGATGGATATGCTGGATAAGTTTCATAAGCTGCATAAACGTGAGGATTTAAACCGTAACCCAATTGACTCTGTACAGGCTCGACAATTGCAGCATGGGTGAGATCATGTCCATTATACCCATATCCATAGTCATTATAGCCATTGTGAGCAATATATACTGCCTGGCTGGCAATCACCATTGTTGCAATAATGACCAACTGAAAATTTAAATGTCACCTTTAAGAAAATTTAACCGAGTGCCTCAGAAAATTTTGTCAGTACAATTCTTCCTTCAGTACTTCCTAATTCAAGTCTTTTCAAACCTGTACATGTACCTTGAACATTTTTTTTTTTTTTTGAGGTGTATTATTCACTGATGTACAATGTAAATCGACTGATACTTCTGATGTTGAGTTGAGAACTTTTATACGAAAAGAACTGTAGTGCGTGCTGTGGAGTAGTCCCTCCCCCATCTAGCTCAATTCCTCTGGTGATCTAGAAGTTGTGCAATTCAAGGTTACGTGTACGCGTAACTTCATTTTTTTTCTTTCATTGCCACGATTAAGCCAAGCAGTTTTTTTTTTAATTTTTTTATTTTCACCAAGGTATGTCCATCCGGGAGTGTCCGACTGTGGGATTTTGAGACAGTTGAAGGTTGACAGTAGTAAGGGGAGGCAAGGGGCAAACGAGCGAGATATGTCTCCGATGTGTGGGAGGTGGTAAAAAAGTGGTAATTTCAAGTGGGGAAAAAAAGGATTGCATCCTATGGTTATGAGAAAAGGAACCAGTGGGATTCTACTAGTTAGTATGATTTGGCGGAAAAAATTTCGTTACATTTAATGGGTACCACGTAAGGTAAATAATGGAATGCCGACGAGACGTGAATTAGAGAAGATGGCGAAAAAGGGTGAGAAGGGAATGGGCATAATAGGGTTATTAGTAATAAATGATAAATATTGAATATATTTTAAATAGTATGGGGGAAAAGGTTACTCAATGGTTTCATTCATAATTCCTTTCAAATAATATCCTCCTTCGTATAGTCCTCCGTTCATTTGAAGTTGAGAGAATGAGCTAGTATAATTACAATCCTCATCAGAACGTGACAATACGAATGATTACTCTTTGCAATACTTAGCCCTTGCTCCCAATAATGTCGATTGGTTACCAATCATTCATCAGTTATTCCCCGGTATTCATTTTGACTCGATAAAAAAATCATTGTCGTAACAAGTTTCGAAATGGATCAAAAGTATTTACAACTTATTGATGAAAAAGAAGGGAAAGAGGTATTGGATTGTAGGAAACGATAACGTAAATATTACGTCGAATCGAATGGCGGGAGTGGGAGTACATGCTCCGGATGTTTTTTCTTCTTTTCTCCCGCAGATTTCACATAATAATAAGCGGCGATATGTAACAGCTAGAGTGAGGCAATGGGTTGCATGTGGATCGAAACGGACATATCATGGTCCATGACTGTTGGATGGACGTGGTTGTCAGTCTCGTTGGGTCTCACGTCCTTACGCAAAGGACTATGACTACTCTGATAACGTCATCATCCTCTATTCAACATACCTAATGATCTTTATTTACTGTGCATTTTATGGATACTATCAATGTTATTCATATTATGAGAAACATTAAAGCCAAATAAATATTGGGCAAAATATAAAAAATTTATTTATTTATATGGTTCTACAATTTCACAATAACGTTATTACTGCATGAATATCATTGGTTTAATTGAATGTGTCATTTATTCATTGGTCAATGAGGTTGAATAGCGACAAATTCTTAGGTCACGTCTATATCCTCAGCATTCACAGAGTCGCACAAAATCACACAGAATTGTACATTTTTCCCCTCAGTGATTTTCAATATAACTGGAGTGATAATTAACAACGTATGGGCGGAGTTGGTGATTGTTAACAAGCCAAGAATGATGGATAGCATGGCCAATTTTCTTAACGACAGCATTGAAACCGGCGTGGTCATCAGCTGTATATTAACTAACTAACCGAATAGTCCTGTCCGGCTTGACACAGCCGTATATGTGCCTTTGACTATATCACTCTCCCTCACCTCTTCCTGGTGATATATCTCATCCCTATGTGGATCGTTAACGCCATAATTCAATCTCTTACTCAGGATATTACTAAAATAAATAAAATAACAAGTTCACATATCATATTCTCAACTGAATAATTGAAAATTCAAAGAATTCATATTTTAACAATAGCTGGTTGGTAAACCACTGGCGGTTGTGAATAATTATCATCATAAATACATTCGTGCTCCAGTGGCACTGTATATGGCTTTCGGCCGCGAGGGCAATAAAAATGCCCAAAAACTTGAAATAAAATGCAGGTTTGCCTCATCAAAGTAAACTGCTGGGAGAAAATACTTGCGTACACTTTCATGAATTACGTATTGTTAGCTGGTACATTTCAACTTCTTTATGACTGTTACGATCGTCCTGATTGCAGATTCGCCAGTTTTATGATAATTAATACAACAATAGGTAAATTAATACAACGCGTAAGATTCGTCACAGTACAATGATTATTGGTGTCCAAGCGACATTGAAATTAAATACCTGGCAAGGTTGCTATATTATATATTTCTACGGCAAACGCGGCTTTTGTTTAGTTTGTAGAAAGTTTAGGCAATAACGTGACTGTATTTCGGTTAGCGAGTCAGTTGGGTTGCAAATACATAAACTATTTGAATTTGTTAGAATTTCTTATTTCATTTTTTTTCTCCCAGACAATTCTCTATAAATCCACACTGGAAGATAAAAATGCGGTATTTTTTTTTCATAATTATTAGCATTATTCCGGGGACTGCTTAATTAATTTAATTCACTGCTTAATTTCACCAAGTGTCAGATTTCTCAAACGTCAGAGAATCGCACTATGAGAAATAATGAATATGGAGCGGCTTTTTGCCGTAACTAAGTCCATGTTTTTTTTTCTCCATCTCCTTGGATACAGTTCATTATTCATACGGCGTTCAGAAGACAATGGATTCCCAGACACTTCCTCTTTCCTCAAGTAAAAGTATTCTATTTAAGGAGTTTAACACTCACTCGGACTTAATGAAAAAGCCATTTGTATTTGCAATGAATAATATTGTTATTATTTATTTATCCTTTGCCATTGTTCGTGTCAAGATCATGAGAGTGACAATGAGAGTGAGGGTGTTAGAACAGTTTGTTGATGAAAAAGAAAATTTCACAAGATAGGTGTGTAGGAGTTATGTAAATTAGGCAACTGGTCATTCATCTTGGCGCAAGAGGATTTTACCATAGTTTTCTGAATTGAAAACGTTTCGCAATAGTTTGTCAGTCACGACTTGGTGATGGATGGAGAGAGATAGAGGGAAGGAAGGTAGGCGGTAGGCGGTAGGCGGTAGTGTTGTTATTTCTTCAGAATGAGGAATAAATAGAGAAAATCATTTTTTCAAATACTGTTTTTCCCTTTTTTTTTTTATTTAAAATTATAAAGAGATATAAATGTCATATAAATAAAAAATAAATCACTTCAATTGAATTTTTTCATTGAATTGAGTTTTGCTGAATTACAGTGTCCTCGGAGTTGTTGGAGGGGACGGAACACATTCAGTGGAATGAAATCTCGACTATTTTTCCTTTTGATCCCGGTTGCTAGCAGAAGTATTGTGAGATCTTCATGTTAATTATCTCGGGTCAGTTGCAGATGTCCGGGGCAGAAGTAGATTTAATTAGCACAATATCCGAAGTGAATACCTATCTGCGGTATTTTCCAACCGAGTTGATCACTTCAGAGCTTTCTTATCATTAGTTTCTTTTATTCAGCGTGAAATTTAATAAAGCTAGAAATGATGTTTATCGAATTCGTAGCCGTAATACTCTGGTGATGCCTCGACGTATTTAGCCACGTGGACGGGAGGTGGATGTGAGGCTGGTCCAACTTTTTTCACAACTGCATTAAAACCATTGTGATCGTCCGCTGTGTACTCAACAATTCGTACACTTCCATCGGGCTCGTTTACGCTGTACGAGCCGTGGACAACATCCCCATCTCGCACCTCATGCTGGGTTTTCACGTCACCAGTATGGGGATCATGGACCCCATAATTGAACGTATATTTTGGGTGAGACTGAAACAGCAAACCCATCAAAATTCATCTTAAAACATCAAATTTATCCCCTAATATATTTTTCATACACAACGGATTATTTGATTAACCTTTGAAATTGAAAATGAATGAAACATTTAATTGAAACATTCCATAAAAAAGTGTAAACTGATGGAAATAGTGGAAACTTCACCGTAAAATAATTTAAAATGGTTTCCACAGTTAAACGCGATTACAGTTGTGAAAAAATGTGCACTCCGTCGAAAGCTTTTCTAATAGTGAGAATATTTTCGCATGAGGTTCAACATTTTTCAAATTTTTCCATTGAATTTTATCGATTCAATTCGACCATTGTATACACAAAATACTCTGGTTATTCGTCAATGTGACCAATTCATGTGTCCTCTTCAAACTATTCAATCGGATGTCAATAATTTTTCTAATAAGGATTGAATAAAGTAAAAAAATGTGAAGATCAAAATAATAGAATGTGTATAAAAACCGACGCACTCTTGTACAATCAGAGTTTCTACTCCGAAAGTTCTATTTATTTGGTGAAAATGTGTGAACGAACCTCTGCCAACTTCACTTAGAGAGTTGAACACAGAAAGCATGCATTATAACTTTTTATATTGTCTGCATAGTCGGTATGGGATCGATATTGAAATAGTTGTGAGATGAAAGACAAAAATTATCCACTTTTGAATGGATTCTCAAATGAAAAAACTTTAATTACATCAAAGTTTAAATAACATAATGATAGTAAATGAAAAAAAAAAAAATGGCTTACATAGTAATCGTGGTCCTCACTGTGCGGTTCGTGATGGTGGTGAGGAAAAAGAGGTGCGGCTGATACAGCGTGTACAGGTACAGAGACCGTTGGAACAACGTGATGAGTCTCGTAGTCATTGGTGAGTGCTTCATATCCGGAATAATCAGGATAATAGTGTCCGTGGGCGCCATTGTGGCTAATGAGGACCGCCTCGGTACACCAAATCGCTGATGCCAGTAGTATGCTCAGTAGCTGGAATTTTATAGAAAATTTTCCATAAAAAGTTTCCATATAAGCGGATATAAAAGGTTGGGAAAGTTCAGTGCATCGAGAGGTACTTCCTCGATGACTTATTTATTATTTGCACATGAAGTTCCTTCTGACGAATAACGAGGATCTTTGTCACTTTCCCATCCAAAGCCAACTGTCGAGTCAGCAGAGACAGTCTTTACTCTTGCCACTTTCGCCCGCTCAACAGATGTTTTTTTATGTCCATTTTAATTATGTCCTTACCATACATTTTTTTTCTTCAAATATTAGGAAATAAAAAATCACATATTCAATTTGCGGCCAAGAATTTCCCTTGGAAATTTTCAACAATTTAGCAGTCTTCACGAGTCTAGAATAAATCTGTAAATTATTTAGCAATGATATTCAGTTTTTTTCTAAATATATCAAGATGAAATTGAGTGGTTTTTAAAAAGCTATCAAGAGAATTCGATAAATAGCACAATTAAATTGGATATCACGCGCGTACCTTAATCATGACGTGCGTTTTCACTTTTAGGTAGTCTCCTTTTTTTTTTTGCTGGTGTTTCGGTGGTTAAAGTGAATGACACTGAGGTTGAGAGCGCGAAGACACTGATAGACATCATCCCCGTCGAATGTACTTATATCCATCTCCCACCTAGGCTCCCTCCCATGTTCCGGCTTCAATAGCCGGTAATACCTTCTTCTCACTAATTTTCCCACATCTTTTCATTCGTCTTTTCTCAAGGTTCAAGTCAACATAAAAAAATGCAGCTCTCATGTACTACGAAATATTTCGACAGTACAAATAATGACAGACAAATGAAAAGAAGAGTTGGAATTATTTTCCGGGACACGCTGAATGAAGTAGCCAGCTAAATTATTAATTCAAGTGGCGCTCATTACTTCAGGTAAAAACTTTTATAGAAAGAGGGGAAAGTGATGAAGAAGAAGAGTGGCATGAAAATATTCTTTCTATATTAGCAAAATATTTTCGAAGATATTTAAAATTTAGTTACCAAATCAGCCAAAAGACATTTTATCACACAGTGAAATCTGGGCGATATAAGTTTATAACAATAATCGACCCTGGAAGTAGTTTTGTGATAACGGAAGATGAGAGAAGGGTGAATCAAAATTCCTAGATGGTTTGTGTTACATGATTCTGGAAATCTTGGCATGGCTTTCATAGAATGTACTTTCAAAGAATATACATTAACGGGGCTTTTCATTTTCCAACAGCGTTGAAAATAACGATGCGTTTATCAATGAAACTCCAAAAAAATATAACAGAGAGCTATTTCCGGAATGAGTCTTGAATTTGACAATAAAGAAGCGTAGAACCGTCGAAGTGTCTTGCGTACATCAATTCATTACATGCTCCTATATAGGTGTGGTAATGGAGTTTCGCAAATAGGTGTTTGTGGTGAGCTACGGGTGTGAGACGATGTACTACGATGCACTCTATGGATTGCACAGTGCATCCACTCACTATTACTACGAACTATTGCAATTCACGGATACAGGAAAAAAAACAATATTGTGGGATTAAGAATTAACATATGTTGAAAACGTGAGGGAATAAAGTGAAAATTTTTGAGGGAAATGAGAGCATGAAAGAGCACAGCTTTGTTTATACGCAACCATTCAAGTCACCTCAATCCTTACTTTTATTATTTCATTCTCATTATTAAAATCAATCGTCATCATGTTTAATTCCAGTACTACGGAAAAATTTTCATCGAAATGGATTTTGATTTCGTAAGTGCTTCACGGTGAAATAAATAGAGTGCACGGTTATATATGTGGAGCAATCCCTTGTGGTAAAATCAGTGGCTGATCCTCGTTGCCAGACTATCCGCTAAAGGTTTCGCCGCTCCCGCGAGCCCAACATTCTGCAACATTAAAGCAATATCTCTACGATCCCAAACAACAAGATAAATTCAATAAATTCAAACTCCCCCTACTCACTTTTAAGCCAGCATATTATCCTTCACCAATTTTAGCTTAACCCTGATATTATTGTACTTTTCAATTAGTCCGATTCGCCCCAATTAATATATATATATATATGTATATATTTCCAGTTTACCGAATGGCAAGTCTTAAAGAGGGTGTATGAATAAATGTGTACGATACTGAAACATCTCGGAAACATCTCGGGGAAAATATCTCATCATTCACTCCCATGGAGTTCTGAGAATTGCACAAATGCACATAGGTATTACATAGAGCTCCTATGTGCCACTCATGTCGCAGCCGTGTCAATTGACGTGTTACTAATCCACTGCCCGACTTATGCAATGTATTGTTTACGAGTTGCCATTTCAATAGAATCATGTGAACCATCGTGAGGAAAATAAAGGAAAGGAGGGGCTATCGTTTGGGGGACTTGTATGTGATTTCTTGGCCATGTAAATACGAACACGCCAGATTGAAAGATTGGTAAAATGTCTCTTTCCAATCCTTGACATCTTTCGAGGGGAACACTGATTTTTTCAATACCATTTATATTCCATATACAAGTTATATCGCCAATTAATTATAACTGAGATGTGCCTCAAAGAGAATACAAAAAAAAAGAAGAAATAATTGGTGGAAGGAGAAACGAAGGAAGTTGTGAGGAACGTTGTGGGTGAACCACGCAAAATACACTTTCCCACCGATTACGATGGGGACGTGTTTATTTGCAAACCATGCTCAGGTCACATGTCTTCATATTATATGCATAAATCGTGCAGCGGTGAATCGCATCTGCGGAATACAGACTGAGTTGAATGCCAAACCTCATTCATGTCATTTGGTTCAGAAAACAACGCGACATTGTCTTCACTGCACTGGGAACAAAATGTTATAAATAAAAGTAAGATGGCTTTGAAACCAACCAATGAAATAAATAAATAGTATAAATCGTACTCAATAATATAATAAGTTACTGTCACCTCTCAATTGAACATGTCTCGGGTGTGGCAATTGCTTCTTTGAGTATTCTGAAGGGAATTTCCCCTTGAGCCAGACTTCCGATAGATGATCCCATTCATTGTTCGACAAGTGCATGCAACGACATTCCTTAACATTGTTAGCAAACTTTTGATGAACTCAGTCATCCGCATCTTATGTTGACTTACATCACATCCATAAATTCAAACTTGTTATCCTCCTACGATGTCCGCATGGGAATATTTGAGCGGGTAAACAACGAAATAAATTCAGTTCGATATGGATGCTGGATTAATTCCGTCATTTCCTACAAAACGAAGAATTTTGAGGAGAAAATGGCGCAAAGTACTCTGCTTTACTTCATGTTGTCATTTCATATCTGTCGTAATGAATTTTCTCTAATAAAGTGTCTGTTTTTTTTTCTTCAGAATCTGTGGAAAAAGGGTTCAAGCAAAGAAGTATCAGGCCCAGTAAGAGTCGTTCATCGTTATGTGAACATGCCAGAGCAGAAAGCAGAGTATTACAACGAAACAACTGGTCGAGTAGAGGAGTTATCGGGTTGTTTACCAGCGATGGGGTACAGTTTTGCAGCTGGTACGACTGATGGGCCAGGCTCATTCGCCTTCGAACAAGGTACGACGACGTCAAATCCAGTATGGAACGCTGTTAGAAATTTCGTTGCTGCACCAACAGAGGAGGATATCAAGTGCCACGGAGTTAAGCCCATATTATTAGCAACTGGAAGGGTAAGTGTCGGATGTATCGTCGACTAACCCCCCAAAGCTGTTTCTATATTTTTCCATGTTTTTCCTTTATGGTGACGTTTATGAAGATGTGGCTGCCTTATCAGTGGCAACCCAAGATTGTGTCCACCCATCTTGCGGCAATTGGTGACTTTGTAATAGCAGGTGTACCCGGTGAATTCACAACCATGTCCGGCAGAAGAATGCGCGAGACCATTGCAACTGCCATGAAAGAGAGTACCCAAGTAGAACCCATCGTTACTATCGCCGGACTTTGCAACACGTATAGCGATTATATTGCTACTCCCCAAGAGTATGAGGTAATTTATCTAATTATAAGGAACTTGCTGAAGGGAAGTCTTCATATCCGCTATTCTTCATGGATGACCAGAATCATCATCCTTTTGTTTTTTTTTTATTGATTTATAGATTCAAAGGTATGAAGGGGCATCAACAATCTTTGGACCACATACATTAACAATTTACCTTAAACAATATCGTGAATTGACCCTAGCAGCCGTTCATGTAAGTATAAAATCGTCCGATTCTCAGAAAAAAAAAAACAAGTCGTTCATTTTTGTTTTACCTGTTGGTGTGTTTAAGGGTAAGAAAGTAGAACCTGGGCCTTCACCACCCGATTTAACTACTGCTAATTTGATAAGTCTCCAAACACCAGTGCTTTATGATACACCGAAATGGGGAAGAGACTTTGGCGACTGTCTCAGACAACCTAAGAAAATGGTCTATCCTGGAGATACTGTTTCAGCAATATTTGTAAATATTCTACATTTATGTTTTATTTACACGACAAGCTTTGCCTTTAATTTATTCATCAAAGAAAGGAGTATCAACCTTGTGTAGTATGATTATCGGAGTATGAACCGAATTCATTGATGAGATAATAGTTGGAAAAATGAGGGAAAAAGTAAAATGAATGAGTGAAAGAAGCAACTCCAATGATAATCCTCAAAAAATATATTTCGCAATTGCATAACCACTGGAAATGGACCTGCACGTGTAATCATATATTACATAATGTGATAATGTTACGCCTTAAACAATGCTCAGAGCACTTCCTAAAATTGGTTGGTTTTCCTTGAGATTATATGGGCACCTAGTAGTATCAAAATACAAAGAAAACGGCATTGACATTTATAAAACCCTTCAGTTGATTTTTACAAGGTGGCAAATAAATCTAATGGAGAGTAATTGTATTTATGTCGGTCCTCACGGCAGGCATATCATGGCAGGGTTCATATATGAGGCAATACCATCTTTAGGACTGCAATAGGTATATACAGTCGTAACAAATCCTATGACTGATGCTGATGCAGTCCATTAGCTTGGGATGATACAAAAAGAGATTATCGCTTTTTTATCTTCAAGTCCCTGATGTCATAAAAATTTACCAGCAACAAACGTTGATATTTATTTTTTCATATTTTTATTCATTTTTTCTATTTCTATCCTATATTACGTAGGTATTGGTATGTTCGCTTAATGGCTCATAGACGACATCTTTCATAATTTGAAAGGGTCGATGAATCATTGTATAGATCTTATTTTCAATTTATTTAATCCTACATACGATCACAGTAATCCTTGTTCGGGGATGTTATCACATACAGCAAGGGAGCCGGAAACTATCTAAATCCAATTATGCTATATTTCAGGGGAATGGTACTATCTCCTGCCAATCTCTCTTTTTCATATTAGTCATTTGAATATTAATGCTATTCATTTTTATAAACGCGTTCTATTTGTATTTGATCGCTTTTATTGGAAATGGTAAAAGAAAAGGAACAATGAATATTGTGTTCATGAATATGCCACAGGTATCGGGACATCCTCGAAATAATCTGATGACTGACTCGAGTTTTTTGACGATCGAAAAAATAGGCGATGACGGGAATTGGATTGAGATTGCTACTGATGCAAATTGGGAAACTAGGTAAAAAAAAATCCATATCTTTCTCGTGACAAAATTACAGAATGAGAATTTTATGGGATAAATAATGTAACGTAAAAATCAAATTTGTATGCAGACTCTACTGGGCCCGAACATCAGTGATACTCGGCACCAGTCAAGTGGAAATCACATGGGATGTTCCCTCAGATGTATTGCCTGGAAAATATCGCATACGGCATAACGGATATTATCGTTATATACTCGGTGGAGTATTCCCCTATCGAGGCATCACTGATATCTTTGAGGTGAGTAAATCAAACACTGCGGATTTCAAGCATTCAAGCGAAAATCGCTCTTGGTTGCTTTCCAATTAATTCCATAATGTTTATGACAGAACAACTTTATGAGATAAATTAACAATAAATAATGCTTAAATTTAAGAATTTAACCACCGTCTCTGTTGAAATCGTCAAAATTATGTATCGCAGGTGGAAATGATTCCGAGTTGTTTCGGCATTAATGGGATTATTTTATTTTACGTAGGTCCAAAACGCTTCGAGATTCTGAGAACCATTTCCATCCAGTAGAGTCACACTAGTCGAAAAACACTGATGTGGAATAAACGTTTTCAAGTGCCATAGATTTAACAGTACTGTGAAACTAATTGTAATAACCAGAATGTCTAAAGCTGTCAGAGCGACTTGTATATGCTGAAATACAAAATGAGTTAGGCGTTCCTCCTTGTCTCAATCTCCGCTTTACCCCATGCTTTCCTGAGCGTTCTACTTATACTCGTCAACGTTTCCCCTGTTTCGAATGCCATCCTATCAAGCATAAAGCGACTTGCTTGTAGTATAGAGAGGTAAACTTAAAAGTATTTGAAATCAGTCTTTGGAGAAGGCAGTTCCAGTACTGAGTAGCTTCAGTACTTCCCAAACTTTCTTTATCCCTTGTTTCTGGTGGATTGGTCAGTAATCTTCATCCAAAACCACATTCAAGTTATGAATCTTCCATTGGAATAAAGTAAGTGAATTTAAGTTGGAGATGTTTTTTTAATTATTTTCCCACATTTTACTTATAATATAAACAAAGTCATTAAGAAGATACGCATGCTTGCGACAACTCGGTCGTAGAATTCATTTCCATTGAGTATTTTTAGTCGGATTTTGAAGGCGCAACTTTTCTTTATCATCTACGCAATGAAAAACGTGTTAAAAAATTTGATTTTGGAAAAACATCATCATTTAATGAGGATAAATTTCATTTGAGTTTGAGTGAGAAAGAGAAAAAAAAAAGATAATAGGCAGTGCTGAACTAGAAGTATTGTGGCATGCGCAATAATTTGTAATGGTTCGATGGGACGGTTTGAGAACGGTGGTTGAGTGCCGGCACTCCACTCTAGGACGAATACCCGGTGGATTCACAGGGTAGGGAAGAGAAGGTTGGCAATTTCGTAAACATCGTATTGGAACAGGCGCACAATACGTTGAAAAGTTGAGCAGTGATTTAGATACAGCGATATACCGCGGGCGCAGGCCGCGTCTTCCCCACTCATCAGTCATCACCCAGTGGACTTGACCGTTTCCCTTGGTTTGATCTCCGGTCAGTGCCGATGCATACACTCGTCGTGAATCATACGTGTTTAATCGAATCATACATTAAAATGAGCATTTTTTTTGTTTTTTCCAATAATTATTGAAGGATTTGAAAAGGAATGTATGAGTTTAAAATGAAGAGCAGACTTGTGTTAGAGGATTTTAATCCGCCCTTGTGAATCATCAAACATTGAACAGTGGTAAAGTAAAGTTTGGAGTGCCAAGTGATGCCTATAAGTGAAAATAAGTGAAAAAAATCGGTTGAAATAATGGAGTCTAACAACATGTCCAACCCGGCCAATACGACCGAGTTTTGGGGATCTGAAGAGGTTCAACTTGGAATGACAGACTCGAGCTTTAGCCACACAACGCGTCGTGATCCCCTGTATTTAGTGATCCCAGTAACAATAATCTACCTATCAATATTCCTCACCGGTACAATAGGGAATGTTTGCACATGCATTGTAATAGCACGCAACAAGTCAATGCAGACAGCAACGAATTACTATCTGTTTAGTCTTGCTATATCAGACCTGTTGCTTCTTATGTCTGGTTTACCTGCCGAGGTCTATCTCGTCTGGTCCAAGTATCCATACATATTCGGCCAAGGTTTTTGTGTACTGAGAGGTCTCGCTGCTGAGTGTTCAACAAATGCCAGTGTATTAACTATAACGGCATTTACTATTGAACGTTATGTGGCAATATGCCATCCATTTTTATCCCACACCATATCAAAATTGTCAAGAGCAATAAAACTCATCCTCCTAATATGGCTGATAGCACTGTGCTTTGCCATACCACAAGCCCTCCAGTTTGGTCTCTTGCAGATCCCTAATGAAAGCCCGGATGCTATCATCTGTACTTTGAAGAATGTTTTTATACAGCATTCCTTCGAATTATCCACTCTACTCTTTTTCATTTTACCAATGATACTCATCACGGTGCTTTATGCCCTTATTGGACTCAAATTGAGAAAAACTAATATCATGAAGAAAACAAATATGCGATCCCAGAGAGGAGGACTTGCCAACAGCAGATTAAGAGACTGCAGATATCACACTGGAAAATCATCTAGACGAGTTCTCAAAATGCTTGGTGAGTACTCAATTTATTGATTTTATTTTTTCCCATTCGATTCGAGCTCGCGGTTACTCCCATTTGACCAAATCGCCGACCGGATGAGAAACAAATCGGATTGTCATGATCAAGTGAATTGAATATTGCATTAGTAACTATATCATTTAAACCAGTGATTGAATGCTTTCTCCAAAAATTCGCATTAAAAAAATTGTCGAAGACTATTTAATGCATTTTTCCATCTCAATAATAATCCTAATAATCATTATAATACGCTGTATTTAGGTAAATCAATGTCGAGAAAAAGGAGAAATAATTGATTTTATGTACGTGGAGGTATGAATGGCCTTGTCGTGGCAGATCTGAACTTTCGTCACGATGTAGGGTTCAATGGTACAATTCTACACGTGGGTGGGGTGGTATGGAATAAGTTGAATGGCATTTCACCAGTAAATACACTATTTATATTAGAATTCAATGAGCTCAGCCAACTAACAACCTATTCATTGCTGTCAAAATTTCTCGGGAAAATTCTTCTTCTTTCTGGGAATTACTCATTACGGAATGGACTAATTAATTCCAAAATTAATGCGATGATCGATCAGTGCTAGCGACTGCTATCCGATCTGCTATATAAATCAAATTAATGTGCCAAATGCATTCAGCCAAAGTTAATCTGTCTATTATGCAGATATCCTGTTCATGTTCAAAAAACTGGGAAAAAATTGTCCATTTTCTGTCTCTTTTTACCTCGATTTTTTTTTGTTTGTTTAATGGATATCATGGCATCGTAAATCACTCATTGTGTAGGAAAGATACCGACAGGCTTTGACGTTCGTTATGCGTTATCCAGCTTTAAGCTCATAATGGGATGAACTGATAATTACATTGCGGAAGTTGATGACTTGAAGAGTCATCACCGACGTGATATAAACCTCAAAATATTCACTAATTTTTTCGCTTGCACACATAAATAAGTGAGTTGTCAGGAATAGAGGCTAGGAATATTTCCAATGTAGGCTTGTTTTATGTACACTCGGCCATCCTCCTCCTTCCCCTGGGAATTCACCCATCGGTTATCCAAATATAAAATTCTCCAATGAATCTAATTCTTAGACATTAGGCAGTATTGACACAAAGGGTCCAGCGAGTTTCATCCATCTTCCACGCAAAGTGGTTATTTTTATAAGACATTTCTACAAGAAAAACCTTCATTTCCGCAGCGTTAAAATCTACTTTTAACGTGAAGAGGGCTGTAAGATCCATTAATGAAAATCCTGCTCCTCTCTATTCTTGGACATTATACTCGGAAATCAAAATAGTTTTAGCCTTCTTGAAGGTGAAATACATTGAACACGCATTGACTTATCTTCATAGTAAATAGTCTCTACATCGGAGCAAAGAAAATCACCTCATCCAATATTAAACATCCAATTTATTCATTAATATACTGACAATTCACAACATAATAATAATATGCCTCATAAAGAATAATTGTTCATCAGAAATAAATGGTATTCTTCCCATTTACATACACTTCCTCTCCTTTTCTCTTTTTTTTTACGCGACCCAACGCGAGTGGATAATACTTTTGAATGACGACAAAAGTTTTAAAATAAATTCGCTGGCTATTTTAAAGCAGTCATTCGATGGAAAAATTGCCAATGATTATTAATCGTCACGATAATTTAGCGGCGAAAAAAAAAATAGATCATGCCATTGAAACCTCTCACACTCACTCATCGCTAGACAACCTTCAATAATATTTCTCTTTTACACCCGCATATACAACTTTGAAATTGCATGAAAAATCGATACCAACGCCTAGGGGGATGACAGATAGACTGCCAATATATTACCGACTTCTATTAAAATCATAAAATTGAATAAAAGTGTCACTGGAGGAGCACATAATGTAGTCACTACCTTTTCCCCGTCTAATTATGTATCGATTCAGCACTTATTCCATCTGAAATTCCAAGAATTCACTGATAAACAGCATCGATCCTCATTACCATTCCAAATACATTTGAGGTCAATGCATTAATTACAATACAGTGAACAAGCAAAGTGACGATAAAAAATGTGAAGGATTCTTAGGAGAAAAGTACAATTTATTGTTCGCCGTTATTGGTCAATTAATCATAGTTTTTTCCTGAAAACGAGTTTTCATGCAAATTCAAGTGAAATAAATTCAACTTATTATACCGGGAATGTATGCATCTACAAATCACCCTAAAAAAAGCCATTGAAAAAATACAGAGAAATATCGACGTATTTTTATATTTCGTAAATTTATTTTTCATGTAGTAAATATTTTATATTGAGAAATTAATTTTTTCAGCTAAGGAAAGGTAATTCTGTTTAATTGGTTCTCTACATTTCGCATTCAATTATCCTACACGAGAAGCGTTAATTATAAAACAAAACGTTGGTAAATACTAACTCAAACCAATATTATTCCATTGCACTCGTACGGCTTGAGCCGAGAAACCCGTATTTATGAGAAAACCAATTTCCCAACGATATTTAAAATTCGTGTGTTGCGATTCCACATCTTCTTACAGAAAAGCCTGAAATAGTTATTGCAATGCAAGGAAAAAATTCGTTCCAAATTCTTATTCATATTCAAATCCCAGTTGTTGATCTCTCTTGTCGATGTTCATAGAGGAATGAATATATTCATCAATTTCAAGTGATTCCTATTTGGAAGGGGAATGAAATATTTGGCTATGACTAAGCATGTAAGAACTTAATGGGATAAATATCACCGCGTCATGACGCCGATTTCGACGGGTAATCAACTTGATAGAAAAATAGACTTCTTTGCATCGAGTTTCTTCGTATTTTTTAGTGATAACATTGACCCCCCAAGAACAAAAAAAAAGGGAAAAAGAAGAAAATAGTAATAGAATAAAGACATTACTTATTTTATTTGTGTACTTCAGTTGCAGTTGTAATCGCATTCTTCATTTGCTGGGCACCTTTTCACCTTCAACGTCTTATTGCAATCTATGGTACAGGAACTGATGGAATTTCCTCGAAAACCAAATGGTTCGAGGTTCTCTATTACATCTTCACGTACATCTCAGGGGTATTGTACTATGTTTCAACAACTATCAATCCCATCCTGTACAACATCATGTCACATAAATTTCGAGAAGCCTTCACGGTAAGTTTGTACATTTCATATAGATGTTATTTGAAAATGGTCCCTTATTACAGCATTCCTATCCCTTGAGTTTAAAGGAAAGAGACTTATTTGAATATTGGTAAATTGATGGAATAATTTTGTCAGGTAACCCTAGCAACAACCTGTGCTCGCTCATCATTTTCTAGCCAATGTGAGCAAAGATCCTATTCGAGCTTATCAAGATCTCAACAAAGAACAGCAGGTGCTTCTGCCTCTCGAACTGTTGGTTATGGAGGTGTAATGCCTCAGGAAAGTTCCGACTGCTCGGCAAACTCATTGAAAGAAGAAAGCCGTCGACAAAGCACTTTTGTACCGAGTCAATCCGAGATTGGAGCAGCTGTTGATTCTAGGGAGGGTTCTGCATCACTTGAACTAAGTGACTATCGAAATCGATATTCAGTAAAACGTATACCGACCATCAAATTAAATTGTCGAGATTCAAGGTGTACAATTACTTCATACAGAACTGAACCCTCAGAATTGAGGCAAATCTCATCGTCCCTGAAGGGTAAAGCTATTTCTCAACCACAAAGTGATGACCTTCTTCTTTGTCAAAATGATATGAGCGGAAAAACCAACAATGACTGTAAAAATGCTAATAATTATAAACGGAACAAGGAGAATTATGTGGACACACGTGAAAAGAAGTGGTGGAATATAATCAGATGGTTTCCAGGTCAAAAAGTCTTTAAATTCAAATCCACTGGAGCTAATTTTGGGGAGGGTATTGCTGATATTGAAAGTAAGCGCGAGGAATACTCAATGACCACTTGCTATATTGCGAAAGACAACAGATTCGTTTAAGAAAGTCGTGGAATATTTCCATCCAGAGATCATCCAAATTTTTCCTATTTTAACCAATTATACACATTTTTTTTTTCACCCCTGAAAAATACTTTAAGACCTCTAAAGGGGAGTCATTCACAATAATACACTTTCAATAGGATTTTTTTTTTTTCCCCGAAGAGAAGCAAAAATGATGAATAATTAAAATGAGTGTGCACCGGTTGATTAGTTCATATTAAGTAAGTCTAACCTAGTAATTCAATTCAACAACAAAACATTATGTGTAAAAATAGACTGAGGTACAGTAATAATTGTGCATGTAAATCTGTAAAAGTACAAGCGTGCAAAACAGCTTATACAAACAGGTACATACACATTGACCTTGTTAGCTCAAAGTACGACGATTGAGTAATCCTTGAGTGGAGGGAGAACATAATTCGAGGGAATGAAAAAAATAGGTCCAACGAATACGGGGAACGAATGACAGAATACAGCAGACCAAGAGACAAAAGAATACAAAATTTCCAGAATATTCGCAAATATGTTGGGAATTTTTTGCAGGAGTACAAGAGAATAATCAACTTTTTGTTCATCTTTCCCTCTCCTTTATTCTTTGACATTTTTTGGAATTGATGTTGGTTACCTTGTAATTCCATTTTTATTTTTCATCTCCTGACCCCTCGATAGTGGAGACTGGGCTATGAAGGACAGCGCAATTCGCCAATATTAGTGAATATTTAAGTAGTTTGAATAATTTGACTATTCTCGAGTCGTTTGACCGGTTCGTAGATATCTCCGGGAATTGATTATTTCGTAGATTGTGTGGATAGAAATATCGTTCATTGGAATAGTGTTGAATGGCGAGATGGAAGTAAGAGGATGTAAGAAGTGACTGATGATACACATGTGCGGCCAGCTTAACTTTAAAAACAAAAAAAAACACCACTTTTCTATGGCCGATGCTATTTTTATGTTTAAAGTTCACAGTAAGACTGCTAGTGTTGTTATTCACAACTGTGTATTAGCTTAATGAGGGCCGACGCACTGTCGAAAAATTCAGAGAAATATCATAGGAACGGAGTACTGTCAATATGATGAAATTCCAATGGAAACTTCTAAGAGGCATGCCCACTTTTCAATTCTGCACCGGCCCTTTTTCGTACTTTTAACAATATATATAAATATTGAATTAATTAAATTCTGTGATATTATTTAATAAATGTGGTGTGTATGTTATTGATGAAATTTAATGAATCTATGAATAAAATATACTTTTTCCCACACTTCCAATTTTTTTTTTTTTAATTCCACAAAATTTGCTCAGTTTTCTTTTAGACTCAGCCGCATGATATGGAGCAACAGACGCCTCTGTGGCTTTCCAATTTCATCATGATCTCCTTTCAATATTAAAACCCGGAAATATAAATCTGGATTTTCTCATTAATTTTACCAAACATTATTTATAAGCCGACTATTTGAGAAGATAAAAATCATAATTACCAATGGGAAAAACCCATCAAGCCAAATTGGTGCAGGATATTTTCACAGTTGGTGACTCTTGCTAATTCTAACTATTAATATTATCTTATTTATTCGTACTGAAAACAAAAATATCCCATGCATTCATCTGACAAAATGAGTAATTCTACAAAGCTCAACTTAGGCTCAACTCGTCAATGTTTTATTTTCATTTGAGTTTTTATCGTTGGAGAATCAATAAATACGACATGTTAATGAATCATTTCAGACGCAAGCCTGTATTTCTTGCGTGAGAGCTCATGCTAAATCATTATCAGATAATTTTGCTCAGTCTTCCAACATTGCAGTGATCAAAATTGTTGATCTGCATATGCATGACTCGACACAATTATATTAATGATGAAAATCGATATATCTGATGTTTACGATTAACTCAATTAATGGGTAACATCAGAGAAAATATATTTTGAAATGGGCAAAGAGCCAAGCAGACATAATTGAGTAGGTCGAATACTTAAAATATAATTGACAGTGCAATATTTTTGGGTTCTCTAGATAGGCGAAATTTAAAATGTTCATTAAAATAATCTATGTAGTTTGAGAAATAATAGGATTTTTTTTATTGAAAATTATACATGACGAAGTGTCGAGGACATGCAATTCATCCTGTGTAGTGGCGTGAGTATCGTTATAAAAATTTATTGTGATTAGAACATATTGAATGAGCTGCTTCGATATTTCGGAGAGAGAAATTACACCAATATAATAATTTTTCAGTTATCAAAGAGGGTGACCCAGAAACGCGTGAATTGAGCAAATATAAAATACTACTCACACAATTTAAGATAAATCGGTGTTTTTTAACAAATCAATGTTATGCTGAGTTCTCAAATAATTGATGTACAAATCGAAAATACTTCTCTGACATGCTCTATAAAATTCAATCCGCTTTCATTGTTTTTCAAACGATAAAAGACTCTGAATTTTTTTCTGAAATCTAAACGGAAAATATGAGACTAGAATAAATGTTTATGTCACTGGGAATATATCGCTAAATGAGAAGTTTGGAAGATTCGTGGCAAAATTATTTTTAGGGTAAGATTTCGTAATATATTAAAAAATCTACCATTCTCGCACACGACTCACTTTTTCGAAGATATTTACGACTTAGTCGAGACAATATCATCTGTTATTGATATCACTTGGTCACAGACTGCATTTAAATGTAAATGATCTGTGAGTAATTATGCGCTAAATGACGAGATGAATCTATGAACACTGAATGACACCATGTGGAAATATGATATGGATTATAGCTATGCAAAATGTCATGTCTATATTCAAAAGCTAGAATTTAAACTGCTGAATAACATAAGGGAGAAATTTACTTGCAGCGTTATATCGAGTTACTACACAATTATGCTCGTCCCTGAAAATTTGCTTTGCCAGTAGAATAAAGACATCTCATTGAATAGTAATAGTTAAATTCATTGAGAAGTGAAATGAAATAATATATCTGATATTATATACTTTTTCGTCTCGTCTCATTGGACACACTGAAAATGATAAAAAGACGGAATTGCTTATGGCATGCCCTCCAAGCATTGTTTGATATGCTGCCAGCTTTGAAGGCTCTTTCTGGCTAGTTTGAATTGCAGTATACAGTAAGCTGTTAATGTTTCTTTGAGATCAACATTCTTTTGTTGCTGGAAACGGTCGATCTCCATTAATGCCTTTGAGGAGAAAGACGTTAGATCCTCGTGTGTTTCCTTATCAATTACCTCGGCCTGAACAATTCGTTGTTCCATTTGATTAGCCTTGACCTCCCTCATCTCTTCAGAATCGACAGAGCCGAATAAACGGGACATCAATCCAGACTTGCCTGTGTAAGAAAATTATTCACTCTTCAGACAAATTAATAACATAACACATGCATAGTGCACATGCAAGCAAAAGATAAAGAGAGACATCCAACTACCTTGGAGGACTTTGTCTTTTTGGTCATATGCAGAGGTAAGATTATCGGTGGCCTCGTCTTTGACTAATTGTAATGCTTCCCTGCGTCTAACAACAGCCTGTAAAGCAGATGCTCCGAAGAGCCACTCTTTCAACTGGTCGGCAATCAATTCCTCCTCCTCCAAATGGCTGTCTATCGTTGCAGCCAACGAGTCCATGTAATGGCCAGACTTCTGGAGTCCATCACCCAATTCTTTCTCAATTGCACTCCACTCACTAAATACTCTTCCATAATTCGCGTGTAGCTTGTATAAACTGTATTGTCTCTCGGCACATCTCGCACGAACACGCAGCAGATTGCCCAAATTATTCTGAAGCTCAACACCATAACATTTAACTGTCTCGAATCTCTTATCGGGTTTCCTGAGCCTCACAGCAACACTGAGGGCCTTCAATTTGTTCTCAGCCAATTGCAAGTATCCACTCTCTTTTATGCTTTCCTTCCAGCCCTCTCGCTGCTGCAGAAAACCCATAAGGTGTTTATCCCGTGATAGAATTGGATGAGCTGCCACTCGTAATAGAAAATTTTCTAAACCAGCTCGACGACGGTCGACAAAATCTGGATCGAATGTGTCTGTCGTTACTTTCTGCCAAGCGTACAGTACTTTCTTTTCTGGTAACGATGGCAGTACTACGAAAGGATAGGTTACTTCCAAGTAAGCTCTTAGCATTTCAAACTCTGTGTAACGGCGCCATAACGAACTTATCGTCGTCAACGCCTCTCTGAAGTCTGGATCCACCACTCTGTACATTTTAATAAAAAATAATGAAGAATTGATTGGTAATCAATGAGAGGTAATGGAGTTCGCATCATTGGACAATATTCACATGAACAATTATTTTTGCCAATATTGCAATACACGACGTGGTAATTATGTGACTTACTTGGTTTCTACTAAATAGACTGTGTAAAACTCCCGCAAATTGAGACCACCATTTGCTCGTTTTTCCGCCTCAACAATGGCAATCTCCATGTGATCAAGAAGTGAATTCTGAAAAAAATACTTATGGCATTTCAGCACTTCAACGCTATAACATAATATATATAGCATAATATTTTATTGAAAATTTTCAATTGCCCCATTTGCATTGCAAAAATTTCCTAGTCAATGGAGTTTACAATCTAAGAAATGGCAGTACCTCATGCATTAATGAAACTTAAACTCAATGAATTGAATACTATCATGAAAATTAGGTCAATGGGTCATTTATTAATATTTCAATGTAGAAACTTGTCATATCGATTTCCCAGCTGCATTGCTTTTAAACCGAGTGAACTAACTATTTACTATTCAACTGACCAATGACAAATAATACTCACCTGTTTTTGTATATCCAAAGTAGTCATATCATTCGCGTTTGAAACTATCTGATAATTACCGTTGTGAAATATTTCAGCCATTATTTATGTCTCCTCCACTGGCAGGATAAAAACTACTGCAGTTGACACATTATTATGACAAAAAAAAATCCAGCCGTAAGGGTACGTCAAAATATTCCATTTTACACGATTCTCTAATTCTGTTTTATTTTGACGTTTGATGGACAAAAAGAAGATGCGCGGTGCGTTGCACTTGACAACTGATGATGAGTGAGTCCACACCTATTTTTTTAGACACACAAGTATGTGCATATGAAATAACAATAGCACTCCGGACCACCTGGAGAATTAACTTGTGTGTGAATGTGTAAAGGCTCAGTTCTGAAGGTTTGTGTGACCCCACCAAAGAGGATTGACTAAAGTAGAGGCTCAGTTCTGGGGGTTTGAGTGACCCCACCGGCATCGAAGTACCACCCCAACAGAGGGAGGGCGCTACACGCAATGCTGGGCTGTCCGTGAAGTCGACGGAGTGAATTTTATTTTTTGTTTTCTATTTGTTTGTTTGGGAAGCCACATCTTGTGGAATTTCAAATGGAAAAAATGGAATTATTTAAAAAAAAAATGAATGATGGCGGGATCGAGCCCTGGCCATTCGCGTGGTTGGCAAGCACGTTACCGATTAGATAACGCGCTCATTCTAAGATCATAATTTCATTAGTAGTATATCTTCAATATATTGAAAATCTATTTTGTATGAAACATCATTATAAACAAAAGCGATATTTTCAATAGGGATATTCATAGAACAAAAAATACTTGCTCTATATATACACAATGTGAGTTATAAATATATTAATTATAACATTTGCAAATATATGAAATTGATCGACTTACGCGTATAAAACAGTAGTATAGCTATATTTACAATTCACTTTTGTCAAGTGGTGAGTTGTTGATTTGTTATTCTAACTAACGAGAGTTACAGATTTTTTAATTCTAGGCTGACTCTATCGACTCCTTGAAGTCAGATTTTTTGGCGGGAATGAAAAACACGAGGATAGCACAAACTGAAAGAAAATAAATTGGTTAATTGATTATTCGATTTTTTAAATTAGAACACTTCCACAGAATATATAGAATATATTGAAAAATACCTAAGCAAGCCATTCCAATCATGAAGAAAGGCCCTAAACAGCTCAACTTGAAGAGTAATGGGAACAATAAATTCCCAATGACCGCACCTATTCTTCCCATCATCATCATCATTGAAATTGCCATAGCCCTAAAAAATGAATTAAAGAACCTGTAATCATCAGTAAAAAATATTTTTCGTCTAATATTCACCTCAAGGGAGTGGGGAAATTATCAACTATAACATTTGTAACAGCAGCACCACCAATACTAGATAACGCTACGAATACTGAAGAAATACCTAGAATTCCACCGGAATTCTCAGCCCAGTACAAAATACCACAGCACAACCCGGCAGAAAGAAAGCAGAACACTGAAAAAAAAAAAATTCAAATGAAAATTCATTAGAGTGTTGATTCTTGAATAATTATTTACAATATCAATGCTTTCATGCAACTTGAAATTTATGAAAGGATCACATGAGCAAAAAATTTTATAAAACTTACTCATTAATTTTTTCTTTCCAGCGCAATTGATGAGTGAACCAGCTAGAGCATATCCAATGACTCCAGTCACGGCAATCACTATTGAATTTAGGTATACAGTGGAGTTGAGAACAACCTGAATGATTATTCAACATTAAAAAAAAAGTGAATTATTGGTAATAAATGTGGTTTCTGCGGAAAAACCATATTCATAAATCAGAAATAAGAGGTATGTTAAAATTGAAAGATGGCTAAAAGGATGAATGCAAGGAAGTAAAAATTCTTATCCCATTATTAAATCACTCTTGGCAGGTCCAATGTTTATCAACATTCCATCTGGACCTGTCTTTACCATTACTGTGAAAATGTCTGTCATTGGGAACTAGTAGAAACAGCGCATTCATGGAATAGTTGAGATCCATTAATATTTGTCGAAGCTTTACAACTCACCGGTGCGCAAATTTTTTCCATCTCAATAGTGTTATTAATGAAATTATGTTTATTAATAGTGTCAACTGTTGTGTTGGTTTGTTCAAGCATCACACAGATTGACGGAAATTCTTCATCACTTCCAACTGGATGACTAGCCTCGTAGGTCTCGATCATAGCAAACAGTTGAGGCATCCAGAGCCTCAGTGTATTTGATCTGAAATTCAGGGATTGTTAATATTTCCTCTAATTGCTAATAAAATAGAAAGATAAGAGGGTGTTTGCTCACCCAATGGTAGCGCCAAACTGTATCATCCCAATGAGGATTAATCTGTAGGAGTAGGGTGATGTAAAGAGTGGCTTCATCTGTAACCATCCTCCCTGAAACTTGTTGAGGAGAGTGGTCTCTTGCGTTTTAACGTAACTTTCATCAGTTACACATTTCACCTAGATACGCACCATATAATTATTAGAAATAATTTAAAAAACTCCAGCAGAGTAAAAAAAAATGGAGAGAATAGTGATAAATGGCAGCATCATTCCCGGTTTACTACCTGTTTGAGAGACATCTTAGAATCACATTGCCAAGCCATGGTAGGGGCACACACACTGAGTGATCATTGGGGGGTGTGATGAGGTATTCTCTCAACAGTGAAACACATCACCGAGTACTCGTCTCAAATTGAGCTGAGATAGAAAGAAATAGGAACGTCAGGTGATCCCGTCCGTGACGGGTACCGTAGTTCAAATTCAAGAAACCCCACCAAAGTGGGACACCATGTTTGATACTTACCGCGTACGTGTCTCCATTTTTTCCGGTATTGAGTGCGTAGATGTAACGAAAGACTTCAAGCGCTTCATCATCACGACCTTTTGAGAGAAGAAAACGAGGTGACTCCGGGAACCACGTGAGAACGATAAAGGCGATGAATTCGGGTAGAGCGCAAAGAGCTAAGAACATACGCCAGGAGGTGAAATCCATCGAGCCATTGAAAATTGGTATGCGAAAGTCTTGAGGAATGATGATCCACGCTAAACCTGATCAGTTTATTTTCATCAGCAATTGTTCCATCAAGGAATTATATTTGTTTTCATGTATAAATGATATGAGAGTGCCCACATGGTATTGATATGTGTCCCAGTGAGAAGAATACTCCCAGCCACATGTAGATCCTGGACCTCTGTTGCTCGCCATGGACCTCAGCGAGGTATGACATCAGTGCTGCATAAGGGCCGGATATCCTAGTAGTAAACCCACTCAATGATAAATCAACTCGCTTCAATGATATATCAATCAATTAAAAAGTGAATCACCCGCCCTCCAGCCGAGTGTCAAAACACCCATTAAACTCACAATATGCCGTTGATGAATTTGAATAAAATGAGTAGCCAGGAGGCATGGGACATGCAGCTAGCAAAGCTGAATATCGAAGTCGTAAGGTACCCATATGTTAATACCTTCTTACGTCCGTATGTATCAGTCAGAAAGCCCCAGAAAAAGGCAGTTACGATCATACCTGTAAATGTCAGGCATTGAATTTTCGGCGAAATTGTCTATTAGAAATAATGATGAATATAAAATTACCTGCAAATGGCATGGAATTGAGCAATCCTTTATCGAACATGGTGAGGCTGAGATCACACTCAGCTGATGGTAGAACGTATGACATTGATGTGGACCCATAGATACTAGCCCACCCAGCTGGCAGAATAGCCAGCAATAACAAATAATTGAATTTTCCATAGCCAGTTAAGCTGATAGCACGTTCAAAATCAACGGGACCTTCTTGTTCATTTTTAATGACCTCATCTGTAATTTAACCATTGAACAACAATCATCAAATGAATGATCTCAATTGATATATGTTGCAAATATATAACATGGACGAGGTCTTGTGGAATGGATGGTATGAGTCAGTGGGGGAAAACCGGTGATAACTGTCCTTGAATATCGCGAAACTTGTGCTGTTTCATCACTGTATAAATCAACTCATCAGATATGATATTTACAACTATCGATGAATAATAAAGAGCGTCGCACACTTTGTTGTTGTCTTATCATTATTATCAAAAGAACCTGTTTGTGAGTGTTGACGGAACGGTGAATTAATTGTCAGATCGAATTCACATTACCGCATTCTTCGAGGGAGACTGAAGATTTTCAAAGGCCAACCTGCTGAGATTCCCACGTATTCCCCCATTGATCATTACTCGAACGATTCATTTTTATTAGTGATGACTGCTCTTTGTGGAATCGTTTTTAATCAATTGTTTATATGCTAGCAAAACTTTAAATAATATGATAGTTGTGAAATTCAAGAGAAACTAGAAAAAAAAACCATATTTCACGGCAATGGAGAAGATGATATGAGCAAAAAAAACCTGAAGTACTCAGTTATCCACAAAATATGAAAGAATCATTAACATCTGGTTGTGGGAAAAATTTTTAAAATTATAGAACCAAAACGCCGGTAAAAAATATTGAACTATTTGTTTTGAAAAGCTTGACAAAATTATTTGCCAAATTCATCAGTTTGTACAATATTCTGCACGTAATATATGCAGATACATTAGCTTCATTTCGTTTGATAATATCATTAGTGATTAATAATGTGAAATTTCAATTGCTAAATTCGACATCAGTCTCCACACCCAGTAGCTCTTGCATCAGCATTTTATCATCTAATATGCAGAGATGAAGTGATAAGTGGTGCTTATCTGATATCGAAAACATTACCATCTCATAATAATTTGCAATGTCGGATTGTTGGAGGGAGATCAAGTCTCGCATATCAGACAGAGGAAAGTTGCTTCAATACTAATTCCTGAGATTTGGGGCATACGATTCAACATCACAGAGATTGGTAACAATGAAGTACCGCGATCGATAATAATTATCATGAGGCCAGTTATTATTTTAAAACATGACTATCAAACAAAGGAGATTTATCTTCAACTCGAAACAAGAAAATATTCAGCGTGTGCTCTACTTATCATTTTTGTGGTCGATCCCACGATCGTTCATGTCCATTATAGCCTTTACTGTGTTATCACTCACTCACAAGTTCTTGGAAAATTTCAGTAGTTATTGATGAGCTGACAAAATGAGGTGACATCTTCAATTAAAAAATGAACTTTATGTTGACAGAATCATCGATTGTCGACATAAATTCCACTTCTATAGAATAACTACATATTAAATCGTTTACTGGTGTACGCCCTATTTTAATTATATTTCCATAAATTCAAAATTCGCCGGTGAAATGCAAAGCTTGTAACTACTACAAAGATGATGGCTTAGCTAATGAGTCATGATAATCAGATGACTACCTGGCACTATCAATACATCATTAATTTATCAGATTTTTTTTCGCCGAAGTACTTTGATTCACCATCACCCTTATTGCAACTGAATTATTAACAAAATACGAAATAAATAATAATAAAAAAAATGGACGAGGGGAGAGTGGTTTTCGATAAGCCGAAATTTACTCACTGTAAAGAGAAATTTCCTGACGTGGACTCATATCAATTGAACATAGTTTTGTTGTCGGACTGAGAGAGAAGTCATGAAACTCACGCGAGCACTATCAAACGCCAAACGTAAACACGCGATTATTTATGCCTATTAAATAGCCATTCTAATGTTACCGGTGATATTCAGTTATTTTTAATTTTTATTGAGTGATCAAAATCTGACTCACCTGATCCTCTCTACCGTTGCTCCACCATTTCGCATATTGCATATTTCATATTATTAATTGTAAGGAATTAAGCGATTAAGTGGGTGTTAACGCAACAGGAACAAAGGGATAAGAACATTGAGTAATTGTTAAATAATCCCATTACCATAGGTTGAACAGATATCTTTGAGATCCTCCTGATTAATCCATGGTGGTGTATTATCAAGATAACATCGCGATGGAGCTGTTAGAACATTCATTCAGACAAGCATTATTCATTAGTAATCAGAGTAAAGTTTTACAAATCTTGAGATTATTCCGATTATTGAATATAAAAATAATACACAAGAAATTGTGTATTATTTTTATTTCGAATTTTCAGTTGTTAGAATCGGAGGCTTTTATTCATGGAATTTCCGTATCTGAAGTTGTGCTTCCACAATAAAAAAATATATATATTTTTTTTTGACATTATCGTTGTCCCCATTACTGTGATAATTTGTCAATTAACCCGAGGATTTCGCTGCAGTGATGCACGAAATCTTTCCTCAAACATGTAATTGTCGAGGGAACGACGGGTTTTAGGCGGAAACGGCAAAAAACCTTCGTAATTGAAAACATTTCAAGCACATCATATTTTTCTACGTAAAATTCACAGATGATAAATGAGACAACTCCCTCTTTTAAAATTGTCCATCAAAAAAATTCTATCAGAACTTTAGTGACTAGAGTCTAGTCCTCAACACAATCAATGTAATTTTTTCATCAAATTAATCATCCCTTTACCATTTCTCGACTATATTATTAAAAATAAATCAATAAAAATTGTGAGAGTTATTTGTTGAACATTGAACAGATAAAGATAAATACCTTGTCTCTTTAGTGAAGGACTCATGGAATATGGTTGACAAAAAAAGAATCCTTGAAGTTCACCACTTTGACGTTTTTATTAATTAGTAAAATTATCAGTACTCGTTGGCAATAAAAAAAATAAATAAATAAAACACTGAAAAAATTGAAATTTTATCGATCGAAATGAAATTATCAAAGTAATGGAAATTTCTGCGGAAGCATTAAGTTGAAAACGCGTAAACAAATTTGAGTGACGATGTGTGTGTTCTAACAGAAATGAGTGAAGATTGAATGTCAAGTAAGAGCTCATACAGTGAGTGCAGTCGTTATTATTTGAACCTGGGTGACTGTGGGTGGGAATACAACTAACTCCCCTCCCTCCATTCAACCGCTTTATTTCCGTGTCGTATGATTTTTTCTCTTAGTTATCCAACCCGAATTGACACTCGTATCACCATACCAAATACCACCGAATAACATGTATCACTTGTGCACAGAGACTTAAGAATTAACAGCAGGAATTCTGCCGTAAGATAAATTGATTTATCGCTACCGATTCCACCCGTCTAGAGACATATCTTTAATTCCTCCCACTTGGAACCAGTAAACCTTGAAAAATTGAGATATTTCATCAATATTACATTCATGTACCCTTATTCAGACGAATAATTTATTCAAAAGAAAAAATATCTTTTTTTGGCTAGATTTTTCTTTCTACTAGAATCAAAAAGAATGTTAATAACTTTTATAATCGATTAATTGTTTATGGATTCCGACGAGAGGATATTGGCAAGGTTGATCAATTCATTTTCCTGATAACGCTGTGAAAAAAAATTGAAACCATAATCCAGTTTCTTCCACCTGTTTAGCATGATGAATTGAATTTGAATACTGTAATGACATATCTGGTTTGAAAATTTCTGCAGAATTGATTGTGCTTGCAAAATTCAAATGTATGAGATCAGATCGTTGAATTATCTTTATAGTATAAAAATAACTCGAACAATTGAAGAATAAAAAATTTCAAATAGTTAGACTGATTGTAATCGTCTTGAGTGAAATTTTTTTTTATTTAATAACACATCAATTAGGTAGTTATTTCAGAAATGATCAGTTCTCAGAAGCATAACAGCATTTTTAGTAGTGGTGGATTGTTTTAACGGAGAAGCTTAGTAATAATTCCCTTCAAGTTGCCCTGTTGTCGAGATAATCGGATGATCAACTAATGGATATATTTGTGCTTCTAAGGAGGCACTATAATATTACGTGACAAATTTTGTGGATAACAAGGCAAAACATAAAATTATCATATGCGTGAATTACGTATCATTGCAAAGTAGAGTTTCCCTCACCGCATCACATAATATTTGCATACCTGCATGATCATAATGGTGACCAATAGGATATATACTTTAATGGATAATTGAAGTATATCCGAATTAATATTCAGCTAAGATTTAAGAACATGGACAGCCGTTAGTCGTAAAACGTGACCTCACACATACAAATAATTGAAGTTATCGAAAGAGTGGCAAGAGCCATTTTCATAATTGCGATATAAAATAAACGAAAAATGTTCTCTCAATATTTTCATCTACTCCCCTTCCTCTTGCAAGATAATTCATCAATAAATAACCAAGATAACTTAAGTAAACTCAAAGAATTAATCCTCCTCAATGAATTTTTCTAAGATTGATTACTACACCAGCATGTGTGAAAGATGTAATGAAAGACAGTTTGATGGCCTGTAATTGGAATCAACAGGTTCTACCCAGTTAGTAGTGTACACGAAGAGCTTAAAATAAATAATAAGAATTTTCCACTGCGACGATCTTCAGTCGCTTCTTATGCGCTTAATATTGTCTTGTAAAATATTCCACTGAACGATCCAATGAATGTGAATAGACATACTTTCGACACCATCTTGTAACTCTTGGGGGAAGAATGAAACAAATCTGCAGCCCGTAATTGCAAAACGAGTCACGAGTGAAGAATTATAACGGGTGGAATGTATCTTGTGTACATTGATATCAAGAACGTCGATAAGAAACCACTCAATGCATCAATCAATTTTTCATTTTTCTCGTTGAATTTTATGCCTTTTGTGATAAATTTGTGACAACGGATTTTAATAAAACAGAGACGTCAGTTGGGGGCCCGACCTGTTATATTATTTCTCCGATAAAAATTGTTTTCAAGAGAACCTTTATTTTTGTCATTTCAGATGCTTTATTCTGTCAAGCACTGGCGATGGGACAAATTCATTTTTCTTAACAAAAAAATTATCAACCGAACCAGCGATTTCAGTGGAAAATACAAAACAAATTTTTTCAAGGCGAATTTTAATCAGTTGCGTATTCAGAATCATGATTATCATTTGGTATTTTAATGATAATGAATACATTGATTTCTTTAATTTTTTTCCTCGTGGTTTGCAAATTTTCATCAGTACCTGTTTTAACTTCACGAAATTGAAAAAAAGCTATTTGAAAAGTAAATGAATTCACGAACAATTGCAAAGAAACTTTAATGAAATTCAATTAAACGTCAAATAAATGTAATAATAAGAACCATAAAATTGAGTATGTATGCGAGAGTGAATGAGTAATTTATAACATATTTGATGATAAATAATTATACTGAGAGGAAATGGCCATAATTATCCACTTGTTTGATGATTAAAATGTAAAAATAAAAGAATTGCTGCTCTCAAAATACGGATATCCCCTCCGCCGCCGCCTTGAGATTCATGCTTTCAATCAGTGGAGAGAAGAGGCGTTTTTTTCAAAATGGCAGCGGCCATGCGCGACCGTTCAGTCTTCTGGTTATTCCAGTTTTGTTGCACTTTATTATCTCCAATAATCCCGTAAATAATAGATCAAAGTATATACAAAAATGCAGGTCAATGTGTCGATATCACCCCGGGTATTCACCGCGATACAGAATGTTAATATCACGGAATTGTCCGAGTGTTCGCAAAAAGAAATACGACCGTTGTTACCGTGTCTAGTACGTATGAGTTTGATATCGCCACTTGATATAACTAAAGAATGTGTGGAATCGCGAAAAGAAATTCTCACTATTTTATCTGGTATCGAGTCTGTAAATTCCATAGTGGCATTATTATCCATCGATTTCCATGCATTGGAGACTGACGTTAGAAAGGAACAGCAATTGAGGTTAGAATCATCACAACATTCAATTAGTTTTACAAAGCATTCCACGCTATTTCAATAAGAAAACATTTTTTTTTTTTCGATTTTGATATAGATTAAGTATGTGGTAGAAAGCCCCACTCAGAGACCCTAGAACGCTAGGAAAGAAAAAACCAAATTGTTTTTCAATAGTTATGCAGCATATATCATTGGTTTAAAGTGGCTGGGTGGGAGCAATTGTTTATAACATCATAACTACTCTAGCAAGTATAAAAGTGGAGAATACGCAGTCTGTAGTAAAAAAAAACAAGTACATGACCGTCTCACATTCCCCATTATCCCCATGATCAACTCTCATTTAATTTTTTTGCCCAGACAAAAATTAGGGAACACCCAAGGAGACAGTATCCTCGCCCAATCCCTGCAAAGCGGTCTAGCTTTAGAATTCGAACGGAGTGAATCAACACGTCGCATTCGCCTGGTGCTTAGTGAACTGCTCTTTGTCTCCTCTCAGATACACGAGTACCATAAGAACAACGAATTCCTGATAAAACAATCAGACCTCTTCGACAATGTTGTCTACATGGAGGAGATTGCCTACGTAATCTGCATAGCACTCGCAGAACTGCCAGCACTTCTCTCAATCCGAGACATTGCTGAAACCCTACTTCACGTAAAACACGGTCCCGAGATCATCTGCTGGATTGTCGCTAATAGTCCTGACTCTTTCTCTGAAGTGTGCACCCATCTAATAGCAAATGGCGAGCGCCAAGAAGAATCAGCACTTGGTAGAATCCGAACACAGGCATTGACAATGCTCTGCCGAATGAACCCAAGCCGAGCGCTTGCAGTTCGAGCAAAGTGCGTCGAACTGTGTAGAATGCCTGCACTAGCTATCGCACTGAGTCTAGAACGAGATTGTTTGAAATCTTCACAGCTGGACAGTGACATCGTGGCGTTTGTCTCAGGTTTGTTATTGGGAAGCGATCAACAGGTGAGAACTTGGATAGCTATGTTTATTCGAAATGGTCAGAAACGAAAAGGAGAATCTCACACGGCTTTGCAAGCCCTCAGAGACGAATTGCTAGAGCGCTTGAGGGCAATAGTCCCTAAACCACCTGATTGCCAGCTAGCTGAATGTCAAGTAGTCCAAGCAAGTGCTCTCCTAAGACTTTACTGTGCCCTCAGAGGAATTGGCGGAATTAAATTTCAAGACGATGAAGTTCCACAGATCGTCAAACTCCTGACATCCCATCCACCTCCCTCACCTGCTGGCGTCAGATTTGTATCCCTTGGCCTCTGCATGCTAATTGCCTGCCCCTCTCTAATTGGTCAGCATAATCTCGAAAAAAAGAGTATAGAATGGGTGCAGTGGTTAGTGAGGGAGGAAGCTTACTTTGAGAGTGCAAGCGGAGTGACAGCCAGTTTTGGAGAGATGCTCCTTCTAATGGCTATTCATTTTCACAGCAATCAACTTTCAGCGATATGTGATCTTGTCTGTGCGACATTGGGCATGAAAATACCGATAAGACCGAATAACTTGACACGAATGAAGCAGATCTTCATGCAAGAGATATTTACCGAACAAATTGTAACAGCTCACGCTGTCAAGGTGCCTGTCACTGCTAATTTAAATGCCAATATACCGGGTTTCTTGCCTGTCCACTGCATCCATCAGTTGCTCAAGTCCCGGGCGTTTGCTAAGCATCGAGTACCTATTAAAACGTGGATTTATAAGCAACTTTGTAATAGCGTTCCACCGTTACATCCGGTTCTGCCAGCGCTCGTCGAGGTTTATGTTAATTCCATTCTTGTGATCAATCACAAAAGCTCTGAACATACCAATAAACCTATCATGGAAGATGAAATCAGAAAGGTATTTCAGAATAGTGTGTTTGGGGCGAATTTTGACGTGAAAAAGAGCGCTCTCAATATTATGGATATGGAGACGGATTATCTGGATGTTGATACCTCCAAACCCTCTTTAACGTCACAGCTATTATTCCTTTATTATCTGCTGCTGTATGAAGACGTGCGGCTGTCTAATATGCATAATTTCATATCGCAGGGGAGAAAAGTTAAGAGCTATTCAACGGAATTTTTGTCAGAGCTGCCGATTAAATATTTATTGCAACAGGTTCAGAGGGATCAAATGAGTTATGCTGGATTATTTTCGCCTCTGCTTAGATTATTAGCGACGCACTTTCCACATTTGAGTCTAGTCGACGATTGGCTGGATGATGAGATGATTAATATCGAATCGCCAGCTGCTAATTATGAGAATGTCGTAATTAATGATGTCTCGATAATTGAGGCTTTTGGACATATTAAGAGCTGTCCATCGAGAACTGGGAGACTGCTGAGACAATTAATGTCCATGAAACCAACAGATATTTGGCCACACGCCGAGACTATTATACATTATTTTAAGGTCATTCTGGATGAGAAGGTGCCGAGATATATTCAAGGTGAGTAGAGTGGCCATCCAACTCTTCAAATTCAATTCTCAATGAGCCTTCTATTTATTTATTTATTCATTCATTTTTTTTAATGATTCAATTAATTCTCAGAATTATACAAACAAGTCTGGCTGAGATTAAACGCAGTTTTACCGAGGTGTCTATGGGTAATGTCAATAAATGCACTTTTGATCGAGAATCCAACCGTTCAAAATGTGCGTCTTACGCAAGAGAACATAGTTCTTGACCCTCTCCAAGTTCTCAGATGTGATACCAGAGTATTCAGATGTGCCCCAGTATTATCAGTTATTCTGCGGTAAGAATTCAATTTATCCCAGTTTATTAACCTTTCAACCCATGCACTCTGTTTACGGAAAATATTTAATAATCCACATTGAAATATCAGAATCCTCCAAGCGACTCTCGCAGCCTCAAGGTCGCAGTTATCAAGGCACATGCAGGACAGACCTTTAACTGAGAAAGTGGGACAGTTGACGAATGAAGCAGAGAGGGAAGATCTGAGAGCGGCACTGGTTGCCGGTCAAGAGAGTGCGGCGGTGCAAATTCTTCTGGAAGCCTGCCTCGAGACTGATCACGACGAACGTGTTCCAGGACAGATGTGGTCACTCAGAGAAATTAGAAGTGTTGTTTGTTCCTACCTACATCAGGTTTTCATTGCTGACCCACCATTAGCAAAGCTAGTCCATTTTCAGGTTGATATCTCGATTTTTCCTACAGTGAGACCATTCATAAGGTTCTGACATCAGTCTTTAATTAATTTTTTTTTTTAATATGCAGGGATACCCTCGTGAGCTCCTGCCAATAACTGTCTCCGGAATACCCTCGATGCACATATGTTTAGACTGGATTCCAGAGCTTCTCTCTCAGCCTGAACCCGAAAAACAAGTATTCGCAGTTGATCTCGCATCGCACCTTGCAGTTCAGTATGCGTTGCCAAAGGCCCTGAGTGTTTCACGACTAGCAATTAACACTTTGATAACTCTCCTGGGAGTTCTCCCAGCTAAGGATCGTGTCGTTCTCTTCTTACCGGTTCTCTCAGCCCTCACCAGAATTTGTCTTGCATTTCCTCCACTTGCTGAGGACACCACTGGACTACTCTTGCAATTAGGACGAGTGAGCTCGGCTCAAGCAGCTCTAGGTGATAAATCTGCTGAAATTCTCTGCCAGGAGGTAAACGCCACGTTCTCGTCCCTCATACAGAAGGCCATCCTCCAATCCAGAGTTTATTGAATGGCAAAATTAGTTTTTATGCAGCAATCGAAAGATTATCGTCCAATTTTTGTATATATTAAAATGTCAATTATTATGTCGTTATCATTGTAAATAAATTCCCGATATAAACGCTGTACATACGTGAACTTCACTTTAGAAAATATGAGTTCACTAGAAATCATTGGACTAATATAGGAAATTTAAAGTAAAAACTCTCTTCACAATTGCTTTAAACCCTCTTTCATTCTTCCCTTGCTAAATAATTCACAGCTGACGCCTCGGAGTCTGGAAATTCCCTTCTGTTATGTGCCTTGGTCGGTGCGAAAAGTATCGAGAGGTGTGAAGACAAAGGGTAAATGTTTCTTTCGAAATAAAACCCCTTTCCCTTAGGGCTTTTAAAAAATTCATAGCATCAACGTCAATCGCATGCGGTAGGTTTTCACCATGCAGGCAAGATTTATTAATTCATCGGGCATGCGGAGGAAAAACGGAAGTTTCAGTAGCCACTGCTTCGGGATTTGTACGCGAAAAGAATTCTTTTTATAGAAGGTCTACATTGCTATTCCCCTGCGAAACAATTTTTTTAAATTTTTTTAATTTAGCTGATAGTTCTTCTGTCCTAAACTGATTCTTTAATGAATTTAGAGAGATGTCTGATACTAAAGAATCAGAATTTTGGAATCATCCCTATTACAAAATGGTAAAGATAGTGACAACTGCCATGGGCCAATGGCCTTATCAGTCCACCGGCCAACATATTCTACATGCTGCAGTCATAGTGTCCATTCTCAGCACAATGTTGACAATACAGGTATCTTATTTCCATCGCCCTCTAGAATTTTACGTTAATGGGCAATAATTGGTTTTTGCACAAATTTTCACCGTTCAAGCTGTCCGCGCTGTGGACACATCGAAATGATTTCGATACAATTTTGGACTGCAGTGTTCCCCTCATCGCGGACATATTACTGTTGATCAAATACATAAACAATTGTTGTCATTGGAAAACTGTGAGTTGTTTTGTATGACTCGTCATGTGGCATAACATCGGAAAATATTCATAAAAATTTTCAGATGGTCCGCCTCTTGGAACAAATCAAGTATAACTGGAGGATTTTCCCGAAAAATAATGGACTCCATGTACTACATGATTACAGCGCTTTCGGGAAGAAATTTGCTAAACTATACATGAGTGAGTTATCAAACGGTTTAATGATGATGAATATTCCTTGTAAAAATAATAATTTTTCCATATTGGAATATACAGCGGGAATTTGGGTGAGTTTCGCAAGTTACGTGACTGAGCCATTGCAGGAGAGATTCACCGTCTACCTCTTGTATCCAAATGTTACATTACCGAAAAGGTTTTCAATGCCATTTGAATTTGGCCCAATTGACGTTGACACTTGGTATTATTATCTTTGGTTTGGTACAACGTGCGGAATTTTTACGCGCCTGACGACCATTGGTGCTTGTGATCTCCTACTTTTTACACTTTCGGAACATGCCAATGGATTTCTAAAAGCACTGGGGTGATTTACAATGGCAGCAAGTATCTTTAGAGATAAAATACATAAGACAATCCTTCTTTTTTCAGATATGCTACGGAGAATCTGCCTCCATACGACGAGTCTTCGTCCGAAGACGAGAGCTTCAATTACCTGAGACGCTGCGTAATTATTCATGATCGTGCAATAAAGTACGTCTTTCTGTAGGGGTTTCAACGGTTTTTAATGTTTTTTTATAATAAAATTTGAATTAACAGTTTTGCCGAGAGCGTCAGGGACGTGTACATGTGGTCTTTTTTCGGAATCATTGGAATGAATATGCTCATAATGAGTGTAACTGGTATCCAGGTAAAGCCTCTCTGTGCAAAATAAAAATTAAATAAAATCTTTGGATCCAATCATACAGATTGTCAACAGTCTGGATAATTCGAAGAAATTGATAAAATTTAGTGTCAACATGCTAACTCAAATGCTGCATCTTTTTGTCGAGTGCTTCGTGGGTCAAAGAGTAATGGACGCTAGCTTCGACCTGAAAGAAACTATGTAAACGCTTTAACTCCTTTTTATTTAACTATCACGTCATCAACTTCAATTTTACATTTTAGAACAAATGCAAAGTGGTATAATGCTTCAAAGAAGACCCAAAAAATGATACCTCTGATGCTCTTGAGAGCCCAGAAACCAGTTGTTTTAACTGCAGGAAAAGTATTCTTTATGTGTATGAGCACTTATGCTGTGGTGAGAATTTTATATTTGCATAGTAATATTGTCCATGCCTTGACGTATGAAAAAAAAAATTAACTGGAAATATTGTCGCAGGTGCTGAAGACAGCCATGTCTTACTTCACGGTATTCTTGGCTGTACGATAATGTCTTGAATGACTGTATTTGATAGTTATTTTTTAGATTTAGTAGGAACGTCGAAGTCTTCAATTTTTATTCACCTGGAGGCACTCGATTACTCGATCACCAGATAAACTGTAATACTCGGTCATCGCAAAATTTCACATAAGTATTTATTAAAAACTTGTTCAATACGTATAATACATTAATATAACTTTCATTTCCAAGAATAATTGATTTGAAATACAATAAAATCACATGTTCACAGCATTGCGGATATTGGAAGCCGATATGCTAGCGGTTTGAAAAAGAATGGAGCTTCAACCCCCTCATTTGTATGCGTTATAAAAAAATTCATTAATTTCATTCGGAGATGATGTTAATCATTTATAAAAACAAATACACAAGTGGAAGAATTCACACTAGAATATCTTTTCTGCAAAAATAATAATTAGAGATATTAATATAAAATTGAGTACAAAGATTTAAACATTATAAATATAAAAGGTGTAAAAATCGTAGACAGGAAGAGAGACTCATTGAGTTTTCTTTGAGAGTCCATTGTGTTGTTCCGGTTGTATGATGGTAGGGTGAAAATTGCTTTGGCCATTGGTAGATGGTAATTGGCGTTTGCAATTCACATATCCCAATGGTAATACTGGAAGGACTAAAATTGCTACCAGGCTCAGCAGATGTGGAATCAGGTACATGGAACTAAATCATTTTATATTCGATTAGCATATATGGCGCGCTACGCGCGCCTATCCAGCATTTCTGTATGTTACTAAAGCCTTTAGCGGTTTTAACGGCCGGGGCGCCGCTATATTATATTATTTTTCTAAAAATTTTTTTTTTATATAATTTTCAAAGTTCAAATAAAGAAAAATACATATATTTATATGTATCATTTAGGTACGCGCCGAAAAAAGCCGACAAAAAAATGTTACATGCTTTTTTTAAAAGGGATTATAATTATTGATGAGTGTCGAGAAATAATTACTCACATGTATATTTTGACACTCGGCATGAATTCAAGTAGGACAAAACTGAAAGTGAGATAAGCCATGAACACACGCGTTGTGATGAAAGTAACAGCGTCATAGAACAATTTCATATTGTTTGAGCCCAAGAAGTAAGGTCGAATGCTTCTGCGGACCTGTCAAAAAAAATATCCACATTGTTCAATAAATAGATATATATCAACAGGATTGTTAATGTAAAACTTACTGTGCGTGAAGCAAATGTAAAAAGTGCTCCAGTGGCAAATGTGAGGTAGTATCCTGGATAAAATCCATGCCAAATGGCTGAAAGAGCAAAAGTGAAAATGGTTTTGTGGCGACCAGCTCTTTCATAGGTCACCATTCTTAACCAGTTGTTAGTGCCTTTATTCCAGGCCTCAATCGACTCCTTGAGACTCAGTGATGTCTTAAACCATAACAAACATCGTCGGTTATTACGAGGGTTCATACGGTTTATTTAATACACTTATTATTGTGAAAAATTGAGTTGCAAGTTATACCTCAAATTTAAATACATCTATGTTAGAGAAGAGGTCCCATTGGGGCTTCCCCTCAGCATCGAGACCGTTGTATCCTAGTCCCGAGTTATTGCAGATTGCATCTGCAAACAGCCATGCGTAATAATATTTGAAACGAACCATCATCGTTGAGATCATCAGGTACCAAATTTTGTAGGCCATCGATGAATCCAAAAATTCGTCGTCTATAGAAGAAATAACGTCAACGTGTGATAAGAATAATGAAATAATATTTCCTCAGAGTACCTATTCACCTTTTACTCTTTGTATTGGAAATACTGGAATAAACACGACGAACAAGACAGCGCATGTTAGACTAGCAATTACTTTCTTCATTACAATTTGAGTTGGTGACGGCTCCAAAACAATTTCATTAACATGCTTAGAAGAATCATCATAGAATCCCTATAAACAAAATTTCTATTAAAAATGCACGACTATTATCATTGTTCATTTAATCATAATGTCTTGATACGGAAAAATTGTCATGATAATAAAAGTGCAATTGATCAAGAAGAGTACCGAAAATGATGTCCCATTGAGTTTAGTTCCATGAATAAAATCTATATAATCCCTGTAAAAAATGACGGGGCCGGCCATTAACGCCTGAAAGTGGAGTACATAGCTGAAGTATTCCAGTGTAGTTGGCATGATCTTAACGGCCTGATGACGTTGGAGTGATGTCAGCTCGAGTTCGCGACGTGTAAAACCATCGTGAATGCTGTACGCAAGACTTATGACTTTTTGCGTTATAACCATTAGTGGACCTGCACATTTCGGTGATTCAGCTTCTTTTTTTACTTCACATTGGCAATCTATTCCATTACACTTATTTTTTTTTTAAGAGGACATGATTGATTACCCGTTATATCAAGACTGTACGATCCATAATCGTACATTTGCCGGTAAAAATGAATGGACGAGAGATATCCCAGCGCAACGGTTAACACGACTCTGCAACGGAGTTGGTTGTAAGTTGAAGACCAAATGACTAATAAACATGGATAATGGAATAATTGAGGTAATTTACCTCTGGACTATACGCGGATCTTGTGTGCGTATTATGGTGTAACATATCGCTGGAAGTCCTGCCAAATGAACTGCTTGTCTGTGAGAGAAGGAAAAACCAGTCCATTACTCATCCATTATTCTTCTTAATAGACGCTTATATTTGATATTTTTAATTGGCTTACTTGCCGAAACAGAAGTACCCCATACAGAGCCCAACGATCAAACCAAATGTATGACGAGCCACTGGAGAAACCACTCCTGGCCTCAGTGACGTACGAAATAATGCAGCCAAAATGAGTGCTGTGAATTGACTGATAACGAAGTTCATCTGGAATGCAATTTGGATTTGGTGTGAAAAATGTACCAAATATATTTTCATCAGCAATAGAAATTGAAATGCGGAGTAGTAAAAATATGACATTTGAATATAGTAATCAATAATTTATTAATTCATCAATTGTAATTATAATTTTATAATTGGGTAGGATAATCATACTATATATTTATTGTAAATTTAATTTCTTAATTTAACGGAATCTCCAGCCCATTCCAATTCCAATTTGAGGATCGAATCGTCCACCTGGCAATGGCTGAACACTTCCTTGACCTCTCACGAAGAAATCATTATTCGGCCTGTATTCATAATTGAGACCAGCGTGTGGCTGGAAATGTTTAAGATCCGGGCTAGAAACTCCACCGAAACCGTTTAACGTTGATTTACCGTCATCAATTATTTTGTGATTATAATCCAAATTGAGTTGAGGGCGTCCATGTTCAGGGATGGTGACACCTCCTTGGATTCCACCCTGGGGGGAACGACGGAATCTCCAGCCCATTCCAATCCCGATTTGAGGATCGAATCGTCCACCTGGCAGTGGCTGAACACTTCCTTGTCCTCTCACGAAGAAATCATTGTTCGGCCTGTATTCATAATTGAGACCAGCGTGTGGCTGGAAATGTTTCAGATCCGGGCTAGAAACTCCACCGAAACCGTTCAATGTTGATTTACCGTCATCAATTATTTTGTGGTTGTAATCCAAATTGAGTTGAGGGCGTCCATGTTCAGGAATGGTGACACCTCCTTGGACTGAACCCTGAGGTGAACGACGGAATCGAACCTGTTCCAAAATCATCACAAAAACATCGGATTAACTATGATACCAGGAATGCGAAAATCGAAACAATGAAATAATTAAATATATTATAAAAACGTACCGGAAAATCAACTGGACCCCATGGTTTGGGTGGACTTGGGAAGGGACGAGGAAGTGGTGATCCATGGGGATTGAAGGGAGGCGTTCCCGGATTTGGAAATGAGAAATCACGTTTTGGCTCAGGATCGCATTGGACGGTTGAACACAAGTAAGCCACCAAAAGTAGCAACCACATTTTGACACAATATGCTCCCATACTCTCCATTTTTTGCGTTCACAATTAAAAATCTAGAATGGGTAAAATGAAATTAGGCTCCCAAAAAGGAATATTAGCGGTATCCATAAGAAGTGGATAAATTAAAAATATTTATTTTACTTTGAACAGAACTATTCAACTTACCAATCAAGTTGTCGATGAGAAGATTCAACAATATCTGATAGAGGAACCCTGAATTCTATTCCTTTTATACTCCTTCAATACTGATATATATTGCTCAAGGGGAAGGCCGGAATTACTTCTGCTATTCATTTCGAGTAATAAAGAATAATCTGCACATGTTGCAGTGAAGAAGAATCCCATCTTGACATATAACCGCTAACATTTTTCTTAAACTCGCTATTAATCATATCGCTTAGGGAGTCCCACATCAATTTCTCCGCGTTAGTGCAGAGATATCGCAAGAATTGTACGGATCGGAAGGAATCCCCTCAATTTATTTTAGTTCTTCGGAACAAATAATAATACATATGTACATCTCAACACATTGATAAATTAATCATAGAAAGATTCTCTTATGAATATAAGAGATGAATATTAATTACCTCCTGAGTAAATTTTATCACTTATGTGGAGAATGGACAGCGCATTCGACAGTTTGGATTGAAGACGATAACAAGGCAAGTCAATTATTCTCCTAATTGGAATTCACTTAAATATATATAGTTAATTGACTGTGCGTGGCATACCTGTTTCCAACAACTAATTGTTCTACTGTTCTATTAATTCGATTATTTTTCAAAGTAGATGTCCTAGTTGTCGAATGACGTTGAAGGCTCGTAATGAATAAAATATGTAGGTATAACATCCCCAACTACTAGCCACTATTAAAATGTTTACAATGTCATCAACGTAATGCTCACCGTAAACACTGAGTAACGGTAAATGCCCGTAAGAATTAATATATGTATACAGTCGGGACCGCACCTCAAAATTGCAAGGAAAAACTTGAAATCATTTTATTGGTAATTGAAGATAACTGCGGTTAGGCGGAAATGGTAGTGGAACAATACCAAGTTGTTTAAATTTTATGTAGCTACCTGGTTGTGACTTTGCGAAAAACAAATGGAATGGTAATTGCCCTAAATTGATGATCGAAGAATATGTTAATAAGAATATGTAACGGCGAGCCGGAATTCTCAAAAAAAAAAAATTCCTTCTCTCAAGTGTCTAGCAATTACTCTTATCAATCAGGTCATTCAATCTATCAAAGCAAATAATACTGACTTTCCCGTATGTTCAATTAGGCGAAGCATGTTTACAGCTGTATTCACACCACTTCCTTCACATTTTCCCAGTTATTACTGCAGTATGAAAATTCTCTGTGAAGCGAGTCATCGGTGCATTTGCGCATCCACAGGCATAAATTACCATAGCGCACAAAGATGAACTTTAAGTGAACTCTATTTCTGGTATCATGAGATAGCTTATAATAATTCCAATCCAATGAAAAAATAATTCAATTAGCGCGTAGGTTTGAGTATGATGATAATAATATCGAGAATGACTATAGAAAGAACAATTTTATGGATGACATCAGCCATTCTTCTGGAGTTGAACTCATTCAGTATCGATGCATGATGCAACACACTCACAAATTAATATCAAGACCTGATCTTATTCATATGGCACTTGGTTTGGTACTGACCTTCACTTTAATTATGCTGTTGGAATTTCATAATTAGGCGTAAAAAAAAAAAAATTACTAACCGCGAACCTTCAAGTTTCACTTTACTCGTTTCATCGAATTCAAAACAAATTCCGGGAATTGTCATAAAGGCGCTCTTTAACTTCCTATCAATTTAAAATTCTGTATAATTTTCTAATTAATAATTCATGCTTTGATTGGAAATTCAAATAAGTTATGTAAATACTGTTGAAAAATTTTGAGTGTTCACCTTTTTAGTGAAACTGAACGCTGTACTGTTTTTTTTTTTTATCAAGTCACCTAGATCAAATCTTATATCGGATTTCTGACAATAATTATTGAACCATCAATGAGATTTTTCTTACTTTTACCTTGTTTTTGAATTCATTGAAATAGCTTGCATATTACTATCATCTAAAATGACTAGAATAATTAATGGGTAATTCAAATAAATATTGATTCTGTGCAATTAACATAACAATTTAGGTTAATATATGCAGTATCTTCTGTATTGAGACATTTACGCAGGGGAAGAAAAATAATGAGTACTTTAATGAGTACTTTAGCCAAGTAAAATCGTGGAAAAAACTTTGCTTTTTCTGGAAGTCACTTTGTTAAAAATCCAGGAACATTACTCCGCAGCATTTGAGCATAGAAATTACGCAGTAAAAAACCAATTATCGGCAAATGGAAGACAAAATCGCGGCAACGTTATTAGTTGCTTTGCGAGGAGATCGAAATTTGCTCTGGATCACCAGTCTAAAAATATAATTATTACGCTCTGAGTAGAAGTTGAAAAAATAGCCTCTCCCAGTGCCCCTGCCTCTACTCCTTCATTAATCCTCCATAGAATGTACTGTTCTTTATTTCACTGACTCTTGAATATGAGAAATGAGCAAGCACCTTGCAATTCCATTTTTAAAACTTCATTAACACCCCGCCAATTAAAAAAATACCATCCACTGACACAAAATCTTATCACTAAAATATCGGCAGATTCTTTTGTCCATTGAATGCAAACAAGAGGACCTTTTATGCAGCTCTTGAAATTTTACCACAAGGAAATGCCGTTTTAAGTAGCACCATTAGCACTAAACGCTTTCACCTCAAAGTTATTGCCAGAAAAAACTTTACGCAAACCGAAAACTCGTGCAATTTATTCGATCAATGAATGAAAGCGAGAAAGAGAAATACGCACTACGCAAGAGCGGCAACAGGTCTTTCCCTCCCTCGTTTCTTAACCCCCAAAAATTCATGAATCGTCATGAAAATATCGCGAAGTAATGTCCCCCGAATGGCAATAATCGAGGGCAATCTAAAGTGAGAAAAAAAATTCACCAGAGGAAAAATGTATTTCCTATATTTGTTGAAAATGTGTGCGTCTAACCTGATCAACCGGCAATCCGACGATATCAGAAAGTCCTTCGAAACTCCTGGAGCCATCGTAGAAATCGTCCCCATTGACTTTAAGGGCCGCAACCCCGTGTACTTTATCCATAATATTAAAAATCTTAAGAAACCGACCTATCTGTCAAACCGCTCGGCTCTCACTGAAACTCAAAACTCAATTCACTCCGATCTCCGATACCTCACACGATTCTCTGCAACCACAATATAACCGTTAACATTTATTCGAGCACTATATACGAACGTCAGTATAAGATGCGATGTTATATATGTGACGCTGTGGAACGCGCGCCGCATATACTCTGACAACGAAAAAAAAATTCTCACTGGATATCCCCCTCTCTCAAGAATTCTATTTCGCTGTGATTACTAAAATCCTTATTAAAAAAAAAATTGGCACCACAATTACAGAGAGAATGATCACCACGAGGGGAAGCAACAGGAGAGGAGAGTTGATTGCAACGAGGGAATCGCCCCATCGCAATCGGCACAATACAAGTAACTATATACAATACAAAAGCAGACATTGAGAACAGAGTCAGGGACGAATTTCACTTCCCCACTAGCAACACGTTTAGAGGTTTGCTTTATCCGATGGGTGTTCCTGTGAAAAATCACATCATTTAGGAAGTGATGAGTCACGAGCTGTCACGAGGTAATCAATACCACTTCTCTTAGTCAATGTAACAGCCTTATATTTCATCGCAAATTCTGTATTTCGAGGCCCTTCATTCTCCATAGAATCACAACTTATTAGATTATCCCGGAAGAACAGGGTAATTACACGTAAGTGCGATGTGATCAAGTGCCATCGACCCAAGCTTGAATGGTACATACTGTATGGAATAGCTCATTGTCGTCTGATGATCGTTTTATCTGATTGCACGTAAACTGCTATGAGCAGACTGATAGCAATTTACGTGCTATCAACCTGTTGTCAACTCTCCCTTTTCTGAAATTGGGAATAATTTCCTCTTTTCAGCTCGCGTGAAAAAAAAATACCCTTAATCATCCAAGAATTATTTTTTTATTTATTCACAAAATTGATCAAATGAAATTTTTTCATTTATACATCGTTACGTTATGAGGACTTTTACATAACACTCATGCCCAAGGTGAAATTGTAGATGATCGGAACGCGTGTTTGAATGTGAACGCATCTGAACCGTATCTAATAACCGCGAATTGAATACACTATGCTCTGTGTCATTTGAAAATGGATAGCCGCAGTCATAAGGATATCACTCGGAAATGCGAGAATACATTATCATGTGCTCCTGTGCACGAGATGGCATAAAACGTGATTAAATACTTGTAAAACACCTGCTAGCTTAATATACATTATTTCATTTACAACCATTGATTTAACGATAAGATGTTTTTCGAGAGAAATTCGAAATAGATGGGACGCAATAGAGATCCTTCGAGTTCAATTGAGGACAAGTGAACATATAATTGCTGTTTCATTACCCTTTTCTTGCCAAAAATAATTCAAAAATAATAATCAAATGCAAAACATACGTTAGTTTGTACACATTTTATACTTTCCATTGGAATTCACTATGTTTGTCAGATGTGGCCATTATTTGGCAAAACGAACAGTACGGAATAGGCTATTGAAGAATATTTAAATCACAATCTGAGGTCAAGTATTGACACTTTCATATCAGTAGCTAAATTAGGCAGTCTAAAAAATGTACAATCGAAAAATCTACAGTAAAACCTATTTTTCCTCGATAAAAGTCATAATATATCTATGAGGACTGAATTTATTAAAAAAAAATTATATTATCCCATCACTCATAAATTATTTATAGAGTTTGGAATTAGAGATTTTGTCAAATAAGATCTTATGTTTTTTTTCGGTACCTTATGTTTGTTTATCACCTTTGGAAGTATTTTTCAAATGAATGATATTGACAAATTGTCCTAGTCGTAGAAAAAAATTTTTTCACGGCTCATTATAAATCCACTCATTTCAGAGATAATTTCATAATCAACAATTATGTTGTGCTGGAATCGATTGGTTTCATCAATTGTACTTGTTAACGTATATCACTATTTGATTGATATCTTGTGGAGTTTGAGTTTGAATCCTAAGAGTTCTGAGAGAACCCCTGATAGGGCCGAGAGAAGCACAACTTTAGTTATAGTGTATACGTAGGGATTTGCGGAAAGACCTGAGATTTTGAAGGGACTCTCCAATTCCTGGAATTATATGAGACAGGGTATATCAGATAAGATGAAATTCCATTTTATTAGGGATCCTATGGTTAAAAAAAATTTACCTTGATTAAATCGGCTGCCAACTTTAGTACACTATTTGCTACTGTGAGCTCTTCTTTCTTATGGGGTTTTTGTTCTATTTGTAAATAAAGATTTATCTGCAACATAGGCGAATCATTAGAATCGATTTGCTGACAAAATTTTTTATTCACTTATTTCTGGATAATTATTTTTACTCAAACTTACCTGTTCGGTGATGAGCACGGAGAGATTACGATATTTTTTATTAATCTTTGTTCCAAGTGTCATGAATCTCAAGAGGTAGATACCAAGGACAAAGCTCCATATAAGAGCTTCTATGTTCGATCGCGAGTGTAGACTCTCTAGATTCTAAAAATATAATACATAAATTCCTCCCCTTTTATGCGCATGTGCCTTTAATTTTCAACTAATGAAATGAAATAATAATAAGAGTCTAATCGCTTACTTTGATAAGCTCTAAGCTCACAAATGAGAGCAACAGCAGAGTAACAATAAACGCTGCAGATACGATGACATCGACTGACCTCTGAGGGCCTCTCCTCTATTTTTCGAGAGGGAGAAAAGCAATTATTATTATTTAGCAATCCCAACACCAAAAAACATAGGTGATTTCAATTGTTTACCTTCAAATAGGACCTCACACTCAACCAAGTCTTGATATTTCTAACTTTATTCAGCCTAAAATGCGGCAAATCCGATTTTCTTGCTCGTCTGGATGATGTCAAGTGTGAAAAGAGCTTTGCGTAAAGGAGTCTCTGCTTGAAAGTTCTCTCAGCAACTGCGAGAAGGAAAAATAGAAGGCAGGAAAGGATTAATCTCTCGAATGAGAGAATTACAACTACCGCTCTTTCCCTGTAAATAAAAATATGAACAAAGAGGTAAAAATGTGAGAAAATAATACGCGGTTTGAATTCAATGGAAATATATTGTACCACAGAATGTTTCCAAACGCCACATCAATAACTCTGCACATGAAATCACTATAAGTCCTGAAGTCAGCGTACGCGAGATCATTTACATATATTCCAGTCGAATTATTCGTAGAATCTGAGCTAAAGTAGTCGTTTAGTCTCCTTATGGAGGGAATAATAGCGAGGACAACCGAAAGAACAAGTCCACCATAAAAATAATCCATACTCTCTGGCATAGATTCAGCTCGTGCAATTATCGCAGAGCTTATGTCCAAAACAGAGAGTTCTGCTTTCTTTATATCTCGTCGTGTCCATAATGTACAAGAGACCCTATCAGAAGAGGTACAGGAGGAGCTCAGCAAAATAGATGGTGGCAGCTCCAATTCCCAAGAGAATGGATGCTCGATAAATTCACCATATGCAAAATTATTATCACTGTGGGGCTCGGACTCGTCAAGATCGGAGCTATAGCTGCACTCATCACTATTTGTGGTAACACCCATCCACTCGGTAGCAGAAGTTGTTGCCTCAGTCAATTGGTTGGTACCTGCCTCCTCGCACTCACCCTCCTCCTCACTGTCGCACTGGTACTCTTTTGTCAATTTTCCTAAATCATTTTTCTCCTGCAATTTCATCGAATTTTCGCTATTATTTATTTCTTTTTATTGAAAAAATCGTTATGGGGTAAATACCTACATACCGTTGACTGGCCATTACTCTCCTTACTCTTATCCACATTCATATCATTTTGTTTGCGAATTTCTCCGGCATTTATTACGCGCTCATCACTACTCTCCGACCCGTTTTCATTTTTTTTGTGACCCTCATCTTCTGCACTTATTAACAGTCTTACTGTTGCCCGATCGTTATCACTAGAGACGTTTCCATTGAGGCTCTCGAAGCCATCATCATCCAGATGGATTGTGTCAACATTTCCCACATTCACATTGACGTCGGGATCTGTGAAAATGCTCGATTGAATTTTTCTAATAATACACAATATCAATTGACACTGATTATTTTTCATTCGTCATTCGTTTGCAGAGAATATCCTCTGCTGTTGTAAACTGAAAGACGATACTGTCTGTTATCGTTAGTACTCATACTTGGTGGTTCTTGCAGCTGATTAATCGCTGGCTCAAGCACTCTGGAAGACGATGGAATGCTTCTCTCAACAATGTTATCGTTTGAAGAAGAACGGCGAATGGATACTGTTGGTTCCGACTGCAGATAACAATGAATTTCATTTCTCATATTACAGTTAAAATTGTTGAATTTTCTGGTAATAAATCATTTTCATAAAAAAATCTGAATGGAAAGTGATATCTCACCTGATGACCCCCAGACGGTCTTCGTGATGCTACTGATGCAACAATACGAACTTTCTCGGCGAACGTAACCGAAGGAATTCCTGTAAAAGATTTTCCAATATTTTCTCCAACATTCTCCGCCGAATTTTTCCCTTTACTAGTTCTCCTCGTCCTTAACTTGCCCGATCGACTTCTCTCATGTCTCGATCTTCTAATTCTCGACCTATTGTGTCCATTGACTATTGTGGGTCCTGAATTTGTGGAAACAATTTGCGAGTGAACAGTACACAGAACGAACATCATCGCCGCTGGCACAAGTATTTCACTCATCGATACTATCTGCAAAACGGAAGTAGAAAAAAAAATTCCAGTGCTTGATCTACCCACACATTTACTTTTTAAATAGATCCACAATCGATTGATAATAATTTCTGATAAGTGCAAAATTTATTAGGGAATTATTTTAAGCATATCATGCTAATGACGAATAATATCTCGGGAGATAAGGAATAATTTACATTTATAAAATTAATCAAGCCTTACATCAGATTCAGTGGAGTTGCCAGCTTTTGTATAAATAAAAACATTAATTATCTGCAGGCTGTAGAGCAATAAGAATAAACAAAATATTCTGCCACTTGTCTGCTGTGTCCACCAATTCCGATAGAATGGCAAAAGTACAAGTCTCTTAATCGCCAGCCATGTGACCGTAATCAATCCATGCTTGGGTTTTGCCTTGGGAAACGAAGAGCCTGTTAAAAAATTCAATCCATCAGCCCATTCATTGACCGCTGACATTAACACATAATTAATCACGAGATAATCGATTCACCTCGAACAAGATCCACGTCAATAAATTCTGTTTTCAATTTTGCGGTGCGCATCGGAACGTTGTTAAAGCCACCGAATATTCTCTGCTCCACAGTTTTTTCCCATTGTTGCTTATCGTAAGTGCCTATTTTTTTCTGGTACCTTTAGAAGGATATTCATTGTTTTATTCGTCGTAACATTCATGAAACGATAAGGTGAACATGCAGTACATAAACATTGGAGTGACTCGACATCGCCGCATACATTATTTTATGAGAAATAGGGAAATTCCAGTTACGTGAAATGGATTATGACATATTTTTTTTGGCTACCCCTTGGAATCATTCTCAACATCTTTTTATCCTTCTTTTATCGTTGATAATTTGACTTTAATTGGTAATTATTGGGCTATCTTCACAACGAGTGCAGTCACGAGAAATCATGAAAAGAAACTGTTCCCACTTATATCTCTTTTTCACATTTCGTCTTCTCTTGCTCTCACATTTTGGAAATAATACCAGACACAACAAAAACATGAATTGATTTTTTTAAAAATAATCACCTGTTCTCATCACAATAATTCAGTACAAACGAATAATAACTCACCAGTAAATCAAATCATTTAGTCCCATCCTGCCAATTGAAATCACAACCCGATTAAATAAATCGGTACTCTGACGTCCCCAATTGTTGACACACTTATTAAGGCGCGTAATTATAATTCAGGAGGAATAAATTTTGTCTATTAACCCCATAAAATTTCCACTTATTCCAGAATAAACTCCTGTGGTGAATTTCTACGATATGGTCATGAAAATAACCCGGAATTGTACTGTTCCTTGAAGTAATGGCGTGACACAAAAATATCATCACTCCGAATGGAGAGAAAAATCACAGGAGAAAAGATCGGAGGAGAAATGAGAACTTGTCAGTTATTGAATTGAAGAGAAACCAAAATAAAGAAAAAAGAGGGAGAGAATTCTGGCGAAATGGGACTTGAACAGACAACAGACAACTGGTAACTGGTAACTGGTAACTGGTTAGTGACACCAGCCAGCTGCATCAGACTGCGGTCAACAGCTTTTCCTCGATGTATTGACGTCCCTTGTACCGCTTCTACCCCCTGTGACAGCCTCTAGTTATCGTTGTGTGTGGGTACCACACTACTCATATCAGCTGGAAGATGATTCTCAAAGTCACCGGTAGACGGTGTTCATCACAACTTTTGCCGCTTTTGCCCAAAGCCTCTAATGTTTAAAAATGTCAATGTAGCTGACCCATTATATTTCATCAACCTTCATCTATACTCTGCAATTATTTGTACAATAATGTATCATTGTTAGCGAACTATTTCTCCCATCTGAGGAACGCTATTGTAAATAAATAAAAAAAAATATTTTATGTCTGATGGATTTTTGTAATCTGCGATGTGCGAGAATATATTTTATATGAAGCCAACCATCCCTTGATTAAAAAATTGAATTCTCGGAAGGGTGAATTTTCCTGGGCGAAGGATTCTGGACCTGTAAAAAATCATTTTTTGTCTCCTCGTTGCACCCACGAATTGGCTGGAGTTGCGAGTGCGCAGCATCCCACTGGATCAATGAAACCGAAATCAAGTAACAGAGGTGGCATTCGGTTTGCAGCAGCTCCGATCAATTGACACTCTTGTAAATATTTATATTTCCATCCGGAGCGACACGCCCCGTTATGACCTGCAGATTCCGTAGCGAATGGAGTAATTAAAGTCCTTCAAATGAAATAATAACGGAACAAGTGAGTGACTTTGAAGATGATCAGATGAAACTCATTAATTTGTTGTACTGTGACAATTGCAGTGTCGAATCAATCAATAACAATGGAGCGCGCCGTGAAGACAATGCTCTTGTGGTTTATTGTTTTCTTCGCCTTTACGAGATCCTCTGAAGCTGTTGAGGGCAATCCGATGTATTATAAAATTGGAGGAGTATTGTCCAACAATGCCAGTCAGAATCACTTCAAGAAGACATTGGATGTGAGTGCTTCAGACAACTGAATTAGCTCAGAGGAAACCAAGCGATTTTCACATTGACCTATGAATTATTTGTAAAATAATTTCAATGCTTTCAGAATCTTAATTTTGATCTGCAATACGTCAACAAGGGTGTTGTCTTCTACAGCGTGGTCATTGGAATGGACTCGAATCCTATCAGAACAGCTCTGAGTGTCTGCAAGTCCCTGATTGTTGAAAGAGTTTATGCGGTTGTCGTATCGCACCCATTGACTGGAGATCTTTCTCCAGCTGCTGTATCGTACACCAGCGGATTCTATCATATTCCCGTAATTGGAATTTCTTCCCGCGACTCGGCATTTTCGGATAAAGTGAGCAAACTAGAACGTAATGCTATATAGCGCAATGTTGTAAGTAATTGCAATGTTTTATTGTTGAATTAAATTTGCAGAATATTCACGTATCCTTTCTGCGGACAGTACCACCGTACTCTCATCAAGCAGACGTTTGGGTGGAGTTGCTCAAGCACTTCAGCTACATGAAAGTCATCTTTATTCATTCGTCGGACACAGACGGACGAGCTCTTCTTGGCCGCTTTCAGACCACATCCCAGAGCCTCGAGGACGACGTAGAGATCAAAGTACATGTGGGTTGGGCACTCTAATTTCGCACGCGCATCCGTGTGATATTTGAGTCGTTTTGTCCATCTAGATCTTGTGTCTGCACGCTTTATAGCGATTCTCACTGTGACCCAGAGTTTGTCACGACGGTTCGACGAATTCTCCAGCGAAGATTAATCTTTATGCCCAATCAAACCAATGAATTTTTTCAGCCGACCTTAGTTGTTTTATGTTGCACGATTTCTTTATTTAAATCTCGTCGGGTTAGATATACTTTGAGTGATTAATTGTCGTATTGCACCGACAGCAGGAAGACCATCGCTGAATCATCGACTTTTTTTTTCTTCTTTATTATTCATATTTTTTATTCTATTTTTTAAAACAGTGTAAGTATCACACATGATAAACCATTGCTTATACAAACCACTCATTATGTTTAGACAAATATAAAGTGTTGCATGGTATGTATGTCCAAATACTCATATACCAATAATACCACTAATAATTACGTACATGTGGAAATTTTCCTGAGAATTCGAGTTTTGCACTCAATTTTTTTACTACCGCTAATGAGATTAGAACGAGAAATACTAGATGGGTCTTCTTTTATTTGGAAATATAAATAATTCGGAAGTGAGTTTAAAGCGATTGAGAAGATCTAAGCGCGTCGTGTTGTGCAATTACAATCTTCCGATTTCAAATTATTCTTCGAAATAAAAGAACGCGTATCGAATATTTTCCGTCTTAGCTTCGATTTTTTTCGGATTGAAAAATTTGATGTAATACTCAAATCCATTAATCCCATAATCAATTAGTATTTGATGGTGAACAGGTGGAATCTGTCATTGAGTTCGAGCCAGGCTTGGACAATTTTTCCCAGCAGCTGATGGAGACTAAAAATGCACAGGCCAGGGTGGTCCTCATGTATGCTAGGTAATAAAATTAAATTAATTCCTGAAGCCATCGAGTGACTCTGAGAAATAGCAAAGTAGTAGCATTTCAACATAATTCCCTATTATTAATATTTCAGTGAAAAAGATGCTGAAATAATTTTCAAAGAAGCAGCAGCATTGAACATGACAGGAGCTGGATACGTATGGATCGTAACAGAACAAGCTCTCGACGCTCCCAATGCTCCTGAGGGACTTTTAGGACTGAAATTGATTAATTCCACGGATGAGCGGGCCCATCTTAAAGACAGCCTGTTAGTACGAATTTGGAAATTGGCAAGTTATTTGTATGGAATTTCTCTATGTGATTTTATTTTACAGATACGTGTTAGTCTCAGCACTGCGGGAAATGAATCTCACGAAAACAATTACGCAAGCTCCAAAAGATTGTGATAAGTCTGGATCCATTTGGGAGACTGGAAAGGAATTATTTGGGTACAGCATAACGACCTGAACTTAAAAAAAAATATTACGGTCAAAAAATAATGAGACTCTGACAAAGTTTCTTGGCATAATTGCAGATTTATTCGTAAACAAGTTTTGGAAAGGGGTGAGACGGGCCGAGTGGCTTTCGATGATAATGGCGATCGTATTTATGCAGAATACGATATAATTAACGTAAGAGAACATGGGGAGCAAATATCGGTTGGCCAATATTTTTATTCGTCGGTGAGTCATCATCCCTGTGAGTTCAATTGAAATTCGGTTAGACAACGTTTTCAATTTAATATATACGACTGCAGGACACTCAAAGGATGAGACTAAGTGTAAACGAGACTTCAATAACGTGGCCAGGCCGTTTGAAATCCAAGCCCGAGGGTTTTATGATCCCGACGCATCTCAAAGTCCTAACGATCGAAGAAAAACCATTTGTTTATGTTCGCGCCACCGACAGTACAGACTGCCTCCTGGATGAGATCCCCTGCCCTCATTTCAATACCTCAGAACACGACGGTACCTTTATATCTATTTTATTATATTGGAATCGGATTTATATATATATATATATATATTTCATTTTTATAGCTTTCTGCGGGAATATTCAAGTATTTACCTTTTGCAAAATTTGATAATTTCCGTTTTTCAGTAACCCGTCTGTACTGCTGCAAGGGCTACTGCATAGATCTCTTGAAAGAACTCTCTAAAACGATCAATTTCACCTACAGTCTGGCTTTATCACCAGATGGACAATTTGGAAGTTACATGATAAAAGATAGTAGCTGTAAGTTAATTAATTGATGAAAAGGGCTGACGAGTCTCTGACGTCTCGTGTGAAATGGACGATTTTTTTTTCTTCAGCTGGTGGGAAAAAAGAGTGGACAGGATTGATAGGTGAGCTGGTGAACGAACGAGCGGATATGATTGTCGCTCCTTTGACCATTAGTCCAGAACGGGCGGAGTTTATTGAGTTCAGTAAACCCTTCAAGTACCAGGGCATCACCATCTTAGAGAAAAAAGTATGGAGTGAATTTTTAATGAAATCATACTTCCCAATGATGTAGTTTCTCATCTATTAGTGTGATGAAAGTCGGTGTTTTTAGCCTTCTAGATCGTCAACATTGGTATCTTTCCTTCAACCATTCAGCAACACACTCTGGTTCCTGGTGATGGTGTCGGTGCACGTGGTGGCGCTTGTCCTGTACCTCCTTGACCGGTTCTCACCATTCGGGAGGTTCAGGCTGGCTAACACTGACAGTACCGAGGAAGACGCGCTCAATCTCTCCAGCGCTATTTGGTTTGCTTGGGGCGTTTTACTCAACAGTGGAATTGGAGAAGGTTCCAATAATTTTTCATTCATTTATTTGGCTCTCTGACGAACCATTTCTAGTATAATTATATGATTGAAATTATGGAAATTGTGAAATTCAAAGGTACACCAAGAAGTTTCTCAGCAAGAGTTCTTGGAATGGTCTGGGCTGGATTTGCAATGATTATTGTTGCATCGTATACTGCCAACTTGGCAGCTTTCCTCGTGTTGGAAAGGCCGAAGACAAAACTATCGGGGATTAATGACGCAAGGGTAAATCATAATTTGATTAAAAATGTATGAAAAATTCCGTATTCGTTTAATATTGTATGTATAAAAAAAAATTGCAGCTGCGAAATACGATGGAAAATTTGACCTGCGCAACGGTGAAGGGTTCAGCCGTTGACATGTATTTCAGAAGGCAAGTGGAATTATCGAACATGTATCGAACAATGGAGGCAAATAATTACGACACTGCTGAGGATGCGATACAGGACGTGAAAATTGGAAAGTTAATGGCATTCATCTGGGATAGTTCGAGACTCGAATTTGAAGCAGCTAAGGATTGCGAGCTAGTCACTGCTGGAGAACTCTTCGGGAGATCGGGTTATGGGATAGGATTGCAGAAAGGCTCTCCCTGGGCTGATGCTGTCACTCTCGCCATCCTCGACTTTCATGAGAGTAAAAAAAAATTCAATTTTTTTCATTATTATTATCCCATTAATTTCAAACTGACTTTGCCGTAAAATTAATTGATCAGGTGGATTCATGGAAACTCTCGACAAAAATTGGATCCTTCAACGAAATTTACAGCAGTGCGAGCAATTCGAGAAAGCTCCAAACACCCTAGGCCTCAAGAACATGGCAGGTGTCTTCATACTTGTGGGCGTAGGCATAATCGGTGGTATAGGCTTAATAATAATTGAGGTGGTATACAAGAAACACCAGATAAAGAAGCAAAAACGATTGGAACTGGCAAGACACGCAGCGGAAAAATGGCGTGGCGCAATAGAGAGACGAAAGACAGTGCGAGCTTCGATGCCAGCGGCACAACGAAGAATTCAGAATGGCTTAAACGATCCTGCCACTGTTAGTCTCGCAGTCGATGCTGTTGCAAGATCTGGAATATCTTCAAGGAGCCCTGGAAGGGCTTGGCCGGGGGACAGTGATATCAGACAGCGTTCCTCATCTCGGCAAGACGACTCCATGCGACTCTCCCCAGCCGCCTACACAGTCGATGTATCACATCTCATTGTTTAGACACATAAGATTAATTTATTGTTCGTAATGATAATTTGTGTCTACAGAGATGATATTATGCACTAAGAAATTTCGAAAACTTAAGAATTAAGGTGACGGTATTTAAATATTAATATCGGAATAATTATTCCGATAAAAATGGAATGATTTATTTGAACAGAATTCGATTTTTTTTTGGAATAGGAATGATTAAAAAATCTCATTCACAACGGGAGATTAAGATGAAATCAGGTTCATATGATTAGAAAATATTGTATATTTATTGTCTACTGTCAATACCGTTACCTTAAGTGTTAAATAGTTGTTAAATAATTTTTGTTATATGATACAAATATAAACAACGTGATCAATAAGTCAAACAATTGTCCATGCGAAATCTTTGAATTTATTGTTATAGATGTATAACAGCCAACTTGGAGAAACTGCCGATGATATTGAGAAGAATAAACAATTTGTGTTGATTAAAATATTCGTACAAAATTTTCAAAAAAAAAAATACGATATCAAACTAAGTGGATCCTAAATATCTCCAATAACGCAGAAATCATTTAACTTTATTCACTTGCTTGTCATTCCTTATGACACATACTTCTCCACAATTCATAGACGTTCTTTCAATTAATTGTAAGTTGGCAGCAGCTGGTGATTTTTTTATATTTGATTTATTTGCAATTACCGGCGAGGTACAATGCAACATTATCAAATTTAACCGATTACTCTTCCAGGAAAAAATATTGGCCGGCTCGTTTTTGATCCAAATCCTGCACAATGAAATCCATATATTAATTAATGGAACACAATCGAATTAATAAATCTTGTAACTAGAAAAATAATCTGCAGAAACAGAAAACCAAAAAAAAATAATAATAATAATTACCTTGACCGATTGGCTCTTATTGATTCTTGGTCTGAAGTTATTAGGATCTCTCCTAAAGGTGATTCCCAAGAGCTCCAAAAATCGGTTCATTCCATTTAACAATGACTGAGGACTGTGAGCAGTAGTTTTCAAGGATGGATCCCCTGAGAAAACAATGACCCTGTCCGCCAAATAAGTAGCCATGATGAAGTCGTGCTCGACAACGAATCCAGTTTTCTTGGCATGTAAAATGAACCGTTTAATAACCTTGGCCGCGACCAGACGTTGTTCAGAATCCAGGTAGGCAGAGGGTTCATCGATCAGATAAACATCCGCAGGTTTACCGAGACAAAGTGCCATAGCAACTCGCTGCAACTCTCCTCCAGACAAATTTTGTACCTCCTGATCCATGATATCGTCGATCTTCAAGGGTTTCATCACATCAGTAATGAACTGAGGATGAATATAAGCATCACGAATTTTCTCATGCAGCAGCTGCCTTACAATACCCTGACTTTTCGGACTGATTTTCTGTGGTTTATAACTGATATGCAGCATGGGAATGTTTCCAGAGCCTTCATCTGGTGGCAAATTACCCGCAAGCATTCTGATGAATGTAGTTTTGCCAGTTCCATTTTCCCCAAGTAGCACGAGAATTTCCGAATCCGTAAACTGTCCTTTCTCGACAGTTAAACTGAACGATCCCATGGTCTTAGTCATAGCTGGGTACTCATAATGATTCATTCGTTTGACTTCCTCCTCTGTGCAGCTCTCGGACACTTTGAATACAAGAGATTCTTCTCTAAAACGTAGATTCTCAGTGGGAACGAATCCATCGAGGAAAATATTGATACCTTCGCGGACTGAGAAGGGCATAGTGACCACCCCATAGGCCCCTGGTACACCATAGAGACAGCAGATAAAATCCGAAAGATAATCCAGAACTGATAAGTCGTGTTCAACGACGATAATGAATTTATCAGGGTGAATCAATGATCTGATTGTAACAGCAGCATTGAGACGTTGTTTAACGTCAAGATAGGACGACGGTTCATCGAACATGAAAATGTCACCGTCTTGGATGCACACCATAGCACAGGCAAATCGTTGAAGCTCTCCTCCAGAAAGTGCCTGAATCTCTCGATCACGAATGTGTGTGAGATCTAACATTCTGCAAATCTCCTGCTGCTTGTCACATTCGTCCTTTTTGTCAAGAAGTTGCTGCACTGTACCCTTGACTGCCTTGGGGATTTGGTCAACGTACTGGGGCTTTATAAGGGCTTTCAAGTCATCCTCCAGGATTTTGGTGAAATAATTCTGGAGCTCGGAACCCCGGAAATGGCTCAAGATCTCAGTCCAGTCGGGTGGGTCAGTAAAACGGCCCAAATTTGGCTTCTGCTTACCAGCGAGAATCTTCAGGGCAGTGGACTTGCCAATTCCGTTAGTGCCTACTAGACCTAGAACCTCGCCAGGACGAGGGATTGGGAGACGATGAAGTTTGAAGGAGTTCTTAGAATATCTGTGCGTCGTTTCCTTCTCCAGGTTACTGGGGAGATTTATGATGGATATCGCTTCAAATGGGCATTTCTGTGAATAAAATAATAAATCTATTATGAAATGGTAGAGTGGGATTTATGAAGCCCTTCAACTCGCCTTAACACAGATACCACATCCAATACACAACTCTTCAGATATTGAAGCTATTTTGCTGTTTGGAGTAACTTCAATACAGAGTTTTCCCATTCTAACCACTGGGCATGAGCGTTTGCACTCCTGTCTGCATCTTTTCGGTTTACACTTGTCAGAATTGACGATTGCAATACGCGTCAACCTATCGGTCTCCTCCATAGCCCTTTTGGGCGGCATCCTGTCACTTTTATCGGGCTAAGCCTCCACTTAAAAATAAAAATTATACAATTAGAATGATCGAATGTCCATCTCAATATCTCATTCTAGCAGGAGAAAGGTGCACAGATGGTATTCCTAACCTCTTTAAGAATTAGGCATGCTCGGACATATGTGGAGAAGAATAATAATTTTTCTTTCATTCTTTGATTTTTGTTGAATTTATTGAAAAGTCTTGAGGGTTTGCGGAACGGATCAAGTGGAAATTGGAGTTTTTTTTACCTGTCAAATTGCAAAACGTGGAGGTGAATTCCAGCACTGTTGGCTCACGCTGGCAAACAGATGGGAAAGAGTATAGCAATCTCGAAGAGAACTCACATCGATGATTGGTCTATTCGATAACAATAGTGTGGTCAGCAACTTTTGATCGGAATCCCGCCAGTTACTCTTATTTTTTTCTAATCAATGAGACTAAAAGACTGACATAATTATGTACATTCTATAATAATTCGAAGGTTACTGAAATTAACAATAAACTTAATCCAATTTTTAAAGTTTTATAAAATAAAGGACCTTTATTTGTTCAATTTATACATGAATACTATTCACATTTTTATCGTTTTAAAACTTCGATGAAAGTTTCTCTGGGAAGGGAAATATTCCCCACCATCCTCAGCTTCTTCTTACCTTCTGCTTGCTGTTGTAGAAGCTTTCGTCGCCTTTGTACGTCTCCTCCAGATTTCTTTTGGTGAAAAAAATTGTCAATCATTCATTCATCTAAAATCAATTGCTATAAAGATATTGATGTTAAATTTACCAATCTGCTGGTGACGTCTTTTCTATATGGTTTTAAATCTTCTCGGGCTAATATTTTGGCTCCAACACTCACTTGAATTGCCACAAGAAATTGCTGTCTGGGTATAATTTCAAGGAGTTTTTTAGCCATGTGTTTGGCCACTTCTTTGGCCCTCATAGTATGAACAATTGTGCTCAATTCATTAATCGATAATCCATTCAAAAGAACTGACAACTGAGAAAATTCAGGAGAGCGGAAGTTAACTTTATTAACTTATTCTTGCACAGAAGGACTTCTTACCTTCACAAGATTTGTTGCTACATATCCATGATCCTCATAGTCAAAACTGGCATATCCAGAGCTCAATGATTTCAACCCATCATGAAAGTCAATGATAATTTCACTAAGCGGTAGGATAAATTGTAAAATAATTCGATTATCGTCAATGTGTTTCGTTGACTGTTCCACCCCGCGTTTTTCGAGGCAGAGGGACATAACAGGACCAAGATATTTCGCTATAAAATAAAAATAGTTATTCCTAATCAAATATCCACTGCAGTTCAGCAAACTTTTTAAAAAATTCATATTAATTTTCTTACTTGGAGTAATAATAGTACCCCATACCATCGGTTCCATGAATTCCGTAACAATTTGTGGATTGGGAAAATGCGCCGGATTGTTAAATGTAATTTCATCACTACCATGATCTTTAATATTTTGTTTTCCGATAATTTTCGCTTTATAAGTAACACTCGGGGCCGTAATGATCGGAGAAGCTCCGTGCTCCTGTTCCAGTCTCTGACAGAACACTTCCATGTGAAGTAATCCTAAAAATCCCAGTCTCCAGCCCAACCCCAGAGCCGGGCTAAAATTTAAATAGAATAAAATTTTTTAAAAACTCAGAATGATGCACTAAATGATGATTGCCTTGACATTGTAACCTTGTTTCTATCGACAAACTGACAGCGCTATCATTTAAGACGAGTCTCTCAATCGCATTTCTCAAGGATAAATGCTGAGATTGATCCATCGGATAAATACCAGCGAAAACCATCGCTTTAGCTGGATTAAATCCAATCAAAGGTTCCACGGGCATATTTTTCAGATGAATCGTATCTCCAATGTGTGCATCCGCCGAAGATCTCATGTTGCAGGCAATACAGCCAACTTGTCCTGCATAACTGAATTCTAATGAACTCAGTAATCCCTTAAAGGAGTCTCATCAACTCGATCCTCAAAATATGAGATGGAAAAAACTTACAGTGTCTTGACGTGTTCCTCTTCAGGCCTCAGGATGATGAGTTCCTTGATCTCGTACGATTTTCCCGTGTGAATGGAAATGATATGTTGTTTAGTAGACAGTGATCCTTCGGCCAGGTAAATCAGTGAAATAGCCCCTCGATATTTGTCGTACCAGCTGTCAAAGATCAGTCCTCTGAACGGTTTATCTCTATCAACTTGAGGGGGTGGAATTTTCTCCACCACAGCCTCTAGTACCTTATCTACATTGAGGCCCATTTTGGCAGAAATTTTTATGACATCTTTCTCCTCAATATCAAACAGCGAATGCAATTCTTTAACGACTCTCTCTGGATTGGCATTTTTCAGATCAATTTTATTGATCGTCGGAATAATCACTAAATCTTTTCCAAAAGCTAGGTAAAAATTGGCGACGGTCTGTGCTTGAACTCCATCGTTGGCGTCTACAACGAGAATAACACCCTGACACGCCGATAAAGACCGATGGACTTCGCTGGCAAAATCTACGTGACCTGGGGTGTCTATTAAATTTAACATATACTCTTCTCCCTTGTAATTGTATTTTAAAGAGACTGTTTGAGCTTTCACTGTTATCCCTCGCTCCTTCTCCACCTGTAGTTTGTCGAGTACTTGAGCTCCAGAATTCGTTCTTATGGCGCCTGTCATCTCCAGTAAGCGATCAGCTAAAGTACTTTTACCGTGATCTACGTGAGCTACGATACTGAAATTTCTGATTCTCTCGATCGGAAATTTGTACTCTTTCAGGTCGGTCGATTCGGTGGAGTAACATCTTTGGACGTTGAGTCCATCCAGTCCTCGAGAGGACCTGCAAGCAATCGATCAAACACATAAACATTAAAAAATTCATAAAACATTTCCATAATTTCTCCCAATAAAAAAATTGTCGAAAACGCTGCTCATATATATTTCAGAAAATAGCCTAAACTCACCTTTTTCGTCTCCACGAACTATTCCCCCTCAAAGCACACTTGATTCTCGACGAGAATAAACAATAAATCTGATTTTTGCGCATCATGATAACAATATATTAACACCAATAAATAATAATGATTATGACACGATCTTGAAATGTAGCTGCAAAGAGGATTGACTAATGTAGGTGCTCAGTCAAAGAGCTTTGTCAATTCTGGGGGTTGACTGACCCCAGCGGCGTCGTAGTACTCCACCCCAAGAGAGGGAGGGCGCCACGCGCAATGCTGGGGTGTTTTTTTTTATTAACCAAGTTTTTATTGCAATGCTGGGGTGTCTCAAGTCGACGGGGTGAATTTTATTTTCTACTGTACGAATGCTTTTTGTTTTTCATTTGTTTAACTGAAATTTAGCTGACTGTAGCACGTATGGAAGGGGGAAACCACATCTTGTGGAATTTCAATGGAAAAAATTATTCAATGTATTGAATATATACCACTAATGAATTTTTAATTTATAATAAGCGCGTTGTCCTAGCGGTAACGTGCTGGAGTCTGTCTCGAACAGTGATTGAACGCAGACGTGTTTATTCAATCTCCAGTTCACTGCCGAAACAAACAACGCAAGCCCTTGTAGGCTTTGCATTAAATAATTAAACCAGTAATCCCTAAGTTAATAATAACCATATAACTACTCAAGAGCAAACACCGTGAAAAGGAATGTGCTGCGGAGGGTAGCGGCTACTCCACCACCATCAGCATGGATCATGCTAAAGGAAGAGGCCGCGGCCAAATACAGAATTCCAGAACATCAAATAAAAGAAAACTGAACGAAACTGGCTCAGATAACACATCAGGTCTGTCTGGAAAACTTTATAAACCCAATGTGACAACAAATTACATTGATAAAAAGATAGAAAAAGAGCTCAAGGAAACTAGAGCGCTATACGGAAGACGAGGATTGGGCCCAACCCCCTCCACATCTAAAATTAAACCTACTCCTCGTAATAGAGGAGACACGAGGGGAAATAATTCTGACGAAACTCTTGCAATTTCGGAGAATAGTCAACAGAATTCGGGGAATCAAAACCCGTGGATATCACCGAGCAAAAGAAAAACATCAACACAAAGAAGAGCAAGTGATACTTCTCCTGCAAAATCCCCTACCGAGGTCAACAACCAATTCGCACCATTATTCGACATCTCTGATGAAGAAGGAAGTGAAGCAGAGGATCGAACCACAGATGAACCTACCCAACAACAAATACAGAAAAAGAGCGCAGGTCAACGACCTCCCCCTATCCATACAACAGGAATACCTCTCAAGGACCTTGCCAGTATCTTAAACACTTTAAATGGTAATAAAAACAAATTTTATTTGAAACACCCTAAAGACTCAAAATACGTATCGATTTTCGCGGCAGACACCGATACATATAAGTTATTTATAGATTTATTGAAAGCTAAAAACATCAAATTTTACACATACACACCTAAAAACGAAAAAGTTAAAACTATAGTTTTAAAAAATCTATACGGAGATTATACCGATGAGGAAATTTTCAGAGAACTAACAGATCTGAATCTAACAAACGTAAAGATTCTGAAAGTCACTAAAATCATTTTTAGCAAAAAAACTGATTATTTTGGCTTCCTAGTTCAGCTTTCGCCAGAATCAAAAATAGCGGACATTATTAAAATAAATAGGTTACTTTACCAAAAAATTACATGGGAACCCCTCAAAAAAAAAAACTTATTTCAATGCAAACGCTGCCAACGATTAGGCCACTCCAGCAGTAGTTGCTCATTAGATTTTCGTTGCGTCAAATGTAGTAATAATCACGAACCAGGTAATTGCCCTCTTGGCAAAGATGCAGATAAAACATTACTAAAATGCGCAAATTGTAACATGAACGGACACCCAGCGAATTACAAAGGTTGTCCGTACTACAAAAAAGCCTCTCAAATAGTTGAGAACGATCAACAAATCGTACTGAAAAAGCGTACAACGAAAATAAATAATATTGTTAATAAAATCAATCCCAATCTCTCCTATGCAGAGGCCGCTGCATCAAGGAATCGACAAATTCATACATCCAATATACATAACTCCGCTTCTCGGAAAATAATTACAAATTCAAATAGCAACTTACCGCGCGAACTTTCAAATTTACCGCCAAATCCTGATTCGACAATACCGCTATGGATAATTCAAATGAAACGAGAAATAATCTCAGCAATCTCATCATCAATACATTCCGCCATAGAACCGGTTAGAGAGCAAACTGAAATTAATAAAAACAATATAGAAAAAATTATGGCCCATCTCAACCTCATCCACGATGGCAAATAATAACCCTCAAATTTCCAATATTAATGAAAATCCACCATACACTGATGGATTAAACATTTTCTCAATCAATGTTAACTCAATCGTGAGATTGCAGAGAAGATTTTTCTTACAATCCTTCCTAGATAAGCATAACGTAGATATTGCTTTAATTAGCGAAACCAAATTAAACAAAAAATACAAAATTAAATTTCATAATTATAACCTAATCAGATCAGATAGGAATAACTCAATGTTCGCAGGTGGGACGGCAATAATAATCAAAAATAATATCAAATTCAAAACAATAACCTACCCAAATTCAATAAACAATGTTACTCTTGAATTTGCAATCATTAAAATCGAATCAAATACAAATAATTCACTATTTATAATAAGTGCCTATGTATCAAACTCTAATTTAAGCAAACAAGTCTTTTATAGGGAATTAAATAACCTTTTCGAAGGACTTAATTTATACAAAGAAAATAATTATTATATATTAATGGGAGATTTGAACGCTGGGCACCATTCTTACGGGGATTCCTGCAATAACACCCGAGGGTATCAACTTCGAAATTGGGAATTAAAAAACGAACATAAATATAGATTAAATCGACACCAAAATAACAAGAGAATCCCCATAGATGGCGCTGAGCGCTCGATCCCTATATTCTCAAGGGAGATCCCGAAATGCGACTTCGAGGACTTCACGCGAGTTAAAAAAGATTTCTGGTGGATTAATAATAGATCCAAATATATAGATTCCCTCAATACCCGATATAATATCTATAAACAAAATAAAAAAAGTAAAAATAATAGAGTCCATAAACGCCACAGAAGTAATTTTCGTCCACCATAAAATATGTAAACATAAGAGTAGGAGGCGGTGAGCGTTGAGAAACATCAACTAACCTACCCCCCCCCCCAGATACAAACTAGAAATCCCTAATAAAATAAGAACTAACTATAAAATATTATACTAATTAATAATGAAATTATAATAGACAACGAGCGACTAATAATAATAATCTAATAATAGTCAATTAATACAAAAATTAAACATCTAACTCCTGCAAATACGTTTGTGCCTTTTTTTTTACACAACAAAGCATTGTAATTAACATTTTTTTTTAGCACAAATACTCACATAGCCTTATAAAAAATCATCAATTAAGTGATAATGAAAACCCAAATAAATATAGATCAACAATTAAGAATATTAATATTATTATAATACATTAAGAATTCGAGAGCCTCGCCAGGCCACATAGTTCTGCAATATCTAATCCTAAAAACCACTGTTTTTTCATACTAGTTTTTTAAGGTTGTAAATAATGTATATATATATTGTTAAATAAAAAAAACTTGGTAAAAAAAAAAAAAAAAAAGCGGTAACGTGCTCGACTGGCACGCCGGCGGCCCGGGTTCAATCCCGGCATCATTCATTTTTTTTTTT